TGCAGCTACGTTCATTCCGTTTGTACACAGTTAAAACCAGTTCGGCAACGTTTTTAAGAACGCAGTGTCAACTAGTTTGGTGTAATAGCTATATTACCCTACTATCACACCAAACTAGTTCTCACTACGTTCTCGAAAACGGGCCTAAACTGTGCGCGAACGGATTTGACGTACTAAGAACCCACTCAGAACCGTTTGGGATCTGTTTACAAACTCCATGAAACTACTAGAACGAGTAGGTCCTTCAGAACTTAAAGCATGATCAAAATTTTCTGGTGATCGTCAAAACGTTGCCGAATCGGTTTTAAACTGTGTGCGAACTGAATGAACGTAGCTACAACGTTCTACGGTCTGTTTACGAACTTCATGAACTTTCCCGGACGGGGAATGTGATTTAGATGAACAAAGTAGCTAATTATTTTAGACATATTTCCCGACCACAGCCAGATTGAGCCCGTTTTACGACGTTTTCGTAGGACTGGCAAGAACGGGTAAGACTAAGAACTAGTTTGGTGTGATAGGGGGTTGATATGTTATGTCATGTAAATATTCATATATAACCAGTCTTTAATACGTTTTTAATCAGTTTAAACCCGTTTGTAATTAGTTTTTCCCCGTTTTCAATACGTCCTCAGACAAATCAACTCGTTCTAAAAAAAGTCCCTACGAGGGGGATTATTGACATTCTCTCTTGAAAATTCATAAATGCCGAACGTTACACACCGGACAACCGTGTAGTAACTTAGTAAGTAGCCATTTTTATTGTGAAAGGACTTCGTCGACCATTATGACATTAACGGTTTCTTTAACAACTAGTGTCTGAGAAAGCTGAGAATCTTTGTCTCAAAACTGTATCTGTGTGAAAAATGGTTATTTTGTTTTCAATTCATCTGGTATTGCGATCCATGTAGGAAGTACGATTGTCTAAATACAGGGTGACCGGAAAAAAAGGAGACCATTGAAGTAATCAATTTCTCCTAAACTAGACAAGTGCCATCAATGAAATTTTGCATACACTGGAACAGTTATATGGAAATTTGTTACTGAAGGTTTCAATACAAGCATTCAACTGGTTCAGGAGCTATGATCATTTACATAACATGCTCCAAATAGGCACAATTGAGACCAACGCAGAGTTGGATTCATATGGCAAACTACCCTTACATGTTCTGCCCTCTATGGCATTATTATGGCATAACATATAGCAGTGATTGCCTTCTTTAGGTCAACAATAGTCTGAGGATTGTTTTGGTATAGATTGTCTTTCAAATATCCATACAAAAAGAAATCAGCAGGATTCAAGTCTAGGCTGTAATGGCAATGAAGGGTTATCTGACATGTGGTTCATCATCCTGTTGCCAAAGTGCTGATTTACCAAATCTTAAGAGTCACTTTAGGTATTGGGCATAGTGCCATGTTACTAAAACCACTATATGGCACAATTAAATCCCATATGAAAACCAAGGGCTGCCCAAAACCTCCTTAGGATGATACTGTAACTGAGTGGGACCACTGAGTCAGAAGCCATAGGTCAGATAAGCTTCGTCTCCATACACCTCAAATTTGAATCCACCTGATTTCTTTTTGTGGGGCAATTTGAAAGACAATGTGTACCAAAACAATCCTGAGACAATTGCTGACCTAAAGGTGGCAATAAATGCTAAATGTAATGCCATAACAAGGTCGGAATATGTAAGGGTATTTGCCAAATGTATCCAGCTCTGCGTTGGTCTCAATTGCGCCTATTTGGAGCATGTTATGTAAATGATCATAGCTCCTGAACCAGTTGACTGCTTGTATTGACACTTTCAGGAACAAATTTCCATAGAACTGTCCTGATGTATGCAAAATTTCATTGATGTCACTAGTCTATTTTAGGAGATATTGCCTATTTCAATGGTCTCCTTTTTTTCCGGTCACCCTGTAGAATGTACTTTAGCCACATTTAGCTATATCAGGTTCCGACAGGCATTACTGCTGATTATAGTTAATAAAGCAATCTCCTTCAACGTCATATCAAATACTATCTAATCATCATATACTATCATAATACTATCGAACTCATCAATTCTTAATTTTTATCAGCATTTTGAGATATTCCAATGAAATAATATTGTACACCCCTTCAATCGCCAAACAATGTCCAAAATACAAATTGTTACGGTTAAAGGGGGTCATACTCATTAATTCTGCAAAAATCATAATTTTTTGTTTGGCATACAACAGATGTATTTAATGTTAAAATGTCTTCCAATGTTGATTTGTCCTATTTTCATTAAAATGTAAGAAAACCCCCAATCTAAAAACCTATTAAATATACCCCATTGTAGTAACTACAACATGAAAGGTAAAGAAGGAAAAATAGACTTACCTAATCGAGATTAAATTCACTCCTAAATTATGAATTGCTGTAATTTTTAGTTTTTATCAACAAAACATCTTCAAGACCATCTCTTGGTTTCAATAACCTCTAAACAAACTATGAGGACATGCATGTGTATATTGTGTATATTAACCTGTGTAGTTCACTCCACTAATTCCCTTTCAAAAGTGAAATTATTCCCACACTCACGTATTTTTACTTTTTCATAGTCCTTTTAAACCTCTGTATAATGTATGTGAAAGCATAAAAATGTATTCTGAATTTTACAACAACGATTTTTCTAAGTTGATTTGAAGTGTTCTCTAGCGCAACAGGTGTCAATTGACCGAATGTCTCAATTGAAGCATCTCAAACCTGCTGATCGAATTGAACAGCTAAATATTATGCATCATCCTTGTTGCTTTATTTTTATGACTGTAATGCCCCACGGTCTTTAATTGTGCTTCATGGTTATCCGACTATGGAGGGAAGGTAGGTAATTTAACACCGAAGATGATGGGATTAAATACAGCAAATTACAGACAATAAAAATTGAAGCAGTGAATTATTTGAAGACTGTCATCGAATTTGAGATTTGGTTAACTTTTTGTCAATATAGTGGCTTGGTTTGAAAAAAAGATTATCAACAAGTTATATTGCGATAATCACAATATGAAAAATGGGTCAGATCGAAATCAGATCTGATCTGCGAGATTCGACAGCCAATGAAAATGTGAGATGGAAGTTGAATGGTCAGCTACGGAAACAAAGAAATCAAGTTGAAATAATAGTTTTTGCCCATTTGTTGCTATAATCGTAGTAAAATTAGACAGTAGACACGCCTAACCATCGATCGACAACGTACAGTGGCAAGATATACCGTCGTACACTTTAGATGTACGGTGTCACTATTTAACCGATTTGAACCAAAGACAATGATGTAGGTTTGATGTGGGTTTTAAAAAAATAATCTGAGGAATACATTAAGGATTTCATGTTTGATTTTGTGTGGATTCGTTTGAGAAGACATTTTCCTTTCTAATAACGTTAAAATACTGCTCGATTTTTTTCGTAGTCAATCTACCCATATAATATTTTATGAGAATATGTTTCTTTAAACTGCACTATGAAGTTCTGTTGAAGATTTAATAAGTATTAACGTTTTTGGCTATAATCTAAAAAATCATAAGTGTACATTGTCAAGTCGAATGTACGTTGTCCCATTGGACTTACTCAATTCACAGTTTACCCTAATGCAGGCAACGTATTTTTCATAACACTAACAGACAGGGGGCCAGATGCATTTAAAATTGAAACCGAACAATTACAGAATAACTTCAATTTAATTGAACTATTGAAACTATTGAGCACTTTCCAGATATATATCATGAACGAAATTTTGAAAAGTCATATTCAATAAGCTAGTATATAGATCTACCTATTAATGTAACTAACAAAACGTAAGGTAAAGACGCCAAATAATCAAAGAGGCTGGAAGCAAACTCCGTGGCAGTCCTAGCCTTCAACATATTCTATTCCGAGTCATTGAATGGGAGTTTGGGCTGGAGGCTATCACCCAATTGGCACAAATTAACCAACACCACAACAATTCCTTCATAAAAATGAATAAGCAAAAAAATCACTTTTTAATGAATTTTGAAATGAAATCATTATATTGTTTAATATTATATCTCATGAAATTCAATTACAGGGACAACGTACATTCGAGTTGACAACGCACATTTCTGATTTTTTTTTAATTACAAAATGCTTGAATATTTACAAATCTCCACCCGTCCTAAATTGTGTAGTTTAGAGAAACACATTCTCATTAAAATATTCCCAGACAGAAAACCTGACACCACCCTTTAGTTTTTTTGTTTTTTATAATTTTACTATGTTTGTTAAATAAAAAACTGCCACCAATGTTTTTCAACTTCGGCAGTCACTACATGTGTAATTTGTATGTACTAAAATTGAATAAAGAAGAATAAAATAAAATAAAAAAAATAAAATAAAATATTCGACACTCTTAGACGACAGGTGAGGAAATGATCAAATGAAATGTAAAAACATAAATTAAAAAGAACATTCAACCGAATAATTTAATGGGTAGATTAATCACGAAAAAATCTAGCACTGTTTGAAAATATTTTAACGTTACTAGAAAGTTAAATCTCTTCCCAAACGAATACACACGAAATCAAACTTGAAATCCTCAATGTATTGCTCAGATAATGTTTTTAAAACCTACTTCAAATCTACATCATTGTCTTTGCTTCAAATCGGTTAATAGTGACACCGTATATCTATTAAAAGTGTACGACGGCGTGTTTTGTCACTCTACGTTCTTTTCGTTTATTCACGGTTCTATTCCACTCTGTATTATTCTCTTCAATTGACTTTGGGCCCTTAGTATGTGAACGTTCCGCGCGGAATGTTGTAGATACACATGCGAAAACAGATTCTGAGCAAACATCTTGTAAATTCATATGTGAAAACCACAGATTCATATGTGAAAATGTTTGTCATATTCCTTGGATACAAGGATTATGGAAATTTTACCATAGCCCTAAATGTTTGATATCACATATATGATCATACATTGATTTAGTGAAATTACCAGGCACTTCAAACAAACCGAGTGTGCAATTAAAAATGAATTCCTTTGAATTGAAATACTTTGTAATAACAAAACTTGTCTTCGGCAATTATGCTTGTTCACATCCATTAAGACATAAACAATTTCAAAGCATTTGTTACACATGCCCAATGTATTTGTATTTGCCAAAAATCAAAAAGGGATGGTTCACTTTAAATTAATTGGGTAAGTACTTTCAATAACATATCTATACTTGGATAACATGAATTTATTTTTTCTATAGCCGAAGGTTAACCGCCGTGCCAACCCTGACATGTATGGACATACAAAAAAGTGTGTGCTCTATAAACACGTTCAATGAGAATTCTGCTGCAATTACGTAGGGGATGAGAAACCCTGGTTACAAGCCCAGCTATATTGAGACCCACTTCTCCAACTATGTACTAATGCCCTTAATTTAGATATAACTTCCTTATTTGTACTAGACTATATAAGTTGAAGTTTAAACCTGAAAGCGGAGGTAGGTATATGATAAACAATGTGTACTACATACTAAAGGAAAAACCACTCTGCAGTACACTTATCAAAATGCCAAAATACAGACTTGTCTACTTTAATGCGAGGGGGAAGGCCGAAACAGCTAGAATACTATTTGCACTTGCGGGTGAAGAGTACGAAGACGTCAGGCTCTTTCCAGATCTACCATGGCCAAGTCAGGAAGGGAAGGACAAATGGATTGAAACTAAATCAGGTAAAATGTTTTATTAATGGTATGCCTCCATACTGGACGCCTAGTGTATATGCATTGTTTACAGACTACCCAGCGACACCTTTTCCGCATTGTTTAATTTTCTGTTTTCGGTCTCATGGAGAAGTTTTTAGATGTCACGGCGAATACTATTATACTGAATTCTTCATTCCATCTGAAAGATTTAGAATTACGTTTCATATATTCTCATGTTTAGAGTATGTGTCAGTGTAGTCAGACATGGACAATAAAGAATACATATCAACTCAGATCAGTACCTGCATTATTATTGTCACCGACATTCGAAACATATTTTATGACAATCCTGGGCCTTCGGCATTCCATCGTTCTAGAATATTGTACTTGCATTGCAGGTACAGTATGTTTTGAGGTTATATAATGGTTGATTCTGTATATCGTGTTTATACTCAAGTGAGTATATGATATATTCACTCGTTCCCGAACGTACAAGGTGTTTCATAATGTGGGCTTTTCGTCAGGAAAGATCTTCTAGCACTGTAATAAATACAGGTCAAAGGGATGCCATTTGTACTTTCTAGAATTGTAGCATGTTTAGTTGATCCAAATGTGTTTGTCTAGAATAAAATAGGCTCATGTACATATGTTATAGAACCATCTCTTCTCAAATTGACTTTTGGAGATGCTCGTTATGAAACACCCTGTATGTCATATGTTGAGCTACTGAATGGGTCGTTTCCAGGAATTGCTAGAACCTACTGGTTTGATTGGTGTTTCAAATTGATGGTTAAAGTATTTGATTGGATACTGTTCCCACTCAGCCAATTAATTTCAAAAAATGCTTGCGGTCAATTGTTCCACACACATGTAGGCAAATCTTTATACGGAGATCCAACTGTATACGTTATCATCTACGTAAATATACCGTTTTGTAAGTTCGTTGAACTTATACTGATCATGAAAACATTGAAATAATCAACTTGTTTATGTAATGACTCACTTTAAAGGATCGTGTTTATAATACACTACAACAACAAGGACACGGAAGCAAGCATTTAATTATAATGTGCATAATCTACACGTGCAGATGACAGTGCATTCACAGTCTCTAGTTGATGGAGCTTTTCTATAACGGGAATAGTTATGTTCAATTAAGTACAATTTAAAATTGATTTTAGTAAATATAATAGTTCGACATGACCCTTTAAACTATACGTATACGTTTAAGTTGTACTTTCACTTATGTGCGAAATCTCTCTATTATCCCACCCTAAATGCTTATAAAAAGTCGAAGAGTTGTATACGCCATCCAGGAGTTGTATATCATTCTCAAGAGTTGTATACGATGGGTGTTGGATTTATATTGCAGTTATACAATGCTATTATACAATCATATAAAGCATTTAGGGTGGGATAAGTATGAGTATATATCAAAAGATTGTGTAATCACACTTGAATACACCGACAACGGTAAAGTCAGATACCGTTGTTACAAATGGCGGACTTAACCGTCGCTTTAACTCTTCAATCACTTGGTCCTCGTTTAATGGGACTGTATCATCGCTAATTCTGTGCATGTATTGAGCTCTTGTGATGATTTATCATATGAAATCCCAATTTCGATCAAATTGGGTCGTGAATCGCCAGTCTGGAATCGCCACAATATAGCGTCCCTGATATCGTCATTTAAAACGGAATCCGAATCTTAAATGATTTACCATGAAATTGACGATAACGTCACATGAAACGAGAACCAAGTGATTAAATATTTGAAGCGACGGTTATGACCGCCATTTGTGACAACGGTATCTGACTTTACCGTTGTCAGCGTATTCCGGTATGGTAATGAGCAGCATGTACTGAAAGTTGAGCCCATGGTAATGTAATTGTATTTTTGTTTACCACCAATTACCCAGATGCGAGTAGGTAGTTTCCATTTTCACCACCAGGTGGCCGATTCGGGGTAAATAACATGGCAGGGTACAGGGGGATTAACCCCAGAGTTCAAAGATGACGTATGCTTATATATGTAAACCTGTATTGAGATGACGTACATCTCTGATTGGTCCAAATCGATAAACAAAAATGGCGGATTCAAAATTTTCTAAAAACGCTTCGAATAATATTATGTCAATTACTGGCGTGTTCACCAATATCATAGCTTTATATTTCACATCAAGATAAAGAAAGATATATGGAGTATGCTTACTTCGATTAAAACATCACGACGACACGTTATATTCAAAAACTAACCGGTGTGAATTTGCGCCAAAAACAGCTCAAACATCACATCAGAGTTGACACTAGATCATGAAAAATATTTTCGATCTATTAATTTATATATGTCAAGTTTTTAGCAATGCCATTGCAAGATGGCACTGTTTGTTAGCATTAATTATCCATTTATTTTTGAATGGATTTTCTACCATACGCCATCTTTTAATCAGAGTTATTTATTTGAGTGTGCGAGTAACATGTCTCAAATAATATTTTGTCCCCTTTCTTTCAAAAATAGGCGCATTGCCTGTTTAAACTTGAAGATTCATCAGTTTTTGTGATTTTATTTTCATATCACCCTTATGAATCTATAGTTATACGAATTAAAACATGTCCAGAAAAACAAAATATTATCTGTCCAATAAAGAACATGTATTTCACTTTTTGTGATTTTATAACATGGGGTCTATGGGGAATCTCCGCAAGAAGTCACATTCTCAAGTCACATAGCTGGTGAAATATGAGCAAATTGATGTTTTCCTCGTTTCAGTATCTGGTCTACTTTCTATAGTTATTTTTATACGTCTTCCACCAGCTGAGCTATACGGGTGGAATATATGGTATGCGTTTCTCTATCAACAGCTAATATATTTTACTTTCAGAATTAGGACTGCCATTCGGCCAAGTACCTGTCCTGGATGTGGATGGGAAAAGATTATGCCAAAGTAACGTCATTGCCAAATATTTAGCAAAGCAATTTGGTAAGTTTGGTGTACATGTAAGTGTTTTGAACAATGCATGTCTAAAATCTAAAATAAAGATTTATAATGAACCTTGTTTGATAGAATAAACATTCAATTTAGGAATACAATGCAATACTTGTTTTGCTTTCAAGTAAAGCTCAAGTTCATCTAGTTCAATTAATCAATATAGTTAAGGATTTAAGCTCTGTATCCAACTTGACTTGCAGACTGATCATTCCTCAAAGGTGTTGTTTCAAACTTTTTACGAGATGCGTAGCACTGAGTGCTAAGTTTAGGATACAATGCTTTGAGTGGAATGAATCGGCAACAATCAATAGAGTCTTTGGCTTAAATTCGTTTCCCACATCGCACAATATTTTATACAATATAAGTGAAAAGATACGATAAAACTTAAAAAAATATTTTTTCAAGGAAACTTTTTGCAAGAGTCAAGTTGTCACCTTGATACCCTTTGCATTCGTTTGACTTCACTTCTTAAAAGAGAGCTTCGTCTTCACTCTTTCAAACTAAAATAAACCTGTGAACTCACCGCGCCAATCAGTGTTCGTCGGCAAAATTTGACCGACGTTCTATATATGGTCATTCCTTCTGACGTCATCGTTGAGCCCGGAATTGACCAATGACGTGCGCATATTTAATTAGAACGCGTTTGGCGTATGTTTGTTCAAGCTCGCTGAATGGTGGAAGAAAGGTCAGCGCATAAGTCAGAAGTGTTTATTACCCAAACTGTCACCGGTACCCGTCGTGGGGGCGGGGCTTCTAAACTGTAATATGGTCTCTACTAGGCAGAGTGTAGTTTAACTAGACTCTGCACGTAGGGTATCACCTTGACAACCATTCGACACTTACCATTTCTCCTGCATAAGCGCTTATATATTTTTACTCAACTATGAAGTTGAATCTAAAAATGACCTTGGTTGGGTTGTTGGTGATATAATGCAATGCAGTTATATGGAATCGTGTTCGGATTGGCTGGAATTTGGCACACCTTGCCTAGCTATGTGTGAATCTTGTTTTGTCAATATTATTAAATGAATCGTAACTCATTTAAAGGTTTTGATAGCTAGATATAACATAAAAATCTGTAACTAATCTCTTTAATAGCTATAATTCAATAAGCCAATGATTACAATGTTGCAAACCAATTCAAAAGATATTTCATTTTGACAGAAAAGCAGAACAATTTCTACAATACTTTATAATTATCTAAACAGGAAAGTTCTATTTTCGGTGTCACGGTTCAGGGAATTCTATATAATGTTCTTAATTTTACTATTTTCAGATTGTAAAAAAATTAAGTGTTTGATTGTTTAGGGTTTGCCGGCAAAGGCGTTTGGGAAGAAGCCAGGGCGGAAATGATATCTGCCTGCGTGTACGACGCATTCCAAAAAGGAAGACCGTGTTCTTTGGAACAAGATCCGATTAAAAAGGTCTAATCGATTTGATTAATAATAATCTTAACGTGTTTGAAATTTTTTACCATGGATGTGACGTATGTACCTTTCTTGATCATGCTAACACATGCTGTTAAGACTTGATAATTATTTAGTTTATTACTTAGTAACACTGTTCTATTAAATGTATGTCCAATAATGAATTACAATGATTACCCATTTCAATTTTCTAGGCTGAGCTACTGGAAAAGTTTTTGAAAGATTCCAAAGAAATTATGGACAATTTCAGACAGATCCTGGAAGAGAATGGCGGGGGATCAGGATTCTTCGTTGGGGACGGGGTAAGGTTCACTAAAGCATAACGTAGCAAGGCAAGAGCTAGGTGAAGCAATCGCCTGGCCAAAAGATTACAGAAAAGCACGCAGACGCTTAATTTCAAACTGTAAACCCTACTATCACACCAAACTAGTTCTCACTACGTTCTCGAAAACGGGCTTAAACTGTGCACGAACGGATTTGACGTACTAAGAACCCGCTAAGAACCGTTTTGGATCTATTTACAAACTTCATAAAACTACTAGAACGAGCAGGTCCTCCAGAACTTAGAGCATGCTCAAAATTTTCTGGTGATCGTCAAAACGTTGCCGAATCGGTTTTAAACTGTGTGCGAACTGAATGAACGTAGCTACAACGCTCTACGTTCTGTTTACGAACTTCATGGACTTTCCCGGACGGGGAATGTGATTTAGAATTTTGAATCGATTCAAAATTCGATGACGACCACACCGTTCTGTAATCAGGTCATGATGACCTTCTAGACTAAGGGACGGTTTATACTACGTTGCACACCGACGCGGTGCGACCTGAACGAACTGCGAATGAGATGGACGTATTGAAGACTGTTAATGAACGAAGTACCTAATTATTTAAGACATATATCCCGACCGCAGCCAGATTGAGCCCGTTTTACGACATTTTCGTAGGACTGGCAAGAGCGGGTAAGAACTAGTTTGGTGTGATAGGGGGGTAAATGAAGTCTATTTCAATTTGCCTCGCCTATCTTGAGATCCTGACAACGCCTTTGGGTTTACAATGCTCCGCAGCATATATGCTATTAATGTTTACCGAAACATTCTCAATAAATGAACTTAATTCCATATATTTCTGGGTATAGTGCCTCAACCATACAGAAGTTACTGTGGAGATCATAGAAACGAACGACAAGCGTTCAATTGCTTATATAAATAAATCGTTCAAAGGTAGGCCTTTTACTACCGTTTTTTCATTGCAGATCACATGGGCAGACATTAACTTTGCTGTGAGGATTGATCAAATTTTCGACAGAATTGGAGAAAATGCAGACAAATTCTTGAAGGATTGGCCAAAACTGCTTGCACTTAAACAGCGCGTGGAAAAATATCCGAAAATTGCCGAGTGGATTGAGAAAAGACCAAAGACAACGCGGTGAAATGATAGCTAGCTTACAATCTAAATCATAAAAACAAACAAAATGGATCGAACCTTGATCAGTTGGCTTCATTTCTGATTAAGACGAAGCAAATGTTTAACAGTTTGTCGTGAACTTTATTGCAATACAAATCTAATGACAACGGAACTAGTTTGGTATTATATCTTTTACTGAGATAACCAGGGTGCTAGCTGCAGTGCTCTCTTTCTTAACACTTTGTTTTCCCGTCATTTTCTAGCCCGATAAGCCATAACGGAATTTGTTGTAATAAGGTCTCTGGGAAAAAACAATTGAAATTGGAACAGTAGCCCCTTGGGGGCATTTACATAATAAAAACAAGAAAAAGAACGCCCAGTATTCGTTTTATATTGAATTGGGCCCAATATACTTCTATTAAACTTGACCTAAGGACCATTCATTTGCAGGGTGATTAATACCATGCGACAATTGATAACAATGTAAATGGTCCCATGGTGGTCATCATAAGTTATCAGAACAGAGGTCAAAGTGTTTGAATGGAGTCTGCGAAAATAAATAATGTAGATCAAGATGTACGTTTCATTGAATTTGTTTTCAGTTCTTCTTCAGATTGTCCATTCATATAATAAAGCTGTTCCCCATTAAATCAAGTATAAGGTTGTCTCATTGCAGGTAGATTCCAAGAGTGTAGCCATTCATGAGTTCAAATAAGGCGAGAGAAAAGCCAAAAGAAACTGTATCGACTTATATTCAGAGGTGTAGCAAGGATCTAATATCACATATCAGGCGAGGAAAAGATGAATATTAATACTCTTAGACTTCATTTTCACAGTTTTAGTTGAATAATATCTCAAAAACATATATCCGTAAAATAGAGTGAAGCAGTTGCCTTTCCTGTCTCTTGTGTATAACTCAATAAGAGTCAATTAGAAATAGGGGCTTGTTGCCTCGTTTAGAATGGAACAACCGCCTAACTATCATATTGCAGGTAAACCCGTGCATCTTGACTTCTGATTTTGCTTTATCGTTTATTTACATACACGTCTTTCAAGAAGTCTTATTGAAGCCAAAATGTCAAGCTCAAGATATCAAATGGTAAGTGCATACAGTTATTTATGATATTCAATAAAAAACTGAAGTTGACACAACACAAGTTGTGTTATGTGGTGGTTGTCACAATTCTTTTATTGGTGAATTTGCGTTGAATTTGCGTGGCAGACAACATTTTAAAAGATATTGAAAAGTGTACGCAGTGTGATTATCTATTGAAGTAATTGAAACCACTTTCAACTATAAAAATCACAATCGGTGTGCAGTTTGATTTGGACAACCCCAAATCATGAAAGGTACATGTAGACTAATGATTTGAATTTGCCCAAAATCATAACTGCATACAGACTGTAGTCAAAATGCAAATCCTTTTATGTTGTATTATATTGTATTGTTATTTTATTGCATCAAGTTTGTAAGTAATTTATTATAGGTGTTGGGTCTTGTCCTTCTTGTTACTGCTGTATCATCGGTCCACGGAGGATCGTGTCCATCTCCTTCCCCGGCCAAGGGCTACACAGATAAGGCCTACTATGGGCTGTGGTATGAAATAGGTAATTCGGAACAAGCATTTTTGTTTTTATTCAATCCACACTAGGTCCAGTATTTATGTAATTTAATTTTCGATAATGTACCTTTTGCGTTGAATCGAAGATGAAGTCCTTGGCTAAATATATATGTTTTCATTTTGAAAGTGTTCAGACAAAATACGTATCACAACTCACACGAGTAGATCGTTCTGGCTAAAATTGCTGTTTTATTTCTGATTCTTTAAAGCACCTTCGCTAGGATCGAGTATTCGTATATTCAAAAGTAAAGCGACTTTAAGCATATAGTTTACAATTGTCTAGGAAAAATCCAGACAGCTGGTGGTGCTTACTTTGAAAAAGACTGTGTGTGTACTACCATCAACGTAAAACCAAAGAAAGGTGCTAACAATGGAGATGCGACTGCCGTTAACAGTTGCCGAAAGCTTAAACCAAATGGCGACTTCCTTAACGCAACGGGTAATATGAACTACCATTTACAGTTGAAGCCACATAATCCATATAACGAAATTCACCTCTTGTCTTTTTCCTCTGCAGACGTTGCTTTTCATACTCTCTCTAACATTTTTGTCAACCCTAGTACTATACTATAGCTAGATTTTGTATATGATATAATAGCTTTCGGCAAATAATCTTCAGGCTCGTAGCCAGCTTTTGTTTAAGGGGGTTCACTTTTCAAAAATTCTAGGGGGATTCAAATTTGGACCCCCGAACCACCCCCACCACTACATCCCTGGCTACGGCCCTGACCTTTACGAACTAAAGTAATGATACAAGGACCTATATTTGACATAAGTATTCGCCTTGAAATACATAACAGGCAGTTTATTTTAGGAAGCTTGACCAATGAGGGACCAAAGGGGAAGTGGAAAGAGGGATTCTTTTGGTTTACTCCAAAGGTAAGTTCATGATCAGTTAACTTAACGATTGTATTTATTAATATGAGTAGGGTATTTCAGTACGAGCTAATACAAAGGCTAGACCATTTCCATGTTCATAAAAGAATCGAGATGAAATAAGAAGACGTTGTCTACATTTGAAACACTGGCCAAATATCATGAATTTATTCTTCAAAAATACAGTACAATCAATACAAGGATGTATAGATATAGAATTATATATCATTTGCACATAGCTAGGCAAGGTTTGTCCGATTCCAGCCAATACGAACAGAGTATTCACATAATGAACAGTGTGTGAAAACTCAATAACGCATGCAAGGTCACTAGTTAAACGGTTGTCATGGTGATGAATGGACTTTTCACATTGGATTTGATGACTTGCCAACTTGAGCTTTGCAAAAAGTTTCATTGAAAATGTGTTCTTTTAGTGATTGTGTTACTTTTAGATGATTTTATTGAAAAAAAGCAATGTGTGTGAAAATAATTTAAGCCCAAGACTCAATGCATTGTAGCTGCTTCATTCCACTCAGGCGTTGTTTCCTAAACTTTGCATTTCCGCTGTGCGGTCATGCGAAGGTTTTGAAACAACACCTTCATGGTATGATTCAGCAAACAATGCATTGAGTCTTGGGCTTAAATCCTTTAATAAAAAAGTTTTAGTCCATATTTGATTCAATGTCTCCTATATCTAAATCCATTGGAGTTTTAATGGTTTTCTATTATGTCACTCTTCTCCCTGGTCTTCTTCCAGTCTACCTTTTACTCTAGTTTTTACTCTCATATGCGAATGGTGAATTCTTATTATTTGGCCAGTACATACATATTGAAATTGATTCGTTTGTGAACGTGAAGTAATTTAGCATTTGTATGTAAGATTTATTGGAAATCCTCGTTTAATTTTGATAAACTAATGAATATAACTTTGTCATGACTTACATTTCAGTGATCCCAGCTTGTAACAAAAACATTGATCTGATATTTTCCAGGTGGACTACACAATCATTGAACTGGGCCCAGACTTTGCAGTTGAGTTCGACTGTGGCTCAACGTTTGGACTTGTCAACTATTGCATCCACATTCTCTCCAGGACACCTACGCAAAACAAGACTCTTACTACCACTCTACTGAAGAAAGCTATCAACATGGGACTGAATGTGGATAATCTAGACTTCAAGCAAACGCTACAAGATGGCTGCTGGTAGAATTCATTTTGGACTATCGAGCAAATTTTTTGTCAAAAATTACTTTGAACGTGGAGAATATAGTATATGTACATGTATTTGCATTTGTATACATTCTTTTTGGTGGGTTCAATTTAGGCATGATTACTGGGCTCAAACGTCTAGCTAGTTCACAAGACATAGTATGAGGCTTTGGCTCAAGGGTATCCTTAAGCTAAAGTCAAGACCATTTGGACGTTGTCATATATCTCTTACATTCCAAGACACATGGGGACATGTTAGAAGCGGGGCCTTGAGAGGTATAATAAAATTGAAATATAACAATTTCTATGAAACTTTAGTAAGCGAAACTTAGTATACTTTATTTCATAGTACAATCGCTATTTCAATAACTATATTTCATCTTTATCTCTGAAGACCCCGCTTCTAACTTGAGCTCATTGCTCGCGATGTCAGCGGGAACTTGCTCACGATAATCCGGGCCCTGGATAGTTACCGTAAAGTCAGTCCATACGAACATGCATGCATATCTTTTATCGGTAAATATTAAGAAACTATATTGTTGGTGGTTTTTCAGTATGTAGGATATTTTTTCATGTTTGAGAATTATGTTGTTTTGATTTTGTCTAGTTTTATTAGGAGTGCGCTCTTTTTCACAGTCAAGTGTGGTGAAACTTTTCAAACTGTTTACGAAAACGAGTTGGTTTCGGTCACAAATTAACGTAGCCTTTGAGGCATGGTCTTTTTCCATGATTTCACGAGATTTAAGCAAAATCTCCGCGACCTTTTTGGCAAAAATCACCGATATACTTCCTCACACTTGTTACGTAAGCGGAACATTTAAAAACGGTTTTAACTGTTCCATTAACGTAAAACAAGTCAGGAATTATTTTGATCATTCTGGCGTCTCACAAACTATATCGTTCGCAAACGCTTAGATTTTTTGAAACATATGATGCTGACACACGTATGTGCCTACATCTCGTGCATTATGGAAAAAGAAAAATTGTACCTTCGATGCTACGACATTTGTTACCGAAACAGATCCTTTTTCGTAACGAGTTTGAGTTTCGACAATTACGATCTCAGCGTGCAAATTATCGCTCAAACATTTTGAGCACAATCAACAAATAAACAATTGATAGCTAGCAATTGCAGATATCGATACTCGTGATAAACAAAAGATTTTGCTCAATAAATAGTCTCAATAATCGTAATTATCAACCTAATTCGCACTTTGAATTTCATTATCAAATTCAATTGAACTATTAAAGACCCGAATAATGCTCTGTTGTCAAACAAGTATAGCCTTGAAGTTCAGGACAGCTTATTCATCAGAACAAAGACCACTAACGTGGAAATAAAAATATTTTAAAGATTTACAAATTATGTAGATCCACTGTCTGCAAATACGCTTCAACATGTCTTCGTTCATCACCTTGTGCGCTGCTTTTGTTGCTCTTCATATCGCGCAGGTGAGTTACATCTAGAAACATAGTAAAACTAATACAGTAACTAAAGAACTTATTTGCAAGAATGGATTATAAATCATGAAAATTTCACGCTTACAATAATTTTCAATATCAGTTTATATATGCCGTTTTGTTAATTGTCACTTCAGAACTCATTTACAAATACATTTATCATACTTTTATTTGTTCAAAACAATCGAGAATCTATCTCGCATATTTCAAAAACGGCACGAAATGTGTGACACCAGAACAATCTAGGAATAGTAAACATATCTAATCGTATACAATGTCTTGTAAACTTTTTCACCAGGTTGTGCTAGCAGATTATGATTTAAAAGTCCAACTCTTGAGAATCAACAACGCCAAATGGAAATATTGTCGTAGAAAGTGTGGTCGCTCACAAATCGGTGCTTGCATCGACAAAGCTACGTCGTAAGTTGACATGAGGCTGTCGTAAAACATTTTTCAATAAATTGTTTGTTTTTTCGCCGTGTAGCCTTCTACTTTACTTAATGTTCTCTGTTAATCAAGGTAAACTTCCATATTTTCTCCCTAATTGAATTAAAAATATCATATTGTTTCAACAGAAATGATAAATTCATCACGAATTGCGCCTATAAAGAGCGTCAGTTCACAGACGTAAGACCAAACAGAAATATTGACTTGACTAAATCTACAGTGCTTGCTTCTACATTCAAAACGTGGCCGGTAAAGTATATATTACTTCATTTTATTCAAGACACATTCCTAAGATAATCACGTTAAACGTTTTTAAAAATAATGTGAAATGTTTTGCAAATAAAAAACACAGGGTCCTTTTAATGGAGGGAGTCCCCTCTTCTGTATCTGGTGTTGCTCACAAAAATGGTGGTTAAAAAACAGAATGCGATTATATAAAACGATAGAATGATGCAGGCTTTCCTTATTGTAGGGAAAAGTAAAACTGAAAGCTCGCACGAGACAGAACGCAAAACTCGTGACATACTTTGCCAGTCTTATCCAAATACGTCTCCCTGGTGGCCTGTATAGTAAAAAGACAGTCACTGTACGAGGGAAAGGTGTAAACCTATCAGTTCGGTAAGTTTCGCATGGACGCTTTCTGTATTAAAAATATTATACCATGATTAGTAAAAAAAATTCACACACGACTATTTAGCGGCAATTGGTAAATGACTTAAACTGATTCTTTACATAACGTCCACATGCGATGTAATGTCATCAAATTCTACTTCATCTTTTCAGCTTGACCTTTAGCTACATCTTAACGTGCAGTCCTAACTATTACGGCAGGAAATGTGAATTGTATTGCAAGGCGCCACCAAATGGAATCTGTAAAGTATCGGGTATTTTGATTTTTGCTTATGCTCCACTACATCATATAGATAGTGAACGTTGTCCTTGGAGATCATTCTTTTTTGGTCGAAAAGGTTCGTGTGCTTTGGTACCATTATAATTCTTAGAATAATAATGGTATAACACCATTTATATTTATCACTCATATATAGGAACCATATGGGGATATTTGTCATCACTCATCACCATTATGACGATCCAAAACATCGAGATACATTTCATTCAAACTGGAATCAATACAAAACGTTCAAGAACAATTGAAAACTGCTCCGCTATTAAGCTACTAAGAAAGTTTATAACAGGTAGACACCGACCATATGATTCTTTTAGTAAAATGTGGGAACAACAGGAGTTACTAAGATGAAGTAGATTTTTATCGTTTTTTTTTAATTTAAGGTGTCTGGGTGATTATCAGAAATTTAGACCAAACAGGAAATGCTTGAACCTTGAATCAGTTTTACTACTCCCATATATTATTTACATGACCAGGATCACAATGGTCATGATCGAAATGCTAGTCTAGTTTTTTCAGCCCTCTGAAAAGTGCCTGAAAAAAACTTAAAAGTTAGCATTTCCGAAAGGTCACTGAACAGAATATTTTGAATTTTTCAGGAAATGTGCCCCATATATTGCTTTAAATGATAGGAGCTTTGAAAATTAGAAAAATTGTCTGAAACAAAAATTGTGTCATAAAAAGGAAAAAAGATTTTTTCTCTATTTCTAGAAACACGTGGTACTAACTTCGACCGTTAATTTGAATCCAAACCGGATGTTTGAAAATCACGGATTACGAGTCTCATACTGCACCGTTTTTCTTCAAACTTGCTCCATTCAAAGCATAACAAAAATCCCTTTCTGTTGGTACATTATTCTCTTAAGAAGAGTCCCTACTTCCAGCGGCATTTTGTTCCCCAGCTGAAAGAAGGCCTTCTAACAGCTGGGGACCAAAACGCTGCTAGAACAAGGGACTCTTTACAATAAAGTAATGCACCGACAGAAAGGCAATTTTGTTTTGCTTTTAATGGTATAAGTTTGAAGAAAAACGGTGCAGTATGAGACTCGCAATCCTTGATTTACAAGCATCTGGTAGGTCAAAAATTCAAATTAACGGTCGAAGTTTGGACCGCGTGAGAAATGAATTCAAATTTTCAAAGCTCTTATCATTGTGATCCTGGCCATGTAAATGATATATGGGAGTAGTGCAACTGACAGAAGATCAAAGCAGTACTCTGCCATCATACTTCAAAGAATTCTAAAATCCACATGTTTTTTTAATTTCCTGTTTATGGTGTAAATTTCTACCCCGACACCTAAAGGAGCTAAAAATCCAACCTCATTGTATGATTAATTTTGAAGATTGGAAATATCCCCTCTTAACACAAGATATAATTCTAACTTTTCAAACTTATTAAGTCTATGAAGCCGAAGCAAGTGTGAGCGAAGATTTTTTAATTTAGCCCCTTTTACAAAAGATTTTGCGTTCATTTTGTGCCTCACTTCATTATTTCTTCAAATGTAACAATGCTACTTATTTTGGTAACGCCAACATTTAGACTAATTGCTCTTGATAATGCTTATTTCATATACATAAAATTAGGAAACCGTGTGAATGTTATCTGCAAGCGTGACTACTATGGTACAGGGTGTGGCACTAAATGTGTACCCTCAACCAAATTCACATGTGATCAGAAAACAGGAGCCAAAAAATGCAAGCCATACTTCTTTGGCAAAGACTGTGACACGGAATGCAAGCCTGGTGCAAACTACAAATGTGACAGTTCTACTGGTATGTATGAATTTTAGGATTACCTTTTGGCCATATGTAAGTAAATGTTAATTAATAAATATGAAGTATGACATTCGTCCGCTAGTACCATCACTTTTTGCATGAACATCATTATTTCTCTATTGTCATTGTTCCTCTTTAGGTAAAAAGAAATGCAACAGAAGTTGGTATGGCCCAAGATGTGACGTAGAATGCAGATCAACATCACTTAGCAAATTCAAATGTAATCCATTGACAGGCACTAAGGAATGCAACAAAGATTACTATGGCAAAAACTGTCAGACGTATTGTAAAGGTAGCTTTGGGTAAGATCGCTCTTACAGTCAATCTAGTACACTACATTAGATCGTAAATTTTCCAAGTCAGCTATCTCTCAAATGTTTATTTCAATTTTAGACACTCCTGCCACCCGATACACGGTGGCAAGGTCTGCAAGCCAAACTATTATGGAGATGATTGTAAAGTGATTTGCACGGGAAACAGTAGATATACATGCGACCCAAAGACAGGAGCTAAAATATGCAATGAAGGATTATTTGGGAAATATTGTATAACACAATGTCGACCTACTGGAAACAAAATATGTAACCCATCAGGTAAACTTATATGTAAACCTGATTATTATGGTATGCAGTGCAAGACCTTTTGCGACGATAGCGACTCAAACTATAAATGTGATGCACGAGGCAAAAAGATATGCAACCTAGGCTATTTTGGAACTGATTGTCAGACATTCTGTAAAGCTACAAAGACATATACCTGTGATGACAAGACAGGGGAGAGAAAATGTAGGAAGGGATACTATGGAAAGGAATGCAAAGTAGAATGCATAGATGGTCCTAGATATCAGTGCGACAAAGAAGGGAACAAAATATGCAGAACAAACTACCATGGCATGAATTGTAATGTACTTTGTATAACTACAATCGGAAATACTTGCGACGAGCTAGGTAATAAGATATGCAGGCAATACTACTACGGGAATGAATGTTCCAAAAGGTGTGTACCGAGCCAGTCGTCGTATTGCGGCAACACTGGTAAGAAGTTTTGCTATGAAAATTACTTTGGACCGGAGTGTCAAACATATTGTAAGGAGACGCCACATTATATTTGTTCTCCATCTGGTCAGAAGATTTGCAGAGAAAATCAATTTGGAAGAAACTGTAACAAGAGATGCATCCCACAATTGGAATTCCAATGCAATACAACAAATGGTGAGCGGGTTTGTAATCGACATTATTTTGGTGTTAGTTGTTTAACATACTGTAAAGAAAGCGTATCTGCTAAATGTGACAACAAAACAGGAGAAAAAATATGCAAAGAAAATTTCTATGGTGACTTGTGTAACGTTTCGTGTATACCAGAAGAGACATTTGGATGTGACAATATCACAGGAGAAAGAATATGTAAAGATAACTTTTATGGTGATCTGTGTAACGTTTCATGTATACCAGAAGAGACATTTGGATGTGACAATATCACAGGAGAAAGAATATGCAAAGATAACTTTTATGGTGATCTATGTAAAGTTTCATGCGAACCAGAGGAGACATTTGGATGTGACAATATCACAGGAGAAAGAATCTGCAAAGATAATTTCTATGGTGGTCAGTGTGATGTATTTTGCAAACCTGAAGAGACATTTGGATGTGATGATAAAACGGGAAATAAAATGTGCCATATTAACTATTATGGGGACAATTGTGCAGTATTCTGTATTCAAGGAGACGGATATTATTGTGATACACAAACAGGACGTAAGATATGTCGTTGGGGTTTCTATGGAATTGAGTGCGATGTATTCTGTGAAGAAGGGTCGACATTTGTTTGTGATCAACAAACTGGAGCAAGAATATGTTTTCCTGATTACTATGGACAAGAATGTAGCACACATTGTTCACCAATCAACTCTACTGACATTAGCTTCACATGTAATCCCAGAACTGGAGGAAAGATATGCGAGCCCGGTTTTGACGGACCGAATTGTACAATCGTTCTATCGTCTAGCTCGCCAACTTTACCAAGTGTCCCGCCAAGTGCATCTCAGTCAATTATCTCAACAACGTCGACATCTAAAGTTTCTACAAATTCTCCAACATCATATACCTCACTCAAAACAACATCTCGATGGAAACCACGATCATCCATGATTTCACAATTAGTGACATTGCCACCGGATGTATCCTCTGCAGAACCATCTGTAGCAGTTGTAACTGTACCAGATATGACCAGTCCTCCATTACAGACCAGCACTGTATATTCTAAGCCTCCAGAATGGGCCACAGGTAATAAAAAATGTAACTAAAGGGGCCAAAATTGGGAAGAGCGTTACAAAACGCAGCACTTAAGAATATGACACATATAAGAGCACGACAATCTACAACACAATAACAATTGCTCCAAAAAATGTTTACTCCATTTTGATAAATGCAATGGTATGCTTCAACTTAAACCGATAAAAACAAGTTCTTTAAATTGGGAAACTGTATAATTAAATATTTGGCAAGTGACAGAATTTTAAGTCATAACTGGCCTTTTAGGTACGATTATATTGGAAGGTCGTGCAAGTAAGAAACAGGTCGACAAAGTGAAATACACCATTATGAGAGTTATTTCTGATGAGCTATCTTCTGATGATACCAGCGAAGTTTATGTGGGTATACTACCTATTGAAACTGGTGTAATGAACAGGTATTTGGTACAACCATTTAGAGACGCCCATGATTGAGTAATACCAGTCGGACGTAGTATTGATTAAATTATATGTTTTGACAAAGGTTATGATTACGGATTATTCAAAACTGAATCCGTTCATCACTTAGTATTTATCCGAACAGAGTTTAACAAAGAACAGAATTGCGAAAGTAGATTGGCTGATTGGACACCAACAAGAACACGCCAAATCACATTGTCTTTTCAAATTGTATACCAACGAAACGTTTTTATAGTCTCATAAATCCAACACCCCTTTGGGTCACTCTTGTTTATATTTTGAATGGGACCAACACTCTATTTTTTTGATAATGCCCTATACATGTATGATCATATCAATGCCGAACTTCATTTAGCAATCCAGTCACCACTCGACTGTATTACCCATAATGCACTCTGCATCATCTTATGCCTTATATATTCTTCAAGCGGTACATTCTCAAAGACGTCAGTCTACGCCACATTGGCTACATACACCAAGGTGTCTTACTATGTAAAGCTGAACGGAGAGTATTTGGCTGCAGCACATATAGAGGAGATTCTATCAGATATGCCTCGAGAAAGACTAAAAGAGTTTCCCCTCCCCGTATTCCGAATAGGGACTAAAACAATGAAGACAGGCAAAAATAAACCCGTGAGTCCCTATATCAGTTTTACGTTTACAATTGTCCAACTTGGCACTACGTCAGAAAAACTAAAGCCAAATCCACTATTTCAATTCATATTTTTTAATTAGTTGTTCCATATAATTTTATACGATATTTTCAGTAGCTTTGTTCTTCATGTCATTTTCAGCAAAGCAGTAACCATCTCGCTGCCATTGTAGGCATACTGGTAGGATGCATGGCTTTACTGGTGTGTGTTATTGTAATAGTTGCAGTCATTTTAAAGAAAAGAAGGTAGGCAGTAGTTTGTTTGTATACTCTCCCCCATAAGTCTGATATCCGCTACTCACAAAGAGATATCTTGTTTAAGCCAACATGTTTTGAGTACACATACTCACTCTACTATACCTTGCATTGGGTGTTCATGAGCAACCCTTTTGGCTTATTAGTAATGATTATGTTATTTGTTTTAATTTGACTGTTCATTATTAATGGTTTATCGGATGACGTGAGATATCAATAAGGTACTTTCAGAAATATACTAAACAATACAATTGGACAAACAGAGTATCTTATGCATTTCTAGGGGTTAGGTATAGTAGAGTGTTACTGTTTCAGGCACAACAAGGAACCACCGATAGATTATGATATGCAGCAATTTCCTAACCCGATGTACGACGCAATCAACATCAAAGACCATGGTACGGGAACAACCGTAAAACATGGTCAGTCCAATTGTAGCTCGCTATATGCAGTTGTTAGGCCTAAACCTCCGGAAGCTGACGTCGTTGATACACCGGCGCCAGATTACGACTACGATGAGGTGGAAAACATTCCCATCTTTTACGCAAAGTACTCGGGAGATATGAAACTTGGATCAGTAAGAAGCGTATATGATGCATAGGGCATCTCTGAATTTATTATACTGGGGTATTGTATTTACACTACATTCTCTATTTCATATTGGACAAACTGAAGTTGTTAATGTTGTTGCCTTTCATGGCTTTGATGAATTTATGACTTCATAGATGTCAGGCTGATTCAACATCAGACATGTATATTTCAATGATTTTTTTTTCTCTTTGTCTTTTGAATGTTGGCCCGGTGTAACAGATTTAAGTGTCCCCCGGTGGTCAGTGTCCGTGGGACAGCCAACCCTAGGGATCGGGGTCCGTAGGACCCCGATCCCTAGGGTTGGCTGTCCATTGGAGGACATTGAAAACCAGGTTTTATTTCCTATATCAACAAGGGTAAAATGGGGAGACAGTTATAACTGGGGAGACTCTCAGATCTGTCACACCAGTAACAGATTGTAATGTCCCCCGTTGATAGGATTTAATACTTGTAGTTACTAGGATCCAAGTTATAGTGTAGTCGAAATCGGATATCGGCATCTCTCCCACTGTGGCGTAATGGTATAGGCGTTGGCATAATGCGTATTTATTAATTGTGTTTGTATTTATTAGGTTCCAGGTTCGAATCCTGCATTGATATATCATGTGTAAAATTATTAACCGTCTGCACCGTTTATATTGTATTGTATGTTATATAGTCTCAATATATATTCTATATTGTAGCCTATTTTTATTGGTGCCCATTTTTACATTTTCAAAGGATACCACCAGTTTTTATAGATATTCTTTATTTATTTTTTTATTTATTCCTCCTAACCACTTTTCTCCTACTTCTAGCTAGGTCTGAGATAACTCTTATATGCTTCTACTAAGGACCTGAGCTGCACTTGGCAGGGAAGGACTTTTTATCTAGGTCAAGGTCAAAGGACAAATCTAGGTCAAATCAGAGTTTTTTAAGTTTCTTAGATTTCGTCATCATATTTCATGATTATTTCTTGCAATGAATTAAAATGTAACTAGATAAGCATTCCCTACAAATTGCTTACTATATGTTTGCGTTAAATCTTTACCGTTTTTGAGATAATTGACGAAAAAAAATTGGTCATATTGCTTCAAATTGACCAATTCATTTTTAAAAATCATCTACAAATCCCCGGGAACTCAAATCTGACCTTTATTTTGACCTTCTGGGTTCAAATTTAGGTTTATTTAATCACAAAAAGACCCACTGATGTCTAAGAAAGTTAAAGGATAAGTATCGATATGGTGAAGTGAATTCAACAATGTTTTTCTCTTAAACCATTTATTGGAAACATTCTGTAAAAAACACGGTCCTTTATGTAATGTTGACTGATTGGCAACAATTTAATGCAAAAATAATGCATATATATTTTATATAACTGTTTTTGTTAACATTTTTTTATGTAATTGTTTTTTGTTCCTTTTTACGAATTCTTGAGAATGAAATAAAATGTCTTTCCGAACCTTGTTGGAACAAAATAGCATAAACAACATTTTCTTAGACCTCTCAATATTATAGTTATACAAAGAAAATTTGGGTTGATTTAACAAAAAGTATCCAAAAACTTAAAACAAAACCCCTAAAATAGATAAAAATTAAGATAAACCTTTCATTTCATTAACAAAATACTTATTTAAAATCAACCAAACTTTCCTTTGTACAATTGCAATATTGAGAGACCTAAACACGTTGTGCTTATATGTCGTTTTGTTCCAATGAGGTTCGGATAGATATTTCATTTCATTCCGAATATATGATACCAAGAAAAAAAGTGTCTGATGTGTTTTTCTAAAACAATATAGAGAAAAGTCTATATATATAATTCAAATTATAATGTTACCATCCAAAAGATGACCATTAAATGGACGATGTGTAAAATTTTCAGAATGTTTTGATGAAAACGCGTGTTCAAAAAGTTCATCATATCGATACCACTCCTTTGCAAGGTCAAATGTCAAGGTCATCAAACTAAATCACAAACTGTGTTTTCTTAGTTTATCAAAGTTGATGATTATAAATCAATATTTTTTGATGAAAGTCAGAATATATATATTCCACTAAAGGTTGTACACATATAAGCAGTTGACTATCCATTAAAATTGTGCGACAGTTTTGAGATATTAGACCTCAAAAACGGAAAAAAGGTCAAATTTCGAAACTTTTCAAGACTAAATTTCAACTTGCTTCAAATTGACCAAACATTTTTATTTAGGAGTGCATATACGCGATAAATATACTTACATTTTGTGAATTGTGTTATATTTGGTCTATATTTAACGTGACAGAGTAGTGCTCGGTGATTTATTAATGATAAAATGCATTATTAGTTAATACATAAATAAAGGGGGGGGGGGCACTAAAAACTAGCTTTCGAATGATGCTGGTTTTTAGTGTCCCCAAGGGGACATTCAAAACTTCAAGGGGGACACTTAAAACTTGGAGTTAACTGTCCGACGGACAAGCATCCCCAGGGTTAACTGTCCCACGGACACTGGCCACTGGGGACACTTAGATCTATTACACCGGTTATCCATTGGAAACAGTAATGAGGACAACATTCTGCAATAAGTGATTTTAAACTTTAAAGAGTTAAAACTTAAACTGTGATAACAATGTTAAACTTATAAATCAATAATAACCTTATTGCTGATGATGAGTTCGACAGTTACAAGACAAATATTCAAATAATCCACTAGCAATATAGCCCTTCGGACTTCGTGAAATATCATTTGTGAAAGATGAACAAGTATTCATCCAGAGATAAATAGTTGTATAATATCCACAAATCCTTTATAGTATATTTTATACTTGCTCTGTGGCGTGTTGTCAGAGTTAATGTATTAATAAAGCAAATCGAACACATAACCACTCGTTATTGATGCTTTTATCTTCTAGCTGACTACTTTCATCCCATTAATTGCATTTCATTGTAAACCAAAAGTGATTCAGAATCCAGAAACGCATTGACTGCTCGAATAGATGATAATGATGCAGATGCTCATCACATGTTCTGTTTTCGAAATAAAAGAAAGGAACTTAAAGAAACTTTCAAGATGACTACATATTATAGAGGACGTGTCATTTCTGTGAATAGGAATATCATTCGACGGATGCATGTTGATGTGAACCCGTAATCATTCAGTAAACTAAAAATATTCAAGGTTCCATCAAAGTGGGTATACAGAATATCACTCCCACATAGAGAAAGAATGTTACCGTCGATTTAAATTGTTACGTAAACGGAACGGGTAAGTAGTGCAGATCTTTCATTTTCTTAACCGTGAAGTTCCGTTTACGTAACAAAAGTGAGGTATTAAGTCGACGATGTTGTTGTTTTCTGAACTTTTTGTTCGCAAACATGTACACTTACTTAAACATATGATACTGAAACACGTTTGTGTTAAAATGTCGTGGGAATTCTGCCTACCACTTGTAAATTAAGGAAAAAAGGGGTTTCGACATTTTGTTACCGACCGTTTGGTAGTATCGTAATCGAGTGGAGTATCAGTGAATATGAAATTTAAGAGAATTTAATTACTACCCTGGGTGTCAGGTCAGAGCTTAGTACACATGTACACTTGTATAAGAGAGAAGCATAACCAGACTATTGGAAAGGGTAGTTATATATACACGATATCAGTCAAAAGACTTGTTGACCCGATTCGATCAATGTGTGAATGTATGCCGTATACTCGGTTAGCTCTAATTCATGTTTACATCTCAATATTTTGTATTTGTCCAAAAGTGAAAAGAACATAGGCTATCGTTTATTATAGGTTTATTACCATATAAATTAAGATATCTGAGCTATAGCTCCCACAAAGAAATATATACCTGTAGTTAGTTTTCTTATCAGAAGTGGTTTCTATACAAGGCCAACGATTGTCATTCAATGCAAAACGCGTTTATTGCTTACGATACAATGACTTTTTTGTATACTGTGTCATATTGTACAAGTAAACATGTTTTTATAACTTTGTACAGGAAATTTGAAATGTAAAAATAAACATGGTTAAACATGAATTCTAACGTTAATTTGACTGAAGGAATATACTGGTATATAGCGTTCACTCTATTGAGGAATCAATAAAAAACACAGTTGTGCCGAAGTTAATATCTCAAAGGTAAAATTCACAACAATAAATATATATTATGATTGGGGCAAAGTGCAGGCAAACACATACCTATGAAGCAAAGTGAAAATGACTTCCAACAAAATAGATAACGCTAACGACACTTCTGCTAATAAGGATAATACAGCAGTGGGTGAAAGTATAGGAGAAATAGCTGAGTGTGATGAGAGGATTATTGCATGTGGATATGGAAGCTGTACACCCGAAGCATTGCAGAAGTGCAATAACGCAAAGGTTTTCTTGGCGGTCATATGCTTATTCTGCACAGTTCAAGGCAAGTATTTTTGTGCATGGTTAGTCTGGATTGTATGAATTTTATTTCTGGTGAATTTGATGGGTCTTATGGGCTTCCCAATGATCCTACATGCTACGTCCCCTGTCATCCAATATTATACCACATATGATCCAGTTAGAAGTCCATCCATAGATAGTGGAAGATATGAGCAATGTATATCCTGGTCCTGGATTATAACCCTGTACCATGAACGTGATCCATTTTATATTTAAACGCAGACACAACATTTATATTTTCATTATACATCATGCAAGGCATACAATCAGCATCTGTACTGTATTCGATAAATTAAATATTTATTTGCTGCATATGTTTATTTCAGTTGTAGGCTATATATTTCACGATTACATGTAGCCTCTGTTTATTTATGTAATTTACTTGCCCGATTGAGTATTGAGAGCTTATTGGAAAAATTAAAATTCTCTGAATGAAATGAATGAATGAATGAATGAATGTCTCTGAAAAAAGACAGAGAGGGAAAGGGTAATCCATTTGGGGTAATAAGACCACGTACACGTTTTCTTAAAAACGTGTATCCTCCCTTATAGTGAAAAACGTATTCAATAATTTTGCCATTTGCGTGAATTGTTCATTGGAGTTACGATACACAAAACAAGAAGAGGATACTGTTGTTTCATTCCTTACCATTTCTGGGAATCGGGGTATTAAAGCCTGGGATGGAAATAAAAAGGTATCATCTACATGCATACTTATGTCATATATGTGAGGTTCGTATCTGCAGGTTTTGTTGTGAATGGTATCAACAATGTAAACACATCTACCCTTGAGCGAAGGTACCAACTCCCGAGTTCCAGGGTCGGCTTAATCTCCAGCGCCTATGACATCTCTGCCGGTATATTGGTGATACCTATCACCTACTGGGGAGCACATGCCCACAAACCAAGACTTCTTGCATTCGCTTCATTGTGTTTAGCGCTTGGGTCATTCGTAATGTGTATCCCACAGATAGCTTCTGGACAGTATCAGCTGGGGAATGCTGTGTCAGATGTATGTTTGGCTGGGAGTAAGTATGTATGTTTAGAATTATGAACGTATCTATCGATGGCTATCTTAACTAGTCATAACGAATCACCCGATTTCGTGAAAAGCGTTATCTTGTATCTATGTCACGTCCCCATCAAGAGATTGTTTAAGTCACGGTGTTTCTGACCAGCGTTCGGAGGGGATGTTTGGCATATGTAACAAATTGTAACATTTGTGTAAATACAACGTTGTGCTAAATTCGACATTGTCATGCTAATGCCTTGTTTCAAATTTCCTATTTTGTCTTCTGCCGTCATAAACTTGCATAATCACAGGCTGGTGTCGAAATATTTGTCCGCTGTGACGGAGCATGCTATTTTTCGTAAAAACACTAAGAATACTTCACGATTTATTTTTTAACTCATATGTTTCGTTATACCATACAAGATTACTTTCTCCATGCAATGGATATATCATTTGCGGGTAACTTTCACTTCTGTTTGCAGTCCAATTACGCTGGGAAGAAAAGCTATTGAAAATGGCGCCGGAGTATCATACTTCAAAATGTACCATTTCTTGTTTAACTTTCTAATGGCACGATATAGTGACACGATAATATTTACACATGGTTTCAGCATAACTATGAAGGTATAAATGAGATGTTGATGTATTTTGTCTTTTTAATTCTTTTATAAAAAATAATGTTTAATTTTTTTGTCCGCTGTGACGGAGCAGTTGCAAATGTGAAATGTGAAAATGCTCCGTCACAGCGGACAAAAAATATTAATATTATTTTTATTAAAAAAATTAAAAAGACCCAATGCATTAATATCTCATTAATACATTCAGAGTTATGCTTAAACCATATGTTAATATTATCGTGTCACTATATCATGCCATTAAAAAGTTAAAAAAGAAATGGTACATTTTAGAGTTTGATACTCTGGCGCCGTTTTCAATAGATTTTACTCCTTGCGTTATTGGACTTCAAACAGAAGTGAAGGTTACACGCAAATGATATATCCATTGCATAGAGTAAGTAATTATCTTTGATATAACGAAACATATGAGTTAAAAAATAAATCGTGAAGCATTCTTAGTGTTTTTATGAAAAATAGCATGCTCCGTCACAGCGGACAAATCTTTCGATACCAGCCTGTGATAATATAAGAATATTCTTTGAGTCTTTGACCATAATCTTCTGACATTTTTTTCAACTTAGGTAATGCTACTGACAATGGCTGTGGTGATATAGAAGAAAGCTTGGCCTTACAGAACTACCTGTATGTGTTCATGCTGGGTCAGTTCCTACATGGAATAGGAGGAACCACATTGTACAGCATAGGAATTGTATTTATTGATGAGAATGTTAAGACAAAAGTCTCGGCATTGTATATCGGTAGGTATCTTAATCATAATCAAAACATACAGTAATGGGGTAAAGTTGGACGGCACCTCTGTCGACTTTACATAGCTCGGGACCTTGTCGGATCCGATGGGGCACTTGGAACCCCATAAGGCTTTGATTAAAATCATTTAATTGACTGTTTAATCAACTGTTGGGGGTTTAATTGCAAATAAACGTTTCTAAACGCATGGTCAGATGAAACCGCACATTATTGTGAAAACAGGTATGAATCATAAAGATCTCACCACGAACAGCCATGTGCGTTAATTAAATAATGGACGTTCTTGTTTTTAAATTCTAGGCATCATGTATGCGTTCTCTGCAGTGGGACCAGCATTGGGATATGTAGCAGGAGGACAGTTCTTAAATATCTACGTAGACGCGGCAGTCACAAATTCAGCAGAGTAAGTCGATTTGGCGTATGTTGTGGAATACCATGGGTCGTTAAAGTTGAGGTAACTAGGGTAATTGTCATACCACAGTCTGAGCGAAGCAGAATCCTAATTATTTCAAGTTGTCTTATTTGGTCACTTCATAAACTCGGAAACTATTTGTAAAAATAATGTCCAGATAGCTTTCTCAAAAATGCGCCTTACTACATATGCATGTTAATGACCAGATACGTTTCTGAAAATGTACTTTACGTTTGAGATAAACTAAACGTGCACGTTACTCACCAGATAAGTTTCTAAAAATATACTTTACTTTCCAGATAACTTTTTAAAAACATTACTTTCAAAATAATTTTCAATAATAAGTTTTTGCAAATGTATAACACTTTCGAGATAATACAATAAGTTGCCTTTTGAAAATGTGTATGAATCATAATCATATTTTTTGTTTCAGTATTAGTATCACAGATGAGGATCCTAGATGGGTAGGAGCGTGGTGGTTAGGATTTGCTATAGGATGTTGTGGTTTTGTAGTAGTTGCAGCTATGCTCTTTTGCTACGGATACGAGTTACCTGGTAAATGAATGACTAAGTACACATTTTCATATTCGTGTTCTTCTAATTACAGGGTGGTCAAAAAACTGCAACCCTGGGTTTTCATGATATTTTGTCATTAGGGGTTAACTCCCTGATATGACACATGTATAAATCAATCAACCCCCTACCAGCCAACCAGTTTTTGACCACCCTGTAAAAATCAATAATTAGCTATAGTGATAATTGAACAGTCACAATATTGATTTTCAAGATTGTAGCATTTATATGTATCATCTTTACGTTTTTTTACAATTTCACCCATTCAGATCATTTACTGTTTACTCACATAGATGCAAAAGAAGCCAAGACCGAGAGATATTCACAGGCACATCAGGACGGCAGCGAAGATGTAGCCAATCGAGATGGCTTCGGAAAATCAATAAAAGACCTTCCATTGTCAACCAAACTGATTTTGCTAAATCCGACCTTCATGTTCATTAATTTGGCTGGTTGCACAGAGGGGTTGATCATCAGTGGATTCGCAACATTTATGCCAAAATTCATACAGAATCAGTTTTGGCAAACTGCCGGCATGTCTGCCTTTTATGGAGGTATGACTATTGGCTCCCAGGGACGCAACTCGATATTTTCCAACAATGAAAATGTCAGAATGTGATTACCTGACAATAAATTCATAATCAACAGTCCAAAAGATTCTTACCAATATCTTGATCACTTCTTGTGTGTTTTTGAATTCTTACTTGAAATATAAGACAAAAACTCGCGATTCAAATTCTGAATTGAACAAAATGGCAGCTGTTTGAATTCGAATTCTGTAATCACGTCGACGACATCTTCATATATGGTAGAATATCGAGTTTGAACCCTGGGAGCCAATCCTCCTTGTGACTAGCACTAAAATAAATTCAAGTAGCATGGGCCAGACATATGCCAAGCAAGGTAACAACATTACCGTGCATAAATATATTTTCCCAATGTTTCCCGACTAGAATTGTAGAAATGAAGTCCAAAAAGGAGTAATATGACTCCTTTAGTCTGATTTTGCCTAGGCCTAATTTCAGATTCTGCCCCTAACATTTTATCTTTCCAAGAAGGATTGACCTTGTAGACCTGCCTCGGAGAAAGACTGGTGATATGTATGATTATTGTAGGGTTAGTAGCTGTGATTGGCGCAGCGGGAGGGCAGGCTCTGGGGGGCTTTATCGCCAAACGTTTCAACCTGAAGGTGAAGGGAATGCTGAAACTCAGTATGGGATGCTGCATTGCATGCGTTGCCTTTGTGCTGATCTTCCTAGCCCGCTGCGATAGCGAGAAGATAGGGGGGATTACAGTGTCCTACATTAACAAGTTAGACTTTTATACCCCCTAGAACTAGTGTTCAGTTATAAAATGTCGGATCAGGTTGAAAACATCATGTCAACTGTCATTACCCATACTTCAAGTACTCCCAATTCTGATATGGTGCTTTGGTTCACCATATTGTTATAGTCCCTAACTTTTTTTGTGGACGGTGTTCGGCGTTTGGCGTTCGTCGGTCGGCGTCTTCAACAAATAGCAGATGGTCAGATTTCGCATGCTTATGCCTTGTCTAATTGTATTTTTAATGGTTCTAACTTCTAAGTCCCATATCAAATGCTTTCACCTTTCTGATATACCCTTTCTGATATTTGGATGCTTTAATAATAGTGGGAAGAATATTTACTTTGTGCATTGGCTAATTAATTATGACACAGATGGGCCTGTTAGAATTGAACATTTTCAGTCTCAGCATTTTTCAGTTTTTGAGTAGGACACCGAAACTCCACAATATTGCCGTATAGCTAATTTGAATGCCGTCCAAAAATATACGCCCAAAACTTCGTGAACAGCCCTCTTCACACGTTGAATTACATTTGACCTTAATGACTTGATCAAAAAAATATCAGAGGCGTTTTGACGTCTTCTTCCATGTTCTTGGCGATAGAAGTTCTATAAAACTGTATTTTACTTGGATATCATTACCGTCCAAGTGCAGGAAGTGGAACTTCTGACAATCGAGGACAATGACAAAATTTATCTTCGGGGGCCGGCCATTAATTATGATTAAATGATTGTGATTTGAATCTAGTGTTCTTCAACTACACTTGTAACTTCAATAAAATAATAACAAACCGATAATATAGACTGATAGAGAATGACTTTTATGAAATTATATTTTAAGAAGTGGTGTTTACACTTATCAAATAACTTAAAAAGACGACGTGGCTTTTAAACCCATGAATGTAAAAATGTCGACTATAGATTTGTATATTTACTCCTAAGGCCATAAATCAAGAGTAGACGTAGTACTACTGTACTGTATATGAGACTAAAGGGCACGACGTCTTTTTAAGTCAGCCAGATATTTATATTGATATGAAAGCAAGGGATAATCTCACATTTTATTTTATAATTATCTGGTATCACCTAGTATTTGTACAGATCCCCCAACCCCACCCCCTAAAAATAAAATCACGTTTATCAACTTCCAGAACTGAGATTGAAGAATCAGCACTAATTGCGGATTGCAACCGTGGATGCAACTGCACAAGTGAAAGCTATGAGCCAATATGTGGAATAGATGGCATTGCCTACTTCACCCCATGCCATGCAGGCTGTCTTCGATCATTTAGAGACGGAAGCACAAAAGTATATTTTAACTACTAAAGTAATACTACACGACTATTTCATTATATTGAATCATGGGCTTTCAATTAGATCGTGCCATATAAGTGATAATCCACGAGGACCGAATGGCTAGTGAGTAGCGTCTTGTGAAAGTACAGGGGGTATACTGAAAATAGAATGAAATATTTGTTTTAATTATATTACTCTCAAGTTTACCATCCTCAAAATCAGTTCATATTTGAAACATTGATAAATACATCTATATACGTAGGTTGAATTTCCGTTTACCAGTAGTATTTAGGTCTCCCGTCATCTCTAATATTTTTATTTACTTTTTTATTTCAGAGAAAAATGAGTTAAAACGACTCTAATCTTTACTTACACTGAAATTGAACGCTTGATAATAGTCTTATCTTGTTTTCTCCCTTGTAAACTATAATATCATGTATTGCAGAGATATGCAAATTGTTCCTGTATTGACACACCAGCTGAGTCTCCATATTCAGCGACAAGCGGAAAGTGTGAACCGACGTGTAACCTCCTCGCTGTCTTTCTACCAATATTCTTTATCGTTGTGACCTTGACCTTCATGGTGAGCCCTATTGGTATGTCAGCCTCTCTAAGGGTCATACCAGATGCACAAAGATCATATTCAGTAGGAATAAAATGGGTCATTATGCGTTTTCTAGGTAAGAAAATACCACGATTGCAACGATTGGCTTTATTTGATTTTAGGTAGACCAACTAAAAGTAAAAAATAAAACTCATGACCATTAGCATAGTAAGGAATGACTTGTGGGGCAACATGGTAAAAATATTAGAATAGTACTGCGCATGTACGTTGACATGGCTGAGAAAGGGTTTCAGAAATTACTTGAATTTTTGTTTTTGCCATCCATACTGTATTTTCTAAAAAGTCCTAGTGGTCATTATCCGTCCCGGTCCAGGTCGAATAATGGTTTTATACTTCGTTTTCCATAAGTGGTGGTAATATTGATAACCTCATTTCGCCTTTGAAATTGGGTTATGGGTATATTTAAAGGGAACTATTGGTTGTTTCCGACATTATTTTTCATTTTCTATCCTTTCTAAAAAGAATTTACATATCAGTTGTATACAACTTTGCACTTCCAGGTACTGTACCAGGGCCAATCTTGTTTGGTGCCATATTTGACATTGCCTGTAGACAGTGGCAGGAGAAGTGTGATGAACGGGGCTCTTGCTGGATTTACGACAACAATAGTCTCAGTCTCAATTTGCTATTATTAGGACTAGTTATTAAAATTATATCAGCAATATTTTTCTTTGTTGCATATCTTTTATACAAACCACCCCCAGTTGATGCACCTATAAGCTTACTGGATAAACGTGGGAAAACTATTTCGGAAAATGTAAACAACATCAATACAACTGATACCCAAATAGATGCAGCTCAAGGAAATAAGTCAAACGGGGATATTACGGATGCAATAAAAGTGAAAACAGATCAGGGAGAAGTGAACCCTGTATTTGTAACAACACTTTAAATGGATGCAATAAAAATTACAATATATATCCGAGAAGCAAACGCTGCTTTTGAAACAATGAATGGAAATGACAATATGCACAAAGGAAGGGAGAAGCAAACGCTGTATTTGTAACAACACTTTAACGTTTTGTACATGCATTTCATCGATGTTTTGTTTCAGACATCGATGCATCGGCAGAATCACTTTGGGCGATGAATATCGCGATGCATCGATTAATCGCGACAAAACTACAAAGGAGAAGCAAACGCTGCATTTGTAACAACACTTTAAAGTTTTGTGCTTGTATTTCCTTAAAAATTAACGCAATGGTCAGTGCAAACGTTGTATATAACAATAGAGTACAATATTAATATAATGACAAAACAACAAAAAATGCTTGCATTTCCGAAATTGTTTCTATTTTTGTATAAATATAGAAATAAATCTTGTGAAATATTAAAAAATAGTTACCGTATGTCAAATTCTTCATCCACAGTTCATTTCTCACAGGTAAGATCTGAGACGAGATGGTCTTCATTGTAATTAGTCCTTATTCGAGTTCACCATACTATATACGTTTTGCTAAAAATTGAAATACATTTTTTGTTCTTTACACAGGGTGGACCACAATAATTTCTATTTTCTATTGCTACTACTAGTAACTCTAACCGTGTTATGGATTTCTAGAATTTTTTTGCTAATCAAGAAATTAATTGACTTTTAGCTAGGATTATCCAAGATTATCTATACTATCAATAGTATTCTGCCTCAACCAATATCTTTGCTGCCATCTGTTTATCCATCTCTATTATTCCAAGGTACTACTACTTTCCGCCCAATGAATAACACAGGGGAATATTTTTGACATAAAAACATATTCGTCCTTAGCCCTCTCACGAAAATGGTATTCTCCTAGTCAATATAAAGATATAACATAATTTTTCGATGAATATTCCAAATTTTGATAACTCTTTTTCTCTTCTTTTACTTTTAAATGAGATTAAACATATTCTTATGCTTTGTCATATTCAAAATTGATTTTTCTTCAAGATAATAGGCTACTAAAATCATACTTGAAATATTATCAAAAAAGGAAGCATGGCAGTGCTCATTTTGAAGTTCTCATGTTTATAACACAGAGTTGTATATGCTTCTCTTCCTTGAAAGCCCGTGATTTGTCTCCGTTAAGGCTAAGGCTTGTGCTCAGGCTAAGGCTTGGGAATTTTTAGACGTGGATCCACGGCTCTAGTGACTTATTTGACTATCGGAGTTTTGATAGGGTCACTAGATGACAAATCTCAGATATATATATAAAGGCCCAGAGGCGCATGAATGCACCTAGGGAATTTTGGGACACCCTGTATACGCTTCATTCAGAGTTCTACGTGGACTTTCAAATAGCTAATGCAAGTAGAATAATGCCATTTATTAGAAAAATTCTGTTCTTATCTTTTTACACAATATTAGCATGGGCTTTCAACTAGTTGAAAGCCCATGATATTAGTTAACAAATCCTGTCTTGATGTGCAGAAAAAACTCACGCCAAACAGGGCACGTGTGCGGTGATCACCTACTTGACATGTATCAATATAACATGCCCATGTTACAATCCCATAGATAGGTGAACATATTTCGTGATGATTTCTGTAACATGCAGACAAATGTGGCTTTGGTAGGCTCGCACATGTGTAGAAAGCGCAACCAACATGTAAAATCACGCGGCAATGTACCCTGATCATGTTTTGGTGTAGCAAGCGTAGTTGGCGTAGGCCTAGGGTGAACCATGACAGTGTGTGAGTATACCTACAGACTCATGTTTCCGTGTAGCAAGCGTAGCTGGCGTAGTAAACATACCATATTGTTTTTCTTCAAATAAATGCACGTAGCAGACCATGGGCTCTACCACCCCACACAAGGGTGACCCTACAGTGTGTATGTATACCTGTAGACTCATGTTTTGGTGTAGCAGGCGTAGTTGGCGAAGTCAACACAGTACATACTATGAAGTGGTCATTTTCAATAAAAATATCCGTAGCAGACGTAGCTGTACCCAGGGTACACCATAGCAGTGTGTGTGTATACCTATAGACTCATGTTTAGGTGTAGCAAGCGTAGTTGGCGTAGTAAACATACTATACTGTTTTTGTTCAATTAAATACCCGTAGCAGACGTAGTTGTACATAGGGTGACCCTACAGTGTATGTGTATACCTATAGACTCATGTTTTGGTGTAGCAGGCGTAGTTGGCGTAGTCAACACAGTACATACTATGAAGTGGTCATTTTCAATAAAATACTCGTAGCAGACGTAGCTATACCCAGGGTACACCATGGCAGTGTGTGGTATACCTATAGACTCATGTTTGGGTGTAGCAAGCGTAGTTGGCGTATTAAACATACTATACTGTTTTTGTTCAATTAAATACCCGTAGCAGACGTAGTTGTACACAAGGTGACCCTACAGAGTATATGTATACCTATAGACTCATGTTTTGGTGTATCAGGCGTAGTTGGCGTAGTCAACACAGTACATACTATGAAGTGGTCATTTTCAATCAAATACTCGTAGCAGACGTAGCTATACCCAGGGTACACCATAGCAGTGTGTGTGTATACCTATAGACCAATGTTTTGGTGTAGCAAGCGTAGTTGGCGTAGTCAACATACTATGAAGTGGTCATTTTCAATCAAATACCCGTAGCAGACGTAGCTATACCTAGGGTGGACCATGCCAGTGTGTATGTATACCTATAGACCAATGATTTGGTGTAGCAAGCGTAGTTGGCGTAGTCAACATACTATCATGTGGTTATTTTCAATAAAATACCCGTAGCAGACGTAGCTATACCTAGGGTGGACCATGACAGTGTGTATGTATGCCTATAGACCAATGTTTTGGTGTAGCAAGCGTAGTTGGCGTAGTCAACATACTATCATGTGGTTATTTTCAATAAAATACCCGTAGCAGATGTAGCTATACCTAGGGTGGACCATGACAGTGTGTATGTATGCCTATAGACCAATGTTTTGGTGTAGCAAGCGTAGTTGGCGTAGTCAACATACTATCATGTGGTTATTTTCAATAAAATACCCGTAGCAGGCGTAGCTATACCTAGGGTGGACCATGAGAGTGTGTATGTATACCTATAGACCAATGTTTTGGTGTAGCAAGCGTAGTTGGCGTAGTCAACATATTATCATGTGGTTATTTTCAATAAAATACCCGTAGCAGACGTAGCTATCCCTAGGGTGGACCATGCCAGTGTGTATGTATACCTATAGACCAATGTTTTGGTGTAGCAAGCGTAGTTGGCGTAGTCAACATACTATCATGTGGTTATTTTCAATAAAATACCCGTAGCAGACGTAGCTATACCTAGGGTGGACCATGACAGTGTGTATGTATACCTAGAGACCAATGATTTGGTGTAGCAAGCGTAGTTGGCGTAGTCAACATACTATCATGTGGTTATTTGCAATAAAATACCCGTAGCAGACGTAGCTATACCTAGGGTGGACCATGACAGTGTGTATGTATGCCTATAGACCAATGTTTTGGTGTAGCAAGCGTAGTTGGCGTAGTCAACATACTATCATGTGGTTATTTTCAATAAAATACCCGTAGCAGACGTAGCTATACCTAGGGTGGACCATGACAGTGTGTATGTATGCCTATAGACCAATGTTTTGGTGTAGCAAGCGTAGTTGGCGTAGTCAACATACTATGAAGTGGTCATTTTCAATCAAATACCCGTAGCAGACGTAGCTATACCTAGGGTGGACCATGAGAGTGTGTATGTATACCTATAGACCAATGTTTTGGTGTAGCAAGCGTAGTTGGCGTAGTCAACATATTATCATGTGGTTATTTTCAATAAAATACCCGTAGCAGACGTAGCTATCCCTAGGGTGGACCATGCCAGTGTGTATATATACCTATAGACCAATGTTTTGGTGTAGCAAGCGTAGTTGGCGTCGTCAACATACTATCATGTGGTTATTTCCAATAAAATACCCGTAGCAGACGTAGCTATACCCACAGTGAACCATGGCAGTGTGTGTGTATACCTTTACACTCATATTTTGGTGTAGCAAGCGTAGTTGGCGTAGTCAACACAGTACATACTATGATGTGGTTAGTTTCAATAAAAGACCCTTTAACGTGCTTCATAACACGGACGAGTGAATTATACATGAAATACATGTTATGAAAGTTTTAATTGAGATATAAGTTTAAAACGTATAAAAAGACAGGATTTTGACGATGAGTGTAAACTTATAAATTATATCCACGCGTACAGACAATAACACACTCTTGTGTCTCAATGGATGGACAGTGAACACTACAAAATTAATAAGCTAAATATCTAAAGTGTCCAATCAAAGTTATCAAACACGTTGACTAGCATTTTAATACACTATTCAATCCAATCTCAGTGCTAGCGATTACTGCATCGAGCCACTTGGTTGCATAATCAACTCTAGAAATAACGTTTGAAAATGACCCGCAGTCATTACAGACTTTTTGCGATGATTTTATTCATCATACAAGAAAAATACCACATCCGTGCTTCGTACTTGCAATATAACTGAATTATAAGGTGTCGGATGCGTTCTAGGTGCAAATCACAATAATTATAACCTGACGATGAGGGAGCGGCAACTTGTGTCAAGTGTAAACTGACTGTAATTGTTAAGTTTCAATATGACATGCATCTGACACCCCCCGCTCTAATTTCCAAGTTAACGTGATGAAAAATACTTTGCCTGCATTACTATTAGGGTTAACTGTGAATTGAGGTACGAGCATTGAGACAACGTACATTAGAATTGACAACGTACATTATGTACAAAATACAACTACGCTTGTTACACATAAGAAGGAGTATACAGGTATGCCATGGTCCATGCTTGGTATAGCTACGTCTGCTACGGGTATTTTATTGAAAATAAGCCCAGTATAGTATGGTATGTTGACTACGCCAACTACACCAAAACATGAGTCTATAGGTATGCATACACACTGTAGGGCCCACCCTAGGTGTACCTACTTCTGCTACGGGTATTTTATTGAAAATAACCAGATCATAGTATGTTGACTACGCAAACTACGCTTGCTACACCAAAACAAGCATACACCCTGTAGGGTCCAGACTAGGTATAACTACGTCTGCTACGGGTATTTTTTGAACATAACCACATCATAGTATGTTGACAACGCCAACTACGCTTGCTACACCAAAACATTGGTCTATAGGTATACATACACACTGTCATGCTCCACCCTAGGTATAGCTACGTCTGCTACGGGTATTTTATTGCAAATAACCACATGATAGTATGTTGACTACGCCAACTACGCTTGCTACACCAAATCAGTGGTCTATAGGTATACATACACACTGTCATGGTCCACCCTAGGTATAGCTACGTCTGCTACGGGTATTTTATTGAAAATAACCACATGATAGTATGTTGACTACGCCAACTACGCTTGCTACACCAAAACATTGGTCTATAGGTATACATACACACTGGCATGGTCCACCCTAGGTATAGCTACGTCTGCTACGGGTATTTTATTCCAAATAACCACATAATAGTGTGTTGACTACGCCAACTACGCTTGCTACACCAAAACATTGGTCTATAGGTATACATACACACTCTCATGGTCCACCCTAGGTATAGCTACGTCTGCTACGGGTATTTTATTGAAAATAACCACATGATAGTATGTTGACTACGCCAACTACGCTTGCTACACCAAAACATTGGTCTCTAGGTATACATACACACTGTCATGGTCCACCCTAGGTATAGCTACGTCTGCTACGGGTATTTTATTGCAAATAACCACATGATAGTATGTTGACTACGCCAACTACGCTTGCTACACCAAAACAGGGGTCTATAGGTATGCATGCACACTGTAGGGCCCACCCTAGGTATGTCTACGTCTGCTAGTATGTTTACTACGCCAACTACGCTTGCTACATCAAAACATAAGTCTATAGGTATACATACACACTGTAGGGTCCACCCTAGGTACATCTGTACGTCTGCTACGGGTATTTTATTGAAAATAACCACACCATAGTATGTTTACTACGCCTACTACGCTTGCTACATCAAAACATGAGTCTATAGGTATACATACACACCATAGGATCCACCGTATGTATATCTACGTCTGCTACGGGTATTTTATTGAACTAACTACATGATAGTATGTTGACTACGCCAACTACGGATAATGCACTCGTCAATTACATTTCAAATTTCCCGTGTGGGTGATACGAATGATACACTTGTATTTGCATTTTTAAAATTCCCGTGTAGGTGAGCATGGCACAAGAACCCCAAACAGATGCCATCACGATATAGCGAAATAATATTCGCCATATTTAGACGTTCTTAGAGAAGTGCCAAATCAGCGCATGCGCACTAAAAAATCGATCAAAAATAATAATTTCCATATTTCCACTAAAATCGACGTATACGTGGACAACAAAGCAAATGTATTGATATCAGGATTTGGTTCGATCTATTGTATGGGTAAGTAATCTTCTATAATATATAAGTAGTCACCGAGTGACCAGTTAATGAGTAATCTACACTGTGAGTGTGACTGTTTTTTTACAATAACATGATAATTTTCTCACTTTTCTGGCTTTTCTGACAATAGACTAATTTCCTCGACAACGTTGGAGTATTTTAGCAGGTTTCTAAAATCGCCTCTCCCCAATAATTTTATCAATGTCTGGAGTCTTAGACAAGTAAACTCATCCCAATTTTGTTATTTTGGCCAGGGGGATGACACTATATGAGGACACTGCCGAGGCAAGGGGAAGGGGTCGAACTCACCCCCTCCTCCCCAGCCCAAAACTTTTTTCTCTGACCTGAAATTTGGGCCGCCCGCTTGTTGGTTCCCAGATCCGCCCCTGAACTCTTATAATGGTCAGTTATGGGAATCACTTCCCCCGTTTCCAACCTGTACAATATCCATTCCCGGTAAAAAGCGTCATAACGCACTAGACGAAAATGCGAATAATGGATAACTCTATCGTAAAAACGAACCTGACGGCAAATGAAAATTCCGGTCGATAATGTACGTGATTATGTTTTTTAGCCTAAATATTATCGTAAGTTTGATGATTTATAACAATAACATGATTGTTTTGAATGTAGGCCTACATTAAAAGCTTTTGGGATTCAATCAAAAGAAGGTAAGTCCCCTGCCAAGATCATTACATTGCCACGGAACAATTTCATTATTATTTTCTCGAACTAGATCTAGGGGGCAAAAACGATGATAATAAACATGAAAATAAGGTTTTTTAGTATTTTCCTTGATAGTTTACTGTGGATAAATCCTGAGTTGTCTTTATTTGAAGGGTCGATCTTCTTTTTGAAGAGCGCTTTGAAATACAAGTGGCGCCACCATGGCATCGTGGCGCAGGTGTTACAAGTCTCGCATAGAGTTTCCAATCCCTTTTATGTTAGTCTCAGGTTTTGATGATTGTGATATTTGTTCTATACACAGATGGCAGAATTATTCTTAGGATATACATAAAGTGGACAGTGGTGAACATAAATAATGACTAACACTATGAAAAAGACATTCTGTCACATATGTCATAAATTCTTACCTCAGTGTCAATGTACAAATATGGTTGAATTTGTGTCCATAATGACAAATAGGAACTTAAAAATTTGAAATGATATTCACCTGTTAATGCACACTCTTCAAATGTTGAGGTAATTTTGGAGCCTGATTACGCTGCAAGGAGGATTGGCTCCCAGAATGCAACATGACACATGCCAGCTTTCAAAATGCCTTTCCGCCATTTAGAAAACTGTCACAAGTAAATAAGGTTAACTGATGTTACACTGTACAGTAAAATTTTCAATGGTTGGAAGTACTTTGAATTTGAAAAATAAGCAAACAAATGACCATACAGGGAAACTCGCGTTGCTGTGGTAGTTAATAACTACCTGATTTTAAAGAAAAACTACTTATTAGTTTACCCAGTAGTTATTTTGGCCACCCACACTCTTAGATTGAGCCAAGTATTGCATGATTCGAAGCAATTTTTACCAATTTTGCAAAGGGTTGCTCAGTTACACTTGCACTTTACATAGTTCAACTTATATGAGAATACACCTGGCCCTGTACATGTATAAATCAATTTTATCCTTCACTTGTTTTAAGGAAAGGGAGCAAAGAATGACATCTCCTTAATCACTTCTTGCAAGCACAATTTCACTTCTTCTGAAAAAGTTAGCCATTTCTCAATATTTTGTGTCTTTAAGGACATTTCTGGCATATTTTGCACATATGAATGTACATGAACTATTTATTTTTCAGATGCAACATCACTATCAAGATGACAGTGGCCCCCTTGACTGTAGAAATAGCTGTCGTCTGTGTGGCATCGGCTTTCCTACTACATCGATATGGCAACTGGCGTAAACAGCACTTTTTGGTGACATTGGGGACTTTTATAGCGTGGTATTTCTCGTTTATGATCATATTCATTCTGCCACTGGATGTCTCTTCAGTAAGTCATTTATGTTAGAAGTTATTTATGCCAGTAAATCAAGTAACATGCAGAAATGACATACTTTCAATAACTCAGCATATTCTGTACCCCATGTACACGAAAAGTCATTGTTCTATGATATAAGGCATAATGCTATTCTAATTGGTGTACATACTTATTTTACAATTGTTAAATATATGTATCCCATATTTGATTATATATTGCCACTCTGAGAATCATTGATTTGATATTGGTTGTTAAACCCCATACAATTTCAGCAAATGTTGATAGGTTGGATGAATAGGTCATTTTTATTTCCGTCTACATTTTTAGACCTGTTATAGACAGTGTTTGCGGGATCGGAATGTTTTCCCTAGATCTTCAACTCCTACTCCGATATCAAATATAACCATCACCCCTGCCACAAATGGAACGACCCACAATGGTACAACTCCCAGTACAGTCAGTACGACCAACTCAAGCTCAGCATTGCAAGGTATAGGGGAGGAAGGACCATTAGATTGTGAAAAGCCTTGGAGTTTTGTGCCATTTTATGTGCTACAGGGCCTATGGAGGGTAGTCTACTGGACCTCTCAAATACTCACTTGGTAAGCAAGTGTTCATTTCAAAAGTTTCATACTTTTCTTCAATATCAAATATATTTATTTATTTCAATTTCAATTTATTATCTATACATATCAGACAAAAATACATCAATGATGAAGGGAGCGAGATACTCAATTTTACAATCTACAAGTAATCAATTTTGTTAACTGCTAAACCATCCACTCACATTGTGATCAAAACAGACTTCTGCGCCTGAATATCCACATTCATTGGTAAAAAAGATGCACTTTAAATTAATTTTTGCACTTTTACTGCCTTTACTTTACCACCCTTCAACTGTCTTAAATTGATTATGTGAAGAATTAGTGTGAGACTCAAAGGCATTGCAGCTGGTACACGTATAGCAAGATGTTCCTTTGAAGCAGTATTTACTCCACTCATGTGTCTCTAGCTCTGTATATAGGGATCAATATTCATATACAATATTACATTTATACACTGGATATCCATTCATCACTAATTTAAAGAGAACTTCCCATTCTGATACTCATCACATCTTCCTGTTTTTAAACTAGTTAGGTCAGGCCCGTAGCCAGAAATTTCCAAGGGGGGTTCACTTTTCCAAAGAATTCTAGGGGGGTTCACTTTGGCAAATTTGGCCAAAAATCACTCAAAAAATAGTCAGAATGGTGAAAAACTGCATGATTTTGAAAGAAATTTTGGCCAGGGGGGGGTTCGCCACACATGCAACACAAATAGTATTATTAGATACAACTTTACATGTATTCTTTTAAATAATACAATACATATATTTTCTTGAAACTATTTTATAGGTTAATACTACCAATGATGCAGTCTTATTCAACTGCGGGAGATTTCACTGTAGCTGGAAAAATCAAGACTGCCCTTATAGAGAACGCCATCTATTATGGGACCTATTTGGTCATATTTATTGTTTGCCTCATATATGTAGCAGTAAAACCAGATCTGCATTTTAGTGGGTGAGTATTTAGTTTTCCTTTGGAATATGTAGGATATTTTTGATTTGGGTCTCATATCTCAGGGATGTTCATCCATTCCATAGCTACTAGGTTCTAAAGGTACATAATGTTTGACTAGATACATGGCCGTAATTTAGTAGTTCTTACTATAAAAATATACACCTTCCTATATTTGGAGCAACTGAAAAGATGGAGCATCATCCTTTTCTCTCTTCCTATGCAGTTTTAAGACATTCTTGAGCTTGATATGCACCAATTATGTCAAATTACCTACATGAATGGTTATAATTTTGACACCAGCTTGGAAGATGGGTATCAGTCTTTAATTTAGCTGCCTTCTCTCATTTTTTTTACCTTTTGTGTTATTTTCCAGAGAACAGATTAAAGTTATAGGGATCACAGCAAGTAACACTTGGGGTCTTTTCCTGGTGGTTCTGATGTTGGGTTATGGGCTGGTGGAAGTCCCTAGAACCATATGGAATAACTCCAAACAGGGCTACATGCTAAAACAGATACAATTCAAACTAGCTAAGTTGAGTACAGAGAAATCAGAGGCTGAGGAAAACCTAGAAGATTGTCTTGAGGTGGGTTTAAATCCTAATTTCTCCTATTTCAGTCAAACTGTCTCATAATTCATATTTTTGACAGGCCGGGTGCAAAATTTATATTTTCAACAGGGCAAAGCACCCATTTGCAGTAATGCTAGGGAGTCCACTGTATAGGGTGTCAAATAAATATGTTCTCCCCTTCATTTGAAAAGTATGAACTTTGGTGCATAAAAGTGCATCTAGTTGAGCTAGTCATCTGACACTACTTGTGGAGTTGCTCCATGAATCCTAGTTTTAATGTGATAAAGAGCAATTTAGATATCAAGCAGACAAAAAAGTAATGCAACATTATGTGGATATTAAAGCTAAAGGGGAGAACATATTTATTTGACACCCTTTACTATTTGAGATTGTTCAGCAGTCAGCACATAAAATCATTGTGTTGGAGAATATATTAATATTTTAGAAATAAGGATAAGTATGTGATCTTCACATGAATAACTTTCACATATATATTTTGTTAACATCATTTGTTACAATAACATCATTTCTAACAATATTCTGAATTCTTGGAGTTACTTATATGCATTTTTTACAGTTCAAATATAGAGTTTTCCCTCTGTTTTGTATTGGTCGTATTGATAAATTATAACTAATTCTAACAATTATGTAAATAGTATATTATGTAAAGCTTAATTTTATGTGATTGGGAATGTAATGGTGTATTCAAAATGTTTTAGGATGTAAAGAAAGCATCAGAAACCATAAGGTACAACCATCCTCTCAGGAAGTGTGTTGACACAATTTTGCTCAAGGTACAGTCTTTTAGCTCTTTCATATATTATATCATTAAAGATGCTCTTCAGAGGTGCATCCCTGTTGTATTCTTAGCTATGAATATTCGTAAGTCTATTTTTGTTACCATGTTAATCATGATGTCATAGATAGAGAACAACTTTTGAATTCATAGATTTAAGAATACTTACAAAAATGTTGCATGTTACAGAATAGGATTTTATTGTGCACATAAGGAGTGATGCCAGTTGACCTCCATTTTTCAGAGCAGCTTAATATTTCTGAGCCTGTCTCAAGTCATTTCATCCTGCTTCAGATTTTACCTTTACTATTTACTTTTGAGGGTCGCCTTGAACTTATGATGCCTTTTTTCTAATTTCAGTGTCCTGAAAATTTACAAAACCAGGTGTCTCGAAATCGTGATGATTTCCAGGATTTTAATAACCCTACTGAGACACCAACAGAGAAGTCTCTTGTCCGCCTTCACAAAAATGTCATAAAAACGTCACAGACACACAGACGCACACAGACTCAATGGGTCACAGCCATGGAAAAGGTGAGATTCAAATATAAAATGTTCATATTCATGTAGAATGTAGATAAAAAGTGGACTGTGACAGTATGACCTGTCAAACCTAAGCACCATTGGGACCAGAGTATTTAGAATGCAAGTGTTCATATTTCACTGTTTCTTTAATTTGGCTGCATGGTGTGTTAAAGTTTCCTTTTAAATATCCTGGAGTGCATTTTCCTTATAAAACAAGGTGTAGATAATCAATGACCTTCTCTTCTCATGGTATTTTGAAATCCTAATCAGCATTTTGTAATTATGCATAGAGCCATTTGTATTTTTTGCAGGCAGTAGAGCTAGAAGATATAGCAGCCAATGAGATCAGTCCAGACAGAAAGTTCAGGAGATCATTTGGTAAATACGAGGGGCCATGTGGATGTTGCTACAGCCAAACACTAGGTGAGACTCCTTTAATCCCCCTTTAAGTTTGCATCTTCTTCATTTTTATGCTTTCCTGAAATATGAATACATTGAAAGCTGTTAATTGGAACAACTCTAGAAGTGAAACACCTATGTCAGTGGAACAATTTTCAGTGTCCTAAGACTAACTGATCTAAGTGGAACACCTCCCGAGTGGAACACTTTTTCGAGATACCAAAGGTGTTCCACTTAAACAGGTTTAGCTGTACAGTGTACATGTATATGGAATGTTCATTCATTTCTATTATTTACCTTGAAGCCCATAGGCTGGATGTAATTACTACCCACTGGCTAGGAAAGATAACTTTATATTTCTGTTGCAGATAAGATCTTAATAAATGACCCCAAAAATAGCTGTCATTGCTTTTCATGGGAGTTTGAATCTGAATGCCAGCTACTTATAAGAAAAATAATGAACCATTCAGTTTGTACATGGAATTTCCTGTGTACCTAGCTTAGAATTACATTATGTAAACATTTGGGGTCATTTTCATGAGGCCATTGTTGTATCATGTATTGTATAGCAGAATATACAGCTGATTAAAACACATAGAATTTTTACTCACGCTCCCAAACATATACAAATTCAAGATGTCTATTTTAATCTGTTTTCAGAGTTGTTAATTCTATTCCACTTATTTTTTTCAGAATGGTACTGGAAGTGTATACTGAAGGCGTGGGTATTGAAGGCTGTTGCTATTGTCCTGTGTATTTTCACTGCAATGGTTGTCTGGTGTGAGGTGACTTTCTTCAGCAAGAGCCCAGTTCTTTCCTTGTTTGCAATATTTATACAGCTAGCCAAAAGAAACTATGACTATTTTTACATTGAGGTTAGTACTGGTTTCCATGTTACAACCACAAGTGGTGATATTGTTATAGTCTCCAACTTTTTTATGGACGATGTTCACCAGTCAGCGTTTGGCGGTGGATGTTCGGCATCTGTATCAAATGGCTGTGGTGACATTTTTCAGCTCAATGCTTTGTACTTATATGATATTATCTTGACTTGTTTGCCTAATCACATTACATGGACCTTCCTCATGCCCATGCTTAAAAGTAGTGTAATTTCCCTGGGGCTTACAACTGGCATATTATAGCTATTAAAATTGGCAATAGTTGGAGAGTAATGTTGTGTTCCTTTGAAATATTTTTATTAGGTAATTGGAGTGGGTATAAATTCCAGAATTTACAAGTCATATGAAGCTCAATATTTCATAGGAGACTCATTCTTTCATATGTACCCCCATAAATGTCTGGTTGATTTTTCAAATCACCCCACAAGTATTTATGCATTGAAATCTTTCGGTTGAAAATAAGCTGGATTTCAATACACAAGTAGTTATGGGACATTTATTGGGGTATTCATATGGGACTCACTTTTTCATGGGACTCATTCTTGCTTCCCTTGGTATCATAGATACAACAACAAAGTTTTGATATTTGTTTCAGCTTGCCTCGTGTATGATAATCTCCTATCTGTGTGTATGTACATACTATACAGTATTCAAGGTCCGTGTATTTAACTACTATTACCTTGCTTCCCATCACCAGACTGATGAGTACAGCTTACTCTTTAGTGGCATGTAAGTAGAGAGTAAACATAGTGTTTAAGATTGTTTGAAGTTTTACAACAAATTATGTGTGTCATCTAGATTGTTAAATGGAAGAAGTAAAGATTGTGAAAATCAATTTTCAGAGTTCCCAGCTTTATTAAAAATACGATACAACACTACCAAGACTTTATTTGTCATTGGACACCCTTCTGTACTCAATCTATATCAGTTGAATAAACCAAACCCAAAAACATTTAATTTTGTATTTTCTATTATAAAATAAGTACAAGAATACCCCATGTAAAATTTACCCTGGTGTTATATGTTCATAGGTTTTTGATATTTCAGGTTGCTATGCCGTCTGACTCCCCCACTGTGCTTGAACTTTCTTGGTCTGATCCACTTGGATACACATGTTACCAAGGACATTGATACAGTGGAGACACAATATACAAAAGTAATTAAAACTTTTATTTTTTCATATGTAATGTAGGTTCTTTTGTTAACCATTTGTAACCATATTTTGTGCTTTGCAATCACATCCCTTACTTTCCTTGTGTTGTATTGTATTGCAAACCATTTGAAATATTCAATAATTCAGATTAATTCAGTTATGTGATAAAAAGTATTACCGCAAGTTATAGTTCAAAAGGAAAACGTACTGGCATTAGGCAGCCTATCATTTGAACTATTGCATTTCCTTTCAGATAATGGGCCATATGGATGTGATCTCCTTCATATCAAATGGTTTTAATATTTATTTCCCAATTGCGATTGTTGTGTTGTGTTTTGCAACATACTTCAGTCTTGGCACCAGGTGTCTCCACTTCCTAGGCTTCCAGCAGTTTATCGGGGATGATGACATGACGCAGGACCTCACTGATGAGGGGAAAGAACTCATTAAACGAGGTATCTTATCATTTATTCCATTGTTATTTGTTATAAATTAAGAACTTTATTTTTCAGGGACATACTCGTAAAACATGACAAGCAATATAATTTATCTCATATAATTTTTTGATTCAGGATGAATTTACTTCAAAATGTTTAAATTAGATTAAAATTTTTGTTTGAATCAATAATCAGACCTGTTTCTACATAGCCATATGTACATACATGTAAACTATGGAATGAAGTATACCACAATGTTGAAATACATGTCCCTTTTTCAGAGAGGCGAAAAATACAGCGTTCTTTAGATCGTGAAGCGCGCACGAAGATGTGGAACGAGACCGTAGGGGGTGAAGGGGGCCCCAGGGGTAAAGATAGTGACAGTGATAACTCACGGAGTAGAGGAACCAGGGAGAGACCAAGTGAGTAGAGTCCCATAGTTGACAGATTCTTGTTAATTAGCATAAACAATGTGTATCACTTATTTTTGATGTAGAAGTGTTCCAAGCATACAATAACCAATTTTCTATTTTATTAGATGTATGAAAAGATGTTCTCACTTCCCACATTATGTAAGGAACTACTTTGTACGATGCAGCAAATAAACCCGATGATTACAGTCAAACCTTTATATCCAAAATTGAAGTCAAACACCTCTCAATGTGAACACTTTTCCAGTCCAATTATCTGTTATTAAAAATAATTTGAATACTTGTAAATCCCACTGGCTAAAAATTCTTCCTATTCCATTCAGCATGAAAATTGAAAGTTAATCGCATTATTTGTTTTTCTTATTAAATCAGTTAGTCCATAGAGCCAGTATAGCAATTTGTAAACCTTATATACGTTCAAATAATGAATGAATTGAACATTTATAAATAGCACAACTCTGAATATACAAGTGTGAAGATCATTTATCCATAAGAAATTAATATTGTTAAATGTGTCATTCCAGGTACATACAAACCTGCCAAAAGTCCAGATGAAAATGACCGGACAGGTTTACTAAAGCAGGCTGAGCCTGTGGACTATAACACTGAAACAGTGACAGATTATACCCAGGACTATGGGGAAGATCTCTCACTAAATCAACAGCCTTCAGGGTACCAGAATTCTAGAACTTCAAGATATCAACCACAAAATAGGCCAGTGAAAGGGATATTTGATGATGTATGAATACCTGCCAATCATTTGCCAATGAGATCACATTTCCAGACATGAAATATTAGTAAAGTGTGAGAAATTAATGATGTTGATGGATGAGCAGTTTGGCCAAGAAATTCCGAGAATCCAACCTTTGTTTCCTATTTTAGAGAGGGCTTGTAATTATGTAGATGTATAGACAAGTGGTAAAATTGAAATGTGCAGTACTACAGTACTTGAGTTATTGAGATGGTCAGTCCACAGGCCTGGATAGTTGTATGTTGCATGTATTTATTTAATATTTTTATTTCAAATCTTATGTATACTATATACAACAAATGTACTATGTACAATAAATAGTTACCTCTCAAATTGAGGGAGCAGTTATCCTCATTCCAATGAGTAATCTCATGGGCCAGAAATGTTGGTCCCTGGTATTTAGAAGGATTTTAGTGGTCCATTAACAGCAATTGATCAACATGCAAGGCAAATTTAACAGGTAGAAAAATAGACTACTAGTCAAATCTAAACCATATAGGATTAAATATTTCAGTTCCAGTTCTCATGGCTCGTGATATATTTGGGATCATAAGATCAAAAGAATAACAAAATGTTTAATATTGAAATGTCAAATGTACATAAAGAAATGTACAATGTAAAGAATTCCATTAATTTATTCAGAGATAAAGATCTGTTAAACCAAGAACTAATAAATACTGTTGGTTATACCAGGGGTATAATCTAATTATTATACTTATACAAATGATATAAAACAATATGTATTATATAAAGGGTGTACAATAAATACTGGAGTTATACCAAGGGTGTTCAATAAATACTGTAGATATATCATGGTTGTATATTTAATACCCTAGTTATTACAAGGATCCTATTCAGTCATTAATACCCACTCAAAGTCTTTTCTGCAGTGCACCATGTTATATGGTATGCTACCTCCTCTGGGGTTGCTGTATATACTGTTTCTCACAACTTAACTCTACTTAGCTTAGTTTCTAACATGATTTGAGGGCTGAAGAAGAGAGTTCAATGTAACATATTAACTTATCTGTCTGGTAAATCAAGTTTAGGAATCAATTTTACGAAAGGAGGTTTGCAATGTAACTTGCTCCCTTACCAGATGGCATCATAGGTTCTTTTAGTTGGTTTACTGGGAAAACAAATTATTATGTGCTATGAGTGATTCAATATAGAATGGTTGTATGTTCTGCTTAATCACTGTGGAGAAACTCTTCAAAATGTTATGTAAACGGATCCGTTTATGTAACAAAATGTCGCACCTACTAAGGTTTGATTTTAATTTTTCCATGATTACTCAAGATGTAGGTAGAATGTCCACGACATTTTGGGCAAAAATGTGTGGCAGCAACATATGTTTCAGAAAATCTAAACGTTTTCGGTCAAATAATTCATGAGATGTCATAATCACTGAATATACTTCTCCACTTAAACGAAAACAGAACATTGAAAACGGTTAAACATCTGCACTTTTAACTGTTCTGTTTTCGTAATAATAGTGAGGAATAATTATGATCATTTTGATGCCTCGTGAACTATCCATTCACAAATTATTCAATTTTCATAAAAATATGATGCTTGCGCATGTTTGTACCAAAAAGGTTGTGACGATTTTGCAGACAACTTGTGAAATCTTGAAATAAGAAAAATTGTAAATTCAAGGCTGCGACATTTTTTTATGTAAACGGATCTATTTCTGTAACTAGTTTGAAGAGCTCCTCCACAATGTTAATGTTAATGCTAATGTTGTCATGATTTATCTTAAATGTTTTAGTTTAAATATCTCTGTCAAGCTTCAGAATCCTTCTCAAGCAAGAATTGGTTTAATACAGGATTATTGAATAACATGTCTCCCTTGCTTTTAGGAATTGAATTTCATATAAATTATTTATTTCATATATATTATTCTGTACAATATGTACTAAAATATATAGTTAGTCCAGCCTATGTATTAAGACTGACAGAAATGTATATGTGAACATTAAGGACATCACCTTAGTGTAAGTTAGCATCGGAAATACCAGCTATCTGTAACATATTGTTACACTTTTCTAACCATTTGTTTGTAGTAACATTTAATCTTAAAATGCCCTGTTTAAAAAAGCAAATTACACGTCATACAAGACCACATTGTAATTGTTTGAGCCTTTGCCTGACTTGACCAGTTTAATACAAGAGATGTATTCTTATATGATATTCTCTGTTCTTAAATGGAAATCCCAATTGTATCGCATACATGGGAGGAGAGATGAGAAGGTTGTTGGAGAACAATGTTACTTGTGTTTAGTAACCTAGCCTCAGCTGTTGCCATTCAACCATTTTTCACTCATAAAAGTTTCAATTACCCCTCCCCCTTACAAAATTAGCTTTGTTCTTCCACATTCCATCCCTAAGATTCATTACAGTAAAACAGTGTCTTAGTGGATTACCTAAAGAGTGGTACCTCTAAAAGGTGTTCCACTTGCTATTCCACTTGTGAGGTGTTCCACTTACATAGGTTCATAACATCAAGTCATTTGGTTTTGGGACTCTGACTTACAGAGCTGTTCCACTTCACATGTTTCACTGTACATCATTTCATTCAAGTCTTATATACCTGTCAATGAAGGTTATATGTAGAGGTATGATGTACACATGTACACATGTTGTAATTCTGCACACTACTTGTATGTGCTATATTATAATGTATTGAATGCCATATGTTTATTAGTACATGTATTTTGTTTATTTGATTGTGTCAGTCATAGAAATTCAACATTGATTCTGTTTTCATATTATGTTTGTTATCAGTTATACAATATTGTTGTTATAAAAAATGTGGAGAGCAAGAAATGCATTAAAAATATTATACATACATTATAAACTTTTGATTTTGTATTTTTTATTTCACCACAAAACGTGGTGACATATTCTTATAACCTCCCAACTTTTTTTGTGGATGGTTGTTGCCAAAACAGTTAGTGTCTTTAGCTCAGTGCTCATTGTCTATCATGTGTTCTATTTGTTATGTCATCCTGGCAATGGCTTTATAATGCTTGAAAAATAGGGATCGAAATCAGCCATAGTTTTCTCCCGATGGCCATTGTGAAATATTAGGCCTTATGGATTATGGGATCAGATTTGCTGTTGGATATTGACCTTTTGATAAGCTTATGGATTGGATTTTGTCTGCCCCACCTCATTTTAGACTCCTCTTTCTTGTATGAATACTACAACTACAACAACTTTAAATATTATGATTATTGTATTAATTTAAATTTCTTGTATTGTAATGACTTCAGTATGAATGATAAGTTCCTTGGTATTGTAGTCTTGAATTCTGATAATGGTAATTGAATAGTGGTGGAGGGTGTATTAGACATTGTTTTCACGTTAGATCATGGTTTGGGATAGTTGTGTGTTGTTTTCCTTATGATTGGTGTACTCTTAGACATTTTCATTCTGTGTTGTTAGCTTTTGCAATCGCTCACTTGTCCGTCTGTCCGTCCGTCCGTCCGTCTGTCTGTCTGTCCGTCAACAATAGTGGCACTTTTTAAAACCTCTGTCGATAGGATTCCTGTTTTAAGTTATTTCTGTTCAACATCAATACAGAAAACTCCCCTATGACTACTGGTTCAAAAGCTCGCCTATTTTCAAAATGGCCGCCATTTTTGTCTCGCGAAATTCCCTTTTGACTGGCACGTTTTAAAACCTCTGTCGATAGGATTCCTGTTTTAAGTTATTTCTGTTCAACATCAATACAGAAAACTCCCCCATGACTCCTGGCTCAAAAGCTCGCCTATTTTCAAAATGGCCGCCATTTTTGTCTCGCGAAATTCACTTTTGACCACCTATTTCCTAGATTTACAAATAATTTCAAGTGTCCTACATAGTAAAAATCCATGTCAATGTAAAGAGTAGATGTATGAAATAATTTTGTTACGAAAAATCAGCAAAAAATTATATCCATTTTTTTTATTTTCAGCCATTTTAGTTAACATTATTTGTCCATCTGTCTCGCAAAATCCATTTTGGACCATTTGCCTTAAAGGCCCAGAGATTTGGACCCGGGTGAAGCTATTAATCAAGCTGTCACTGTTCAGCCAATCAGTGCTAATGTGGCCAGTTTAAATGTCCAGCATATACAGAAACACATGGTCTGCTACAAGAGAGCTACAGCCTAATGCTATGTTTGTTTACTTCTGAACAGATAAGAGATGACCATTGGTTGAAATTTAAATTTTCAGTTATACTAATGAGCATATTTACAAAAAGGAAATTGTCTTATTTCACAAAAACTAAAAAAACATTTTAGAATTTGATTTGAAATTTATAGTCATGATAGTTTCACAAACCTCTGACACAAAAAAGAGCTTGGAACTCATGGTAACAATCTTGTTATAGTAGAAAGTTTGAATATTTTCTCATTTTGTTTGAACTGGACATTTAAACTGCCATATTTGGGTGGTGTGGGCTGTTCCATCTGCCTTTTATACCCGCTCTCAGCCTTTAAACCCTCTGTCAAAAGGATTCCTGTTTTAAGTTAATTTTGTTCAACATCAATACAAAAAACTCTCCTATGACTCTTGGTTCAAAAGCTCGCCTATTTTCAAAATGGTCACCATTCTTGTCCCGCGAAATTCACTTTTGGCCCATTTCCTAGCTTTACAAATAATTTCAGCTGTCCTGCATTGTAAAAAGCCATGTCACTGTAAAGAGTAGTTGTATGAAATAATTTTGTTACAAAAAATCGGCAATATTATATCAGTTTTGTTTTATTTTCAGCCATTTTAGACTTTTAGTTAACATTGATTCGTCCATCTGTCTCTCAGTCAGTCCAAAAAAGTGGCAAGTTTTAAACCTCTGTCAACACTTTTTAAATCTTCTGTAGATAGGATTCCCGATTTAAAATAATTTTGTTCAACATCAATAAAGAAAAAAACACCTGTGACTCCTGCTTCAAAATCTCGCCTCAACACCATGTGAGCCCAGTACCCATGGTACTAATTTTTATAATTTTTGGTCTTTTCCCTTTGGCATTTGTGCATACATATTCATAACATTACAAACCAGTAGCATACAGCATATGGTATTGTAATGGTACAAATATTCCAATTTTTCAATCTTTCAGTAAAACATGTCTGTTCTGAACTATCCATGTTTCGACCAACACAAACATTTTTTCTCTTAAAAGCTACAACAAGAATGATGGTTTATGTCTTATTTTAACATTAGCTTTATTCTGATAACAAAAAGTTTATTCATACTCATGTACTAAAATAGTAAGAAGCAAATACATATATTTATCTAGTTATATGTATATAACTAGAAACAGCAACTCAAAAGAGAAGCTAATCCCACCAAACAAAACATAATTCATGAAATCACCCCTCATCTTGAACTATTCATGATAAAAATAACAAGCATGTTGAAGTGTTCCCTTGAAGTGTTCTTGCACAAAAATTAATGTGCGACATTAATCTAACTTTAACTGGCCTAAACAAAAAGAATTGCATTCATTTTATTTGAACAGATATTTTGAATAAACACAATGGCTAGTCAAATTAAAGAAATAGGTGACCATATTTGAGTTTGGAAGCAGATCTTGATTAGAGGTTATGAACTTATAAAGCATCATTACTATGGTAAAGAACATTTAAGTTTAGCCAAAAATGTCATGTTTCTAAAAATAGCATCCTTTGAAGTGAGTGGCCATTTAGAAAAAGGTCCAATTTTGAAAAAAGGCTGTCAGAAATACTTCCAACATATTTAGTACCAACACGTATATAAATTAAGTACCAAGTATAAATCCATCAAACAATATTCAAGTTAAGCAAAAACATCAATTTTTGAGAAGAAAATGGTGACCATTTTGAATCATGAGACCATTTTAGAAATTTCCCATTTAACAGAGATAGTACAAGAATGGTGGTCATTTTGAATTGAACCAAATCGGACAACCAGTATTTGAGTTATCGTCAAGATGCACTTGTGGACAGAAGGAAGAATAGACAGACAGCTCTATAAATGTACCATCCTGACCTTCATCAGGTGGGATAAATATTGCAAACAATCTTATCTTGGTAAATATACTTCATATGCCAGAACATTATAAAGGTTACACTTGTCTATGAGTACTATGCCATGCATCAATGTCCTGTGTATTTCATTTTATTTTTTCTATAAGCTTTATAATTATCACCATTTTCATCTCGTATATGCCAGTATGATTATAACATTTCTTTTGCATTCCATGCTGACAATGCTGCACATTATATCATCTAAACTGAAGACCACTATCATATGCAAATCTAATTTTTTCTGTTGTGTTCCATATAGCATTCCAAATACTAGGTACACCTCTCAAACATTCATTTTCAAAAGTATGTCACTATTGTTTTAATACTTGTACCATTGTTCTAGACTATGTTTGCACCACCAGTATACATTTTATAATTTCCAATATGCCATTTTAAGGTTGGACATATAGAATGAATGCATTTCACTTGTGGACTTGAATAGTGTAAAGCTTAAAAAGTTATCCAACTAGACTCACCTTAATGATGGTCAATATCACATTTCACTTTTACTGTATACTGTACACATAATCATGTACACACAGATTGAACCTAATGGGTCATATGCCTTTTCACACAATTAACCACTCTTTTTTCCATTTCTCATTTGTATCATTGTCTTACCCATAGCCAGCTTTTACCAGGAGGGGGAGCTTTTGGCTAAAAATCATGCGAAAAATTCTCAGAATGGTGAAAAACTGCATGATTTTGAAAGAATTTCTGGCCAGGGGGGGAGCTTCCGCTCCCCCTCTGGCTACGGGCCTGATTGTGGCATAACAAAGGTGGGCATTAACCCTACGATGCCATCTGTGATGCATGTTACCTCTTTCAAAGGCTGTCTGCTGGCTTACTAACCTTTCAATCAGCTTTTGAAAGAGGTAAACTGCATGGGTAATTTCATTTTCTACTTAAAACCAATACGATATGTTCATCAAATATAAAACAATCCAAAATTATCCTCTGTTGCATGTTTTGACCTTATATAGACATTTTATGTCATAAAACAACATTCTATCACTCTTACAAAGCAACTGTATGCCCTTTAAGTATTTACATCTTGTTTTTCTATATGAGCGCTGACTAAAAATTAGCCTTAAATGCCTGTCGGTGTCTTTTCATTTTTTTTAAATTAAAAAATCAAGATAGATAAAAGAAAATACCAACTTGGGCAAAGTTAACTAAAAACAAATGCTGTCAAAAACAACAAAATATCACATATCATATATGTTGCAGATAATAATCAAAGCTGTAGCTTTCATGTTGTGATAGGCCTGTTGAATATTCTAAAAATTAACCCTGATTCCCGAGAAAATGCTGTCTATGAGTATGAACTAATCAGAGATTTATTGATCATACCCTTTGGAAAGTTAAAAACCAATAGTCTTGTTCTCTTACTGTGATGTCATGATATCCATGGTTACAATAACTTACTTTAGAATTTCTTAATGAAAGACACGAGAAATGCAGCACAGTTAAAATACAGTGAATAAAAAGTAAATGTTTCACAAATACATTATTCTCTGAATTAAAGTAGATAAAAACTCTTTATAAAGTGTTACTGGCGATTACATAAAAAGCAGTGCTAAGTATCTGGCTAATTTTGCTCAAAATCTAAACTGAGCAATGGAAGACAAACCTTAACTACATGTATGATAACCAAAGTGATCTCTTCTTCTTTAAACCACATTGCTTGAGATTTGCACAGCAATGCTTGTATATTTTTAAGTTTTGTTTTATAGTTGAACCTTCAAGTCTGATATGATACAGATATACAACATATACATAGTAATGGTTATTCGGCGTCAAAATCAATCTATGTCTAGACATTTTGGAAAATATAGTCTATAAAATTCATTATATGGTGTTTTTCCATCTAATCTGATCATATCTGACCTAGCCCAGTGAATCTGATTCAATGTTCAATGACACTATGTTCTATGTTGTTCGTTGTTCCATGTTGTTTGTTCTATGTTGTATTAGTATGACTGGTTTACAATCTACATTGTTCATATGAACCTACACTGAATAATTATTATGTAGAGCAAACTCTCCATTTTAATTTGATGACTAGAGTTTTGAATGAATCCGTTATGCTTTTCAGTCAAAATATCATGTATGAAATATGAAACAATGATATTTCACTTGACCCCTTGGAGTAATTTAAATCTAAATGCTGATAATGGTTAAATGCACATTTAGCTACTAATGTAGTTGTAGTCTACAATAAAAAATATTTTGTTTACAATATGTTCCATATGTTAAGAACATCAAAACTTGAATTTTACAATCCATGTTCTACCGTACTTGGTATTAGAATAAGTACATATACATGCACATTGTACATGTATATTGAATATATGTATACATGTTCAAGCATACAGTTCTTTATGTGTTATGTAATGTATATTTTGTAATTTTAGTCATTTTAATAATTTTGTTTCGTACTCCTATATGTATATAATATAGCAGTTATAGGTCATAAAGAACTTCTAATATACAGTGTAACATAGCAAATATTTAAGGCCTAATGAGTGCTAATATATATATCATAGATGTTCTAGGTCACAGAGAAATTCCCATATACAGTCAATATTTTAGACTTAATGTGCAGATACTATCATGTATTATAGTTGTTCTAGGTCATAGAGGACTTCTAATATACAGCCCATACTCCAAGCCTGTGCTGGACAACTGTCTCTACAAACCTGAAAGATAAAGAACAAGTTACATTATATTATTATATTTCATGAAAGAATATATCACTTTCATGGTATATCCAGGATAAACTACCATTTTTACAAGTGGAAAAGGACTGAAGCAACTTTGTACATATGGTTATATATATTTACAAACAATACCCCTAAAGTGTGACACCTTATTTTTAGTCAATTTGCTTGCTATGGCAGATAGTACAGATGGCTATGACTACCATACAGTGCTAGTATCTGGACAAGTTGAATAGCTCAACAAATATACAAGTATTAGCTCCTTAAATCTTAACACTAAAACTACAACCATCAATATAATTTCCTTTGTAGGAGCAGGTAAACTGAACTTACGGCACCATCTTTATTGGTGAGTTCTGGCAGTGACCTCCAGTCTGAACTCTGTATTGCTATATGATGCATAGTGAGCGTTGACCTCACAAACTTGATGGTGGAATCCAAGATACCAGGTTGAGATTGCTCCAAGATCTTTGCAAAGTGAAGTTTGGCACGTAGGAAGAATCCAACAGGCCACACCCATTCCTAAAATTGAAGGATAAGATTAATCATAAGATTTATTTTACAAATAAAATTTATATAATGTTTGAACAACTATAAGAAGAGATTTAACACATCTGGCAAGGTAGTTAAGATAGAAAAGCTAATGAGTACATGTTCAACCACATGGTCCATGTGAAAGCACACCAGCATGGATTAAACTTGGAATTTTTTGATCAACCATATAAACATATCAAAAGAAACAAATAATTCATAAATGTTTGATTTCTAGTCTACAATAATGGTGATTGACAATAATGACAACTGATGTGATGTACTCAATGCTTACTGGGCCTTGGTGATAGTTGAATCCTCTTGCTCTCCCCTTGTTACTAGAGTCATCTCCATTGTCATAGTTGCCATCATAGGCCCAATCTGTGGGGTCTAATGTTTTCATTCCAAGGGGTCCAAGGAGCTCAGTTTCTGCTGTTGTCAAGGCAATCCAAGCATTCTCTGCTGTAAATAGCTGAGGGGCCTAGAGATATTGGGAAAACATTGATCATTGACAACTCCTTCTTATTATTTGAACTTACTGACAAATGCAAGTCATTTGTTTGTAATATCACAGAAAAACAAACATTAAGTGGTCAAGGACATTGTTGTTTCAAAAATACAATATTGAAATTTTAAGTATGTATTAATTGTAAGAATATTATGAACCATGATGACTTACCACTACCATAGCAATGGGGAAGTTACACCGTAGCTGGAAGTCAGCCCAGAATTGGGAAGCACCAAAAGAATCTTTGTAAATACCACGACGATTTATCAAATCTGGTCGAGGCTCTTTCTCAGCTACTGGCTCAGTATCAATCCAGAATTTCTTTTCAAAGTTTTCTTTTATATTTTCACTCCACTTGTTAAAAGTTATTTCTGTTGTTGAGGTTGATATCCTGTCGTTGGGATATTTGCCTGTGCTATGTAGCTGTATGAGCCATTGTAATGCTGAGTAGCAGAGGCCAATCAACTCAATTGCTGAACCATCTCTGGAAAACAACAGACCAGAGTTTATAGATGATCATTTGACCTGGCTAATATAGTTAAAAAGTTAACAGATAGTTTAACATTTTTATCTTGATAAAAGCAAATGTAGTATTCCACATTTTATAACACTTTTGCCTAATCAGCTACAATGTTGTGATATTGCCAACCCTATATCTCTTTATTAAAAGGTATGCTAAAATGTGTATGTCATGTAGTTAATTCCATGGGTAGCCTACTTAGCTCATACGGGGGCAATTGTAATGAGTTTGGAAGTATACCTTGGAGTAGCTGGCTTGCCTTTGTTGCCAGCTTTGTCTGAGCTGCCCATCTTGTCCATCCATGTGCCACAGTTGTGAATATTGCCTCCATATACAAACCCTGTGGTGTCATCTACCCCTACCTCAATGTTGAACCCTGCAACATAGAAGGCATATTTTAATGGCTGAAATTTCTGTATTCCTTGACCCATTTTGTCAAATTTATTTCTCCATGCCTAGATGCAGCATTCTCCATATCAGGTGTACTTAATACATAACCCATTTCCGGAGTCTAAGTCTTAAGTCCTTCAATTGGAGACTGAGATGCTGTAAGAGATTCATTTAAAAGAAGAATCTGTCTTGCAATGGATAAATGATGTTAGGTTATAACTACAAAATCACTCTTGTTTTCAAGAATCACAGATGTCCCATACCTTCATCAGTCATTTCCCTGTCAATGTTAGGTCCAGCATTTCTTTCCCTGTATTTGATTCCTTCAATATGTTTACTCAAGGCCTCCTGAATCACATCTTGCAGGGGCATTTCCTGGAAAAATTGACAAGTTAATTCTCAAAGCCACAGTCTACAACTGAGAGATGTCACCACTAAATTTTTCAAACATCAGAGCCTAACAGGAATTCTCTTAAAATTAAAGATTATTTACAAAATTACAGTCTTGAATTATTTTTTCTCTTACTTGTATTGCATACATAAACATGAAGATACCACACTGAACTTCATGAAGATGTTGTTAAGTTATGAAAATATAAAGTGTCATAATATGTTGTTCTAGGGCCATTTTGATACTCAGACCATCTCTGTCTTGCTAAAATTGAAACATACTAATAGAAGGCTATGGTCTGTCACAATGGTCTAGGGCAGTTACATATAAGGTAGGAGGATGGATGAATGAGTCAAGATGGCTCGTAATCTCTGACCCCATGACTCAGAGAACTGGAACAAGTTCTGGACCCCTTTGTACAGATGAAGAGACAGATGGTCTTGAAAAATGAATTTGTCCTCATAATCTTATAATCTGTTGATGTGAGTACAGTCCATTAATTGAACTGGACATAACTTACAGCAGTTCCGGGGCTCTGTGCTTCACTGCCATCCTGGGGATAGAGTCTAGATACAGTGTCCAGAAGAATATCAGTTCCATTGGGGGCAAGATTGCAGTAATCCTACAACATTATGATCATGGTTTAGCATGGTATCTATGGTAAGATTATAAAATGAAGAGACACAGAACATTCGTGCTCAAATTCTCAAGATGTGAAACATTGTTTAGTAGCTTAATCTACATAAGAAATTGTTCTTTTAACATGAACAAATGTTATTACTAAAATGTGAATAATCTTAGACCAGCTTCAAAGGATTCAAAACGTCACCATCTGCCATTTGTTATAGACACCAACTGCCAAACACTAACCACCTAATGCCTAACACCAACCACAGAACACCAACTGAAGACGCTGAACACCTTCCACAAAATGTTGAGACTATAACAATATGTCACCACTTCATAAAAATGAAGAAAAATCAATCACAGTATGTTTCAGTTGGAAGTTTAATAAGAAATGAAGTTTGATCTTTAATTACCTGTATACACTGAAGCCACCACCAGATAGCATCTCTGCAGTTATATCTGGCATGCGTACCCTCGCCCAGTAGGTTAGGTATCAATCCATGACGTAAACACCCACCATATGCAAGAATTAGATACCTAAATAAGGAATAGAATATCATTAATGATTATACAATTCAAAAAAGAACTTCACAATCTCTAATTTTCATATGACTTTGAATGTGGAATTAAAAAACTGAAAATGAGCTTCCCTAAAACACTTTATCTACTACATGTTTTACATGAAAAATATAGAGGAAAAGAGTGAAGTCCTTAAATGTTTGAAATTTTAAAGAAACATGGTGGAAAATGTAAGCACATATAATGAGCTGTACCTGGCCTCCTGGAATCTACCAGTTAACAGCAGCATTCCTCTTATAGCAATGAATGTGTCTCTGCCCCAGTTACGGAAAATTCCACTCGCAAAGTGAGGGAGACCTGAATGAATAGAAACAAGGCATATTAAAACAATGACAAAATGTAGGTTCATCCTGTCATCAGTTTGAAAATTGTTACAGGCACCGTAGCCAAAATCCAATGGCAAAGGCAGATCATTGGTGACACAATAAATCAGGTATACAACATAAACAGCGTGGCAATATAGTTTTTTTTATAAAAACATAACCTTAATGTTTTTCAGGAATATGTTTGTAGCAAACCAATTCTTGTAGACTTATTCTATGTTTAGGTGTATTGAATTCAATTGTAGGTGGCATCAGTTTCTGACACACGTAAATAATATATGAAGAAAATGAAAATGAATAAATGTGGATTAAAATGTAGTAAAAATTAACCTGCAGAGAGTGTATTACAGCTTTGTACCCTGCGTCCAGTTTTCTCATCTATACTTGTAGGTGGCTTAGGTTCATTAAGACTAGGAGACAATGTGGGGAGGGGGGCAGTTTTCACAATGCCACACATCTGTGTTGAACCCAGAGCAAGTGCTCTAACAAATGATGAGCCATCTTTAACAAACCTAGAAACAAATTCACATATCATTAATATTGGTCCCCCGATTGTGAATTGGCTATATTAGTGATATTTGTGAAAGCAGGACAAGCAACTGCAAAACCAACAGTTAACCAGCCATCCAGAGGCATTTTACATTCAGCATCTGATTGGGTTATGAAGGTTGATGTTGGTAAGCAGCTTGTTTTCCCCCAGCATGTAGTCAGCACCACTCTGAGGCCAGACATCATCATCACCTCAGAAACAACGCAGACCATCATTCTTGTTGAGTTAACTGTACCCTGGGAGGAGCGGGTAGAAGAATCCCACGAATTAAAGAAATTGAAATACGAGGACATTGTAACTGATGCCAAGCGAAGAGGATGGCAGCCACACTGTTTCCCTGTGGAAGTAGGCTGCAGAGGTTTTCCAGCCAAGTCTATGGACTGGATGTTGAAGTCGCTCGGTCTACCATCTCGCAAGCGCAAGAAAGCAATGATTACCCTAGGAAGGGAAGCTGAACGTTGCTCTCGTTGGCTGTGGTTGAGAAGAAATGCAAATTGGTTGCCCCAGTAATCCCTTGTCATCTTGCCTCATCTCCACCATTATCATGACACACCCTGTATCCAATAAGTCTCCCCTAGCTAGCATACCTTTAACCCCTTCCTCAAGCTTGAGCGGAGATGTGAAAAGGTGAGCGTTGGTCGACCATAAAGCGCTTTTTAAACCTACCATAGACCGTCGCAAGTCGGTTTCAAGCATTTACCGCTCATTCCCTTAGTTGAGATGTCTACTCTGATGGAAGTTGGAGGCAGCTGAGGAAACCTCTACATTTCCACAGCTAATGTGTATGGCGCAACAGCATGTAGTCCATCTAAGCATGTTTATCATAATATTGGTCCCCCGATGGTGAATTGGCTATATTAGTAATGAAATAAACAATAATTTCATATTCCCAGCATCCCATTTAATTATTAATAGGGGATTTGAATGTCCTTCATGGAACCAAGAAAACTGGAAGTTTCGAAATTGGTACTTACTACCTGACATTGTGATACTTTTAAGTTAATAGCAAAGTGCATAATCAAAATTATTAAATAGACATTACTAGGATTCAAAGTGTTTGACTTTTTTAGTGTTTAATTGTTCCAATCCTCACTTATTTAAGGAACCAAATCAAATTAGGTGTTATGATCCATAAAAATGAGCCCCGGGCTATTTCACCAACCAAATATGGGCATATATTCTACTACTTACTCCCCCATAAGATTCCAGATGGCATCATGGATCAACACAGAAGCACCCGTCATAATTGCATCAAAGTAACAGGGGACAAGGTAGCGGGGAATCTTTGCCAGGAACTCAAAGACTCCTTCAAACCATAGGCCTAACTACAATGTAATATTATACACAGCATGAATATGTATTTACAAAACAGACCAAATGACAGCATATACTCCCTGTAGTAGCAAACCTTCAAGAAAGATAAATATTTTATCAAATCACTCATTATTTTGAATATTATGTGATAGAAATAACAAAACTACACCTATGATGTGACATGAAACCATAATTGAAATTTTCCTCTCAAGTGAAGGTCCAATACGCGTAAGGTATCATTCCTATGAAAAGACAAGTCTCAGTTTCAAGAATGAAAGACAAGTCCCGGTTTGCAGAATGAAGTTCATAAGTCTACGTACTTCATTCTTCAAACCAAGACTAGTCTTTTGGACAAATTCTGATGTTATACTGAGGTTATCTACTGAAAAGGTGGCAATTTGAATTCAACAGATATCTTTAAAATATCGTCTTGAGCAGAGCCCAATGGCACTGCAAAACTGACTCAAAATCCCATTTCCAAAAAATGAATGTCCTAAAATTAACAAACATCACCTGATGTTACAATAATCTTTGAAAATTTGAAAAGTATCAATAAATTAAATCGTTTTAAAATATTATCGATTCAAATATAACTACGTATATTGACTCAACCTTGAATATTGAAATATTTTTGCTCTATTGAAATTACCAATAGAAATTTTGTAAAGGTCAACTTGGCATTTCAAAAGTTCAGGTTACGCTACATATTTAGTATTGCTATCAATAAAAAAACCAGACAAACAAGATGTACTGTACTGATTGCTATTGTGAAATTTACCATGAATTTCAAAATTATCTGATGATACATCATCATTAATTATAACATATTTCAATGATTCTAAACACCTTTGTTATGTTTTGCATCGACATTCACAACATTCAAGTAAGCCATGATGTACTGTACTGATTGCTATTGTGAAATTTACCATGAATTTCAAAATTATCTGATGATACATCATCATTAATTATAACATATTTCAATGATTCTAAACACCTTTGTTATGTTTTGCATCGACATTCACAACATTCAAGTAAGCCATGAATTTTAGAAAATGTACAGTTTTTCAAACTATTGCATTAGTTTTAATATTCAGCTTCATGTTCTTAAATGTTCAAAGATATATAACAGAACTTTTAAGCAAAAAGGAAATTCAAAAAGTTTACACAAAGAATGCTAAAAGAAATACAACAAATGATCTAGGTGTTAATGAAATTCTAGAATTTTACACAAGGGATTCTTCCATTACGGAGATCGAATCCCGTGTGCAGAAAGAAAGAAATGAGATTGAAAAACAATTGTCTGGCATGGTTAAAAAAAGAATGGCGGATATAATCCTCGTAGGAATGTTTAAAGCGGGTACAACTACAATGAGTCTATGGCTTACGACTCATCCACAGATTATTCAACTTAGAATAGCTGGTTATTATGGCCCTAATAAGAATTATGCATTGGGGCATGTAGCTCATGTGGCTCAGATACCCAACGTCTCAAAAGACAAGATTATATATGAACGATGCACAGTTTGCTTTACTAGCCAAGCTGCCAGGGAGAGGATTTTGGCTGCATACCCACAGAGGGATGTGAAACTTTTAATCATGGTTCGTGATCCTATAGAGCGACTTATATCTGGATATGTGCAGAATGTTTACCAAAATTATAAAGTGGAAATAAAAGAATCTTTTGAAGAGTATATATTCTACCCCAATGGGACCATACGAACAGATACAGAATATTTTCAAAAAAGTTTTTATGTTCGTCATCTTGCAAAATGGCTGCTGTTATTTCCAAGAGGAAACATACATTTAGTTGATGCTGATACCTTTACGAAGAAGCCATGGGTAGAACTTGAAAAAATTGAACAACTACTTAAAATCAATCATTTATTCTCAGAGGATCGCTTTCCAGCCAATCCTGAAAACCCTTTATTTCGTTGCCTCGCTAAAGAATATACAAAAGGGATGTACTGTATGGGACATGCAAAGGGAAGAACGCATCCTGATGTTTCTACAGAAACAATGCAGAAATTGAAGAGATATTTCAAGCCATATAATGAACAATTTTTTACCTTAGCAGGACAGAGGTTTTCATGGAGTTCAAACTATAACTAACACAGTACACAATGAGACAGATGATAAAATAATTTGAAATCTGGATTTTTATAAATACGCTATATTTACTTCTACGTGTGGGCAAGCCATAACATAAGTGTCCCTTTAACACATTTCACACTTCTTATTGATTTGAATTCAAAAACAATGCAAATTACCAATCAATCATTCTAGTCCATCCGCAAGCTGTAAATATCAAGGTTGAATTTATCATGACCATCATGATCATTGTCTAAGTTCACCTGATAGAGGATTTACTATGCTGTAAGTAGACATACCTGCTTCGTGCCATGATTTGCCTTCATCCTGTTGGCAGTATACTGCAGAAGCCAGTCTCCATTCCTGATGTTCTCACAAAGTGGATGTCCAAGATCATTGTTTGCATGGATCTTAGTCAACAAAGACATAACCCCTGGATAAGGCAAAAGTTGACATATAGGACAGGTATCTAGATATCTGTGCTCTGACAACAAGTTAAATGAATGAAAATATGCAATATTGCATGTAATTATAAATCTAACATGTGAACAGTTGAAAAAAATTTCGAAACCAGACAAAATTGCCTTTTGCATGCTGCTAATTGTTAAATCTTTTAGATTTTCTATTAAAGTTGTTCATATAGGTATCAATTTTCAATATTTTGATAAATCTATGAAGCAAAATAAATATTTCCAAAAAATTTTATTTGAGCCATCTAGCTAAATGGCTTATGTTGCATTTTTATTATGTTCTGAGCTATTTCAAAATTGATTAATAAAGAAGTCAGACAAAGAAAGTTTACTGTTCTATTGTTTTAACAATACCTTGAATCCCGCAATAGACAAGAGGCCCATATTTGGGTATATCGTAGACTGCAAATCCCTTCCCATCATCTTTTTCTTCGGCATCACAGCGATACATGACACGGTTCAAGTCTGATAAACTCATCCTATTAAATATTTAGTTATAATTGTACACCCGATTTTATAATTGTGAGATAATAGTGGAATATAAATACCCATACAACACTAGCCTTGCCAAAGTCGGTATTTTTTTACTTATCTGATCTTGAATTATTACCGCCTTGTACAATCCAAAACATCTCCGCTGTTATTATGCTGAAATATTTAACGGTTTCGAGATTTCCATAATACCTTCGCTATCAGGGGTATCGCGAAACCTTATTGATTGACAGATATCGCGTGGACACGACGTGTGACTTCAGGCTGAATGACCAATCAAAACGTTATTAGGTTGGGCTGCATAAACAAGACAAACTTCCCATGTACGACTTGAAATTCAATGATCTGATCGAGTGTTTCTTTAGAGTTACAATATATTATGTAATTAAATGTACATTGGAAGGTAAGAGTCATTAATATAAATTAAATCATGCGATTCAATGTTGATTTAAAATTGATTTCGCGATGAAAATGCACGAAGACCTAGTCCAATGTAGCGGGTCATGTTGTCGTCGATCGGTGATTGAATCTCAGCCTACATGTTCAGCGATCGTTTCAATGTTTATTGTTGAAATCTTCTCACCTTTGGTTATCTGATCGATGCCCCGGCATCCACTAAACTCTCGTTGATATTTATCTGATAAAATATTTGTATTTTCATGATGAATTCGTGCTCAGATTCGTGCAAGATTTGTTCGTGAAAAGTCCCAGTGAAAAGTGTACTTGTTTTTGACCATGCATAATAATGAGCTAACGCTACAGGGCCGTCGTTGATTGGTCAAATTTTACCGACATCAACAAACTGTCGGTAAAGCACGTGGCTTTCTCTTTGGTACAAGGCGGTCATAATAGAAATCAAGATAAGTAAAAGAGACCGACTTGGACAAGGCTAATACAACACCTACAACAAAGTATATTTATACCTTATCCCTTGATGTTAAATTCATTATATGTGCTAGGACGAATGAAATGCTTTGGAGTATTCACTTCTAACATCTACTATATGAGGATGAATCATCTTAAACATCTTCTATTTCAATTAAAAGTAAAACTGATCATCATAATAGAGACTGTTTTAAAAAGCTGGTTGTACCTGGAGATAATTGACTTAAAGTCAGTGTCTCTCTGGGTCTGCTGAAGGTTAGAGCCACTGTAACTTCTCATACGGAACCCAAACTGTGTTAGAGCTGACCTTATGGCAAGTATGGCTGTCTTGGACTCTGGACTCATGCAGATTCTAAAATAGATGTGTGTCTCCATATAAGTAGGTGGTGGTAGGTGGTACTGGTATTATTTTATTTCATCAATTTCAATTAATAAAAAATAATAATATGGTTGCTTAAAACCAATACCAAAAAGTGGTAACACTGCCTTACCTAAATACAATAAAGCAACATTACCCAAATGCAATAACGCTGCCTTACCTAAAGCAATAACACTGCCTTACCTAAATGCAATAACGCTGCCAGGTGGAAAGTTCACAAAGTCAATCTCCTGCAAGTGACCATCTCCAGGGTCTTTCAGCTCCACCATATCACTCTCATAAAGCTTGACATGCTCTTGTATGGTCACACCATAGTTTGAAACACCATTGACATAGCTGACCTCTTTTTTGAATTCAGATGCACCCTTACAAATTGTTCTTGCTTCAACTATGATCTCTTCGACTATACCTGAAAAACGAAAGTACACACCTGTAATGTTTCCAAAATTTTTCAAATAAATTCCTTTTTTGGGAAAATTGCATGTAATGAACATCTAAAGCCTTCAAATAAGTGCATTTACAATATCATGTTTACCTGGGACACAAAGTGGAGGCACAAATCCTGTTTTGTTCGGGTTACTAGGATAACTAAATGCTGTGCGGGCTACTAGGATAATAGTTCTGTGGTTGTTAGGATTATGACGCGTCACTGCAACTATATCTTTATCGACCTGGTCAACATAGACCTAGAAAAATGGTGTGCATATTATGTATTAACTGTCTAAGTCTATGTTATTTTCAAGTGATGTTGTTCCTTCTCAATTTTCTTCATACAAATAACATATTTATAGCAATGGAATCAAAAGTTAACATTTTTTAGCTATTGATCATTCACTATTAATTTCATGTACATCATTCAGAAACTTGTGAACTTAAATTTGCTTACCTGCGTAAATCCTGCCTCCCCCATTTCAAAGTGAAGTCTGTTTAGGGCAGTCTTGGCTGCAATGATTCCACTCCCTTGGTTTACTGAGCCTTTATTTAACACCTTGCTGTCTGTCCATGCTGCATATTCACGTGTCTCATTTACTACATGGATCTTAAATTAATAAACATGAAGCTGAAGGAGCAGCAATGAAAATAGATGAGTTGGGGATATTTTTGGGAAATTGATAGCAAAATTACTTTTTTTCCTAAAAAATAATCCAAGATTGTACTAGTCTGAAAAATTACCCCCTACATGATACTTCTAAAGCCCTCTAAGATTAAAATGCTGGCACTACTATATTATGGGATCACTCTGTGATTATAAACCTTTGCAGACCTTCAATCTAGAAATACACTGAACAAGCTTCTGGACATTTCAAACATAATGCCTTCCTCATTGCTAAGAAAAATAGTAAAACACAACCTCATATCAGTAAGAAATTCTTTCTACGGTCTTCATGCTCCAAATTAATTATATGTTTACTTACATGATGTGGTACAAGTTCATCATATCCTCTGTTACTGCCAGTCGCACAGCAAGCCATAGATACCAGACCAGCACTTGGCAGCAAGTCAAATACACTTCTTTTCTAAAAATACAACAACATGAAGACAGTTGTAATTAACAATATATTTTTATGGTGTCAGCAACGTTTCCGCGTGAACGAAACACTCCCTCGTGCATGTAGGACCGTTTGGGTTGGACACCATGGTTATAGTTAACAATACATTTTTATGGTGTTGTAGAGTGTTTCATGTTTCCTGAACTTGGCAATCTTATTTCTCAGTCTTGTTATTTAAAGCATGGGATTGCCACAATACATTGGCGAGCTCATCTTCTCTGATAGAAATTAAATCTGTCTACATACATTAGTACATGTTCAATACAATACCAGTCTAGATATGTTAAGAGCTCTATATATTACTCATGCACTTTAAAAAGTATTTTTGCATACATAGCTAACAGTACCTCTACTGGACTAGGATTGTCATGTGTTTGGTCCATGAACAAAGCATGAGCTATAGATGGCTGTAGGGGTCTGGTGGAAGGTTGGATAAAGGCACCAACAGGCTCACCCCCATAGCGATAAACAAGACGTCCTTCTTCGTGCGCATCCCAAGCACTCATTGCCTCTAAAATATAAATAGTTTACCAAGTGAATGAAGCTCATTAAAATCTTTGTAAAAAATTGTGCAAGCACAAAAATTTATTTTACGCTGACAAAAAGGCTATGATGCAAGCCATAACACTAGAAAACCAAGCAACTGTTGCTAATCAGTTATGTTAAACAAAAACAACAAGCTATAATCGGGGCTATAATACTCATCTGACCAAGTTAAGTGTGTGATACTTTACCATATGACTTTACAATTCAATCAGATTTTTCGAAAGAAAATTTTCTTATCTTAGTATTGATACAGGGTGAAATGATTGAACAGTTACCTCTAATTAAAGAGTTGATGCCTAGTCTGTTAATGAACACATTGTCTGTGTGTTCACTAGAAGTGAATAGCTCTGCTATGACATACATGTCAGGCCGGACCTTACGTGCTGCATCTAGCATGTACTGGAAATTAAAGCATACAAATATAGTACAAATACTCATGATTAAAAGAAGTATGATTCCCTTGGATTCACAACAGAAGCTAAAACTTTGGAATTATTTATCCCGTTACATTTTAACAGTTAAATATCCATCATATTATTTTAATATTTCTAATTCCACATCCTATGATAATATATAAATCTACAATTTACCTCTGCTACATGAAGTGGCGTACTGTGGCAATTATCCAGTCTAATACCATGAAATATCTGTGCAGTAGTGACTGTATACTCCAGCATATATTGCCATAGATACGGGCAATCTTCTGGCTTGTCACCATATCGGAGTTTAACACTATCACCCCAAGCTATCAGCTCCCTCCTGAAGTAAATATTCGAGCCTGGTTCAGCGAAGTTCCTCAGTGGGTCATCATTCATCACCCATCCATTGTGAGCCATCATCCAAGCACCTTGTTTCTCATAACTTAGCACCTCATCCATCTCTACACTGACTGACTTGCCATGTTCAGGATAATCACCAGGATGAGTGAAGTACCTGAAAAGAAGTTAAAAGTGAAGAATACAAAGCCTCATCAGAAATGTGCTCGGCAAATATCTTTTGCAGTTTGGGCTTGAATGTTTACTTCTACCATAAATAATAACTGCCTTTGAAGTATAAAATAAAAATACCATACTCATAGCAAAATTCTAATCAACTTATTCATTCTTTATGTAAAGTGTTTAGAATTACTTTGAATGACTGCATACTTACATATCCATTATTGGATCACTTTTGGAGACCTTGTCATATTTTGGACCATCATCTGCCAAGAACCTGTACCTCCCATTGGCTATAAAATTGTTGACTGCCTGGGTTAGATGGGATTGCACTTCTTCACGAATGCTGTTGTTCAGTTCCTTAAGTTTAAATTCTAGATCTTTGACACATTTTTCTATGGTTGCTTCTTTAGTTCCATCATCAAATCTGAAGATATTTACAATGTCCTATTTATTTTACAATAGCTTTGGGTAATGTGCCACAGTAGAAGAATGATCAAGCCCCATTGATAGCCCCATACACTTGGTCTTTCACACAAACTGGTTTGGGATACAGAAAGTAAAAGTAAGGGAATCCAGAGACATGGTGCAAGACTTTTTTGCTGGCTGGAGTTCATTTTATATTATTCAAATTATTGTGCAGCATAGTAGTTACATAAATAACTGCATAGCGAAATTTGAAAGTAAGGTTCAATAGAAGCTTGGAAATCACAAATTTTATTTCATTCTTTAAAGAAAAGGTCAATACTGCAAAATTGCAAGGTGAGCAATATGTGGGTGAATTTGAGAGCCCCATAAAGACAATAAGTATTTGTTCTGACTAATCCTCTTCAATAGATTTCAGATAAAAAACTTACTTTTCATTTCTGTACAATTGCATAGCTTTATCCATGTTGATCGTTGTATGTAGCCTCCTCCATTGGCTGTCCTGTTTGACTTCCACCTTCCCCTCCATCTCCTTCTCCCCTTGTCCATTACTCCCTGGTGGCAACCCTTTGTCTGAATGAAGATAAATTTTTTAATATCCGTCAATTAAAATATTGAATTCCTGAAAATTGTGTACAATTTTTGTGTTTGCTATTATTATTGCAAAAGGGCATGATTTTATAGAACTTATAAAAATAGCTCTAAAATCATGCATTATTATCATCGGACCAAATATCATCAAGATAAAATGGAATCTCAATGTTAAAGATGTTAAACTTTAAAGTGAACCCTGAAAAACTAGCAAAGATTGCAGCATAGCAGACATAAAGAAGGATGAAGTCCAAATTTTGATGCAACAACATCATGTCCCAAAAATGTACTCCTTAAACTTAAAGGTTCAATTCAGAGTATTTGCAATCTCTTTACTAGATAAGCCTTAAAGAGGAATATGCTATGCCATGTCTGTTATAAATGGTGAAATGGTATAATTCTATCTTACCTAAACATGCCTTAAACTCTTCCAGCACACTGTCCACATCTAAGATGAAGAACTCATTCAGGTTGGACTTAGGAATAACTTTATCTAGTAATACATTCTGTACAGCCTAAAATAAAAGAATGGTCTTAATGAAGTACCTCATGTCCCACTGCATTTATTGACATATAAGTAAACCATTGAATTAAATAGTATTCTCATCTAAAATTGCTTTATTTAATCATGATCCAACCTCAAAGATTGAGAGATGTCAATTAGAAAACTGTTTGATTTAAGAAATAATTATCAAAAACTTCAAAATACTAAAGTTTAATACAACAGGTACAACAGTACAACCATACTCCTGTTTGTGCAAATTCTAAAATCATTTTAAAGAATTTTTGTAATATTTTGTTTGATGTCCCATTTTCCCTAAATATAAGTTTGATAGCCTCCATTTGTATCGTGATAAAACTTGAATTGTTATAAAATGAATCCAACATGTGTGAACATCTCTTGCAATTTCCTAAAATTAAAGTTTCTCACCTGTAGATGGCACTCTGAATTGATCTCAGGGGGTATTCCATTTTCTGTCCACACCCCCTCAGCAACCTCCATACTAAAATGCCACAAAATCCTATCAAGCACATAAGCTGGTCTTAGATGTGGTGAATTATGGACATTATATGCACACTCCGGATGCTCCTCAATCCAAGGGCTATTATTAGCTGTATGATTAAATACTAAATCTGTCAATGATAAAACACTCCAGCTTTCATCCATTTTAGAAACGAGTTTCTGTACATCATCCCATTTAATAGATGTATTGTTTGCACCGTATCTACGATCAACTTCATGTTGATTGGCTAGACTGTACGCTGAGTCTGAATGTCCAAGCTGTTGCAGAGGTGTAAAATGAATCATGTTGTAACCTGTCTCCTTGGCTACTGCAAGTTTGGATTCCCATGTTTGAAAGGGGCCTAAGAGCTTCGTTAGCACAGTCTGGCATTGTATACAGTCCAAACTGACCTGTTCTTTTTCAGGGCCACTAGTGAGCTGGGGATCAACAAGGAAATAGCCACAGCCATCAGCATACTCAACATCAGGGCTGCAATAGCAAAGAATACACATGCATGTACACTGAAATAGAGAATTTATTGGAAAGTGCTCAACAAAGCACTGCATCAAAGCCTTGAGCAAAGTATAAACAGCCAAATAGCCTTTCTTGAGCATCTTGAGCATGCCCCTTATTTTCGAAATTGAACCACTGATGACTCTCTCTTATAAGTTGAAATTAAAAGGAATCGAAGAGGCAAACAGTTTTCAGATTCCATACTAAGCAGAGAGGGTACAACATAAACGTGCAAAATGTCACCACCTGCCATTTGTCACATACGCTGAACACCAACCACCAATCGCTGACTGCCAAACACCATCCACAAGTTTGAGACTACAAGAATTATGTCACAACATCTGATGGTGAAATGTACAAACCTGCCATTTATTGTGAAGTAATAATTGAATGATCCCGCAACAACAACATCAATTTCTGCAAAACTGTCAGACCTATCAGCCTTTGTCTTACTGTGACTTTGCCAAGGTATTTCTCTGTATTGGTTGCGCAGAAATGTTGAGCTTGCATTTTGGGGATGGTTGCTAAAGACGTGGACATCTTCTGCCTGCAGGGAAGGGCCAAGAACAAAGTGTAATTTCCACCCTGAAATAAAAAAATGTGTGTTGATACTTATTGTATTTCATACAAGTATTAATTCATCTTGCAACTGTGGTAGTAATAAAATAAGAATAAGAAAAATATCTTTATATCTAACATACATAATTTCAAATGCCTATATAATTTATAAGGAGAAAATAAGGATTTACCAGTTTCACCACTAGGTGGCTATTTCGGGAAAATAACATGACAGAGTATTACAAAGTTCTCTTAAACTTGAATATTCATCAGCTTTCTTTAGTGGTTCACTTTTCATATTACCCTTATGTATCTGACTCACTTTTTGTGATTTTACAACATGGGGTCCGTGGGGAATCTCCCCGACCTAGAAGCCATATAGAAACTTCAATTTTCAAAGTTAATAAACTCTTTTCAAAACCACAATTCTAGGTGTAATTTTACATGTAGACTCCGAATATGACATCAGTTTGATTGAATTATCAATGATGTAAATCAAGATTATTTCTCCTCACATCTAGTCTATTATATTATAGCAAAGATAACACAATCATAAAAATCATACCTTTTTGCAGTCTGAAGAGGACCGTCTCTTTGTTCTCTCCCTTGTTGAGAGTAAGCAGTCTCACCTGGGCAGACATACCTGCAATAACAGGAATGCACATGTACATGTATATAATTCAAGCCCATAGCCAGGATTTGCCAAGGGGGTTCACTTTTTGAAAAATTCCAGGAGAGGTTCACTTGTGATAATTTTGGTCCAAAAATGGCCAAAATCCCTTTACAATCACTTTTCTTCAAGGTACATGTATCGTCCCCTGTTTCTCTATTATAGTACTTGTATCTTTTCATTGTATTTAGTCATTGGTATGACATCACAGTAAAACATTTCATGATTTTCATCAATTTCGAAAAAGAAATATTCGTGAAAACGCTTTGCAGTTTGTCATAAAGATATACTTTTAGCGATAGTGCAAATATACTTGAAGAAGAATGTCAAATAAAGCTGAAATGATGTGTTCAGAATCTAACCCTAAATTTTTTTGGACTTAACATGAATTGACAAAATTGTCGTCAGTAAAACATCAGATAATAGAAGTTCATCTTAAAGCGAAGATAGGGTCTTGGTACAATAGGATAGGATAATGAAGGGAATTTGGGACTTAACTCTTTGTGTCAAATACAAGTTCCTATTGACTCACTTAATTATATTGTATAATCTTTACTTTATTAGTTTGACCACCTATCAGTTTTCTTTCTGATTATAAATTGATTAATATCTAACTTGATTGCAATCAACAGCTTATTACTAGTACTAGACTGTAGAATTAATGAAATTATTTTTAAAAACCACCTGTGCTTTTGAGTATGTTGCATTACTTTGATTTCCCAACTATCTTTTGCAGATCAAACATTAACACAAGCCCTTTCTACAAGCAGATTGAAATAAAGAATTCTGGAAGGAAGTTTAATCTTCTATACTTTGTGCAAATATTGATTGCCAGCAATGTGATTAACATGTTAATAACATGTTATGTCAGAGGTTTTATCTAGATCTGTGATCTATGTTTAATTAATGTGTTCCAACAACAACATTACAGCATAGCAATTCTTCTAAAACCTGATGATTGATGATAAACTGCATTAATAGACTGACTAGTGCTAAAATCTTGATGTATTGTTTGTGTATTGTAACCGCTAGTATCCATACTCCGAACTATATTCTACATACAGTGGGGGACATAAAAAATAACAAAAGCTATGGAAATGACATGCTGTCGCACATGTAATAAATTCTTACCTCAGTGTATTCAGTGCTCTATTTTCTCCGCCCAAGTAAGTCCAGATATAGTGGAATTTGTGTCCATAATAACAAATAAGAACTTAAAATTTGAAGTGGAATTCACATGTTAATGCCGACTCTTCAAATGTTGAGGTGATTTTGGAGCCCGATTGCGCTGCAATGTGGATTAGCTCCCAGAATGCAACACGACACGTGTCAGCTTTCAAAATGCTGTTCTGCCATTTTGAAATCTGTCAGGAGTAAATAAGGTTACCTGATGTTGCATTCTGGGAGTCAATTCTCCTTGGATCACAAACATGGCGATTCATGAAAACATTTGTTCGATTTGGTAGGGATTTATCCATCATTTGCAGGTATGAAGCTTTGGATTCATTTATTGTGCTACCTGAGACTAACATTATAATTTTATGTTAGTCTCAGGTGCTACTAAAGTGAATGGGAATTATTTTTCTACCGCTTGGGAGAGTTTGAGACACCAAACTTAGAATTTAGCTCATTGTGACAACTTTTAAGGGTTGAGATTTATTTTTGTCCCCCACTTTACATGTACCTCAGGCTCAGGTGGGTTGGAGCCCATGAATGATCTCACTCACTCTCTGACAAAAAAAAGTTCTCCCATTACCCTCAGCTCATAAGTCTTGAAATCTATCAAATCTGCCTAACAAACAATTAATCAGTGCTTCTTATAATTCATCAAAACACGTACAAAACCTCGAATTTGGACAAAATGTACAACTTACTGAATTTTAGCAGAATGTCCTTGCTAGGTGACCTTCCAATACAAAGTTAGCGTAGGTTTTCGGAGAATAAATTCGAATGAAAAATATACTTAAATATTGACAACAATTTAAAAATTTGTATTGAAATAGTATTTATTATAAAACACATGTAATTGTTTTTACTTCGAAATGATTAAACATCATAAATTAATATCTCTCGTAAGATTTTTTTATTTGAATTTGATTACGAAAAAATGTTAAAGAATAAAATACATAGCTCAGACGATTATTTTGAAAATAAATATTTCAGCAAGTGCATTTGTCGTATTTCACTGATTTTACATAGATCTACGCTAATATTTAAGAGCGGCTGTATAAGAAATGGTAAGAATATGTATTGATAATGAGTTCTGCTCTATCACTATGGTAAATAATCTTACTGCCTTGTACTAGATCTATAGGCAAAGTAGTCTAACCAGACATCTTTTTCAACTTTTTAGATTTTAGCCTTTAGGAAGTTAGCCTAGAGCCCGGGGGGTTCACTGTATATAAAACTCGACGGGGGTCCTAGGCTGAAGCCTCAAATATCAATATGTTCCCATACCAATCTGTCAAATTTCAATATGTTCCCATACCAACCAAAATAACGCCCAAAGGCCATACCAAATGTCCAAATATAGGACCAATGCCATACCAAATGCCCAATTATGGGACCAATGCCATACCAAATGTCAAAATGTAGGACCAATGCCATACCAAATGTCCAAATATGGGACCAAATGCCATACCTTAATTCAAAGTAAATGAAATATAGGATCAATGTCATACAAATTTGCAACTACTGGACCAATGCCATACCACGAATGTTAGGTAATGTATCTACAACGACCAATCTTATACCAGAAGAGCAAAATTCCGACCATTGCCATACCTCAGAAGTCAGAAATTTCCGGGCATTCCCAAACCAAATCCTAAAATATGGGTCCATTGCCATACCAAACGTTGAAAAAGGTACCCCACATGCCCCGAGGATCCCCGTCAAGGTTTATATATAGTGAACCCCCCGGGGCCTAGAGTCCATTTCACTGCTTCATTTCGTCAGTAGAACGGCAAAAATAAGAAATTGGGAGACCATTGTGCAATAATATATAGAAAAGTGTATTCATAATGTACATGAATGACATTTGTATATTTCAGATTCTTTAGTTTTTTGTGCAATAAGCCTGTGCCGTCTTGTAATTTGAAGAATTTCAGCCATGTTAATCTTATTGAGAATAACATGGCAGAGAAACATCCAAATATAAGAGGCCACACACTTTATAAGCCAAACTAGAAGCAATCCAAGATATACAAATGTCATTCATGTACATTATGAATATACTTTTCCATTTATTATTGCACAATGGTCTCCCAATTTCTTATTTTTGCCGTTCTACTGACGAAATGAAGCAGTGAAATGGACTCTAGGTACTGTACATGATAACATGTACAGTACTTCAGTACTATAGAGTCTCTTAAAGTAGATTTTGATAATGTATGGGACTCACTTACTTACTACGGGCCGTGAATTCGTTCAATCCCCAATCCAATCCGGATAAATTTTATCTTTTGGGATTACTAATCCGATCTACTCTCTAACATTTTTCACTTTACTTTCACTTCACTGTTAACAGAAGTACCTGGATGTACCAGAGTACTGTTATTTATTTGTTGCAATCAGTATTCAGTTCACTTCTCTCGGACTTTTTCTAGAAGTAGCGAAGTTTACTCCTGTAGAATTGCTGATGCATCGATGTACGATTATGGCACATCGCGACAACACTAAATACATGGACCTCTATCCCCTTCATCGGAACTTCTTCTGGTGTGTTTAAGTCACTTCCAGTTTAGTTTTGCAAAATCTGAAAGGATAAGCTGAACAAACATTGATATGATTGAGCATTTCCATGGGGTATTCTTTCAATAATAAATTACTAGCAAGTAGCAAGATAAGTAGTTGAATCGAAGAAATAGGTGTAACAATTTGTATTTCATTTCAATGTATATAATATGGAAGTTATGGCATCAGAGTAATGTCTAAGCCATAGCGTCTGCCAAATTAAATAGCGGCCTATATTCAAAAATGGCAAAATCGCAAAAATTAAATAGCGGCAAATTAACCCAATCTACAGTATATCAAAAAACTACATTTTGTGGAAGTATAGGCATAAATGTTTTGTGGTAAGAACTAACGTCTTCATTTGACGTCACCATGGTCAAAAAAAGTATTTAACACTTTCAAGTATGTGATGTGTTCATGATTGACAAAACAAAGCTGATACGGTTAAATCATGGGCTTTTTCTGAAAGCCTATGATGAGTTTATACTGGCACTGGCATCTTATTTTTTCAATATCTCATTCAATGCTATTGACGCAAAACAACATATTGGATTACAGTGTAGGCGTAAAAACTACACTATATCTGGTGTCCCAAAAAATGAGTCAAGTATTTTCTCGATAATTGATAGCCCTGATTTACTTAAAATTTGCACAAAGTAGCCCAAGAGTATCGTTAGCAAGGTACAAAAATACTTTTTGTGCCAAAAATGGGAAGTAATTTCTCAGCAACAGATGAAAACTTTACTTGAGTCACTTTAGGGTATCTTCTGTGCTATGAATATGTAGGAGATTGGCCTAATATTATGTGTGTATTTTTGAATTAAAGACAGTATGACTAGCAAGAACAATATGCCTTGGTTCAGTTTTAAGCCAATGATTCACATGCAGTATTTTGCTCTGCTGAGAATGGGGTAAGCTGGGTGGGGAGAGAAGGTTTGGGGGAAAGCGATAAAGAACCTGTAACTATAGTACCATATTCTTCATCCAAGCCACCTAGACCAAGCCTTACAATATACTACAGTAAAACCTGTCTAACTGAACACCTAGTGAACTCCTGTGTCTAAAGAACACCTCTTCTCAGCACATACTCCACTGACTTCTGTATAAGATCATCTCCATAGTGAACACCTACCTATAATGAACACATCTTTGTGGCTCCATAGGTGATCACTGTACACTGGTTTTACTGTATACACATTTATATTTAGTACAGTATGTTAGTACATGTATCTTACAAAATGTAGGTTCCAGACACATAATTATATCTTCACTTATCGATAATCCAGGCACAGTACTAGATAGGCTATTCAGAATTGAAGTCTTATAGACTATGACTATTATGTGTAATATAAGACAGCGAAATAATTAATTTTTTGTCTTGTTCAGTATGAACAGGATTGTATGAAACAATATGATTTAATATATTGTATATTATATTTTAATGACTTCATACTGGTCAGAACTCAGAATGATAATCTTGTATGTTGTAATCATTATAGGGGGAGCGAAAAGGTCAAAACAAGTATTACCCACCTGACTTTGACCCTGCAAAACATCGATCACTAGATGCTTATCATGGCTCTCATCCTCTGCGGGAACGAGCGAGAAAACTCAAGTCTCAGGGCATCCTCATCATCAGGTATGTATCAGCTTTTATATATGCAGCAGGCCCGTAGCCAGGGGGGGTTCGCAGGGTTCGGGCGAACCCCCCCTCCTGGCCAAAAATTCTTTCAAAATCATGCAGTTTTTGACCATTTTGAGCACTTCTCTAGTGATTTTAGCCTAATTTGGGCCAAAATTGTCAAATGTGAACCCCCCCTGGAAATTTTTGAAAATTGAACCCCCCTTGGCAAATCCTGGCTACGGGCCTGTGCAGTAAAAGTACATGACTGTCTTCTAGTATAGAACCCTTTGATGCTATATTGTGATCAGTTGTGGGTGGTCGGGCAGGCAGACATCTCAATTAATCTTGTCTACAAAACTGTTTGAGGGATTAATCTGAAATTAAGAGGGACATTTGAAAGTTGACAACTGATTAGCTTTTGGGCTTTCTGGGTGGCTATTTTGTATTTTCTGTCCTTAAATCTTGTCTGTGGAGGCTTTTCTAATAGTTTCCAGGCAAACTTTTTCAGGGATTCATTTGAAATTTTCAGGGATGTTTCTACCTATAAAAGTTTAGAACTGGTTAGGTTTTCAGCATTCAGGGTAAATGTTAAGGCGGCCATCCTGGATTTTCCATTCTAAAACCTTGACTGTTGAGGATATCCACAGGTTTCCAGCCAAACTGTTTCATGGATTCATCTGGAATTTTCAGGAATGTTTATACATATGAAATTCTAGATCTGATCAGTTTGGGGCATTCTGGGTAAATGTTAAGGCGATTATATTGGATTTTTGTCCACATTTGAAAAAATTCATTTTTCTAAATATGGAGTTAAATCTAAAATTGATAACGATCCAAAGATGAAAAGAACAATCTTTCGCTATTTTTATACTACTTTCATTATTAGACCATGTGAACACATTACAAATCTTGTTCAAAAGACATGATAGAAATGACATTTAAAAATGAATATACACTTAGTATAAAAACCTTAAAAAGTTGAATTTGCACATTTCAAAACCCCTACAATCCATATATTTGTAATTTCAAGTGAAAGTTATTTTAACTGTGAAGGGGGCAATGTATCCCAGCTTGACCAGGTCAGATATTTTTAGTAGTTCCCAACTGGGTCAGATATTTTATCTGCTTTATATTACCATGCCTATTTCTCAAGAAGTCAGTAGCCAGCCAGAGCAGAAGCAATGCCCTTATAAAGCAAATTTAGCAGTTTTTAGTGTTTAAGTTATTTGGCTACCCACCACACCACCCCCCCCCCCTGTTTAATGGTAATACAATATGTATGTAGGGGGGGGGGGGTGGTACATGTAATTGATTCAAGTTCACTGAATCAACCTGTAAATTGTTGTCATAGTAAAAGTAGTTAGTACAATACATTGCATAATGCCAAATCTGTGTGTATTTGTGTTTGCAGATTTGAGATGCCGTATAACATTTGGTGTGGTGGCTGTAACTCACACATTGGGATGGGTGTTCGCTACAATGCAGAGAAATCCAAAGTTGGGAACTACTATTCAACTCCTATATACAAGTTTCGCATGAAATGTCATCTGTGCGACAACCACTTTGAGATCCAAACAGATCCTGCAGTAAGTTCTCATTTAAAGGTGCAAAAATTAGTGCACAGGGGCAATTCAACGGTCATGAACCAGTGTCAAAATATATTTAAGTTTGGATATATCATCAAGACTTACATCTATTTTTATTATCTACAAAGAAACCCCCTAGATAAACATTATTTCAGGTTTTTATTGGTGGATCTTAAGAATATAAAAGTGGATTTCCCCTTTTTGAAGCTTTGAACTGAATTTACACTTCTTAATGCTGAACTTGATAGTTTATCCATATATTTAAAGAAAACAGGTATATCAAAGAAAATGTTAAGCCAAATGTTGCCTTGATAGCTCAGAAAAAGTTACACTTTCCAATTTTCTCTCTACAGGCCTTTTTGCCCCTTTAAGAAAATATTTATTCAACTATGAGATAGGAAATCCAGTCAAATTCTTGGGCTAAGAAGATTAACCTTGATCCACAATTGTTGAGTTGGGATTTGAAGCATTTGTTTAGCTTGACATTTTAAAGATGCATTTCAATTCAAGAACTTTTTAAAACAATTAATTTACTCGCATTTGTTAACTTTAATGTTTTTTCTGATGGTGTTCTCAATATAACTTCATGTCAAGAACAATTTTGATTTCATTTGATCAAAAACAAATTGTTTGTTTATTTATTTAGAGCTTGACAAGATTTTATGCATGTACAAGGGCTGTCAGGAGTTGTCTCAGGATTATACTGATGAAATCTTAGCTTGAAGTTTAAATGCTCCTATTTTTGGAACAATTAGTTCTGGACTTCTTGGACAACCCTTGTATATGTGTATTGTTCGTAAAAGTACAAAATAACTGCTTATGAATGCTGAATGCTTTTAGAACTGTGAGTATGTGATACTTAGTGGCGCTAGGAGAAAAGAACAGAGATGGGACCCCGCAGAGAATGAGCAGATTGTCACAGAAGGTCAGCTCTTGCTGTAGCAAAATTAGTCATGACAACAATACGAGGCTTTTTACTTTTGAAGCACAAATGAGACTAATTTTCCTTGTACAGGCTGATTTTCTAAAATGTTCTTACAGAAACTGTCATTGACCTAGAGTGTCTGTTTACCGTTCTTACTCGATACTCCTTGATATTTCTTTTTTGGAACAATTAACAGAAATAATTTCTCCAGCAAAATATGCTTGAAATCCATGAACGATTAAAAACTTATCACAAAAAAAGATTTGAACATTTTTCAGCCAACTCTGTAATAATGTGATCCAGCTGGCCATCGTATTCAAATCATTCATATCCATTTTACATTCCAGATCGTAATGTAATAAAAAAAATGGTGAACGACCCCATGTTTAAACTTGAGCATGGGGAAACTGACAAAGTTAAGCATAAAAAGTCCCTTCCAAACCTAGGAGAGCTAGCTTCCATACAAGACCAATACAGGGATGACTACATGCTCAATAAATTGGCAAGAAACAAATTCAGGGTGAGAAATCTTTTTGCATTATCATTCAATAGTTTTATGTACCATCTGTTTAGTACACAGGACACAATGATGAGCTCAAGTAATGTTAACATTTAAAATACTTTTATAACTTTAAAATATGTATAATTTATATCTCCATTTTCAATATATGAATTGTTTTTGACCCATCTTGTTACCTGTACAATAGTGTGTATATAGTACTGTATTTTCATGTTTCTTATATTACAGGGTGAAAAGAAGGCACTAGCAAGCAAGGAACTTGCAGATAAAGTTCTCCTGGCCAAGTCTTCCCTAGATATAACCCTGGTAGATGAGACACCAGAAGATAGAAAGCTGGCCAGCTTAATCAAGTATAGTACTGTTAAATGTGAGTATATGAAGCCAAGGTTGCACCACACATTTATCAATTTAAGTTTGAAAAAAAATTAGGGAAATGTCTGACTTCATTTAATTTTGAACTACCCATATGTACCAAGTATACTACCACAATGTGTATTGTGTACACATCAAAATATTCAGATTTCAAAGCCATATGTTCTGATAATTTGGCATGGGGCATAGTTACAAAAACAAACTACAGAATAAGTTGATTAACTTAACATAAAATGAAATATGGTAAGGGACAAAACTGAGTTGATAAAATATTGATAAGCATTATACTGTAATGACAGTATGAAAAAAACATTTGATTTACTTCATGAATTCCAGATTCTAAAACCTGTTTGAAACCAGAAAAATTTTGTGACAGATTATCTCTTCACTCTGTGTCAGTTTCAAGGTCATTTCTTAGGTGACAAGAAATCACCTCACTGATAGTCAAGAGGTTAAATTGTTTTGATATGATTTCTATAATTTCACTTCCAGCATTCGATGAAAAACAAGAGGAAAATCGGAAAATGATTGAGAAAAGACCAATATTTGGCTCCCCAATATCTCAGTCTTCAAATAGATCGACACAGAAAATTTTAGACACAAAGTCACGTCTGTCAAAGACAGTTAACATAACCAAAGTAGATCCATTTAGTCCAAAAGCTACAAAGGACAAGCTGCAATCTCTGGTGCTAGTAAAACAAGCAAAGAAAAAAACAGTTAGTAATGACACTAACGTGGATGAAAATGAAATAACAAACATTAAAATTGATGAACCAAAAAATTCTTCAAATATTTGTGACTCTTCAACGATAGAATCTAATACTACAAAGACTGAAACTAGAGAAACAGAAAATAGGACAAAACATGAGACATCAAACAGTATGGAAGTTGAGTTTCCTGAAAATATGACAAGTTGCTCAGATATCACTGACAAAAATGTTGATCTACCCAAAGACAGTGTCAAAAGTGCAATAAGGCAAACTTCTGCGATGAACTCATTGATCTCATACAGCGATAGCAGTGATTCAAATTGTGATTAACCAGATGTATTTGAAGTCAATGTACAATATATTTATTCAAGAGAATCAGACTCAATCTGCTTGTTCTAGTTTTGAATTACACTATGATCATTTCCTTTACTCCAGCGGTTCTATATATTTTGGAGGAAAATGCGTAAAAGCTCAAATACATAACTTATTCACATACTTAAATGCTTAAGGTGTCTGGGTTAACCTAAATGATCAAGCTAAAGGTGATCAGAGCTAGCAAAGAACAGAAATTCTATCTGTCAAAAGCTTTTGAGCTCATTCCCTTGTGATGGCTTATTTGCAAAGGTTATTCATGAAAAATGAGATTAAAACATTTACGTCCCAATAAAAATCAATTTGGATGAGATATGGATATTATTTGACACATTATATTTGTGATAGTAAATGATATACATTAGCATTAGCTTGTATCAGGAAGTCATAGGTGATGCTTGCATCCGCCATAGTCGTACACACTGATTGATTCTAGCTTTAATTCTCGACTTTACCTTGATAAATAAAGATATGGCAAGTAAGTATGTGATAACATATGTCTGTTTGCTTGTCTGATAGGATTATATACTTTGAACTTAAATACTGAGTCTTGAAATATCATGCCCGTAGCCAGCTTTCTGTAAGGGGGCTTAAACCCTCACCCCCAGCTTTTTCCCTTACAGATCCACCAGTGAAGGGTAAACTATGTTTAACAAAGCACAAATAAAAGGGTGACCCTGAAATAGGGGAAGGTGCACAAAAATGTCTGCGCTTGTGTGGAGAAAAAATTGGGCTCAAATTTTGAAAAAATATACCCAAATTACAAAAACTGTGCCCAGTAATGCCAGTTTTTTTTATCTAAGTTGTCCAGTTCATGTGGGGAAGAGCAGGTTTTCTTTCAAGAAAGTAAAAAAAAGGTAGGTCCACATTTTTTTAGGCGATATCAGGAGCTGAGGCTTGCCATCTACAGGGTGGTCCAAAAAGATGTATACACAACTGTACATTTTTGAGTAGGATTTTCCTGTTGAAAGAAAATCAATTTTTTCATGGACATGTTTTAGAGACATGTTTGTTTTGTGCGGTGTAAGTTTTTTTCTAAAGCAGCAGCCATCTTGAAAAACTTTTTTGCGTATAAGTATTGACCAATATACATATTTCTACCAAATATGAAGCAAATCAATCTTCTAGCAATCGAGTTACTGGACGGATGGATGGAGGGCTTCACTATATCCCTACTTAACTTCTTCGTTGGGATGATTATTGATGCGTTCAAGAAAAACATTCTGACGGAGATGAGAATTCCCTGTGACACATTAGACAGGGTCATTACCAATTCAATGAAAAAAAAAAAAAATATTCCTGTATCATGTGTGTGTGCGAATAGTTGAGTAGAATAGTGACTTTTAAGTCAGTTCAAAACTAGAAATCATTCACTGAATTTCCCAGGTATTAACATTTGCTCCAATTTTCAGTACTGGCAGCTGGCCAATGAGTATTTTGTTCAAAATTGCATTTAGTTTTGAACAAAATATTCAGCAGCCAGGTGTTGAAGATCGGAACAAATGTGACCATGGCATTAGTTGGTTACAATTTGCAATCGATGGATCAGATGGGAGGGGTACAACATTGATGTTATTAATTACATAGTGTTACATTATGAGGTATCAACTCATTTATTTTTTGGCTAATGCCCAAGTCAAATATGCCCCGATTCATCAGCCAGTGTCTGGCTGATTGAGTAGTTTGTTAAAAAGTGAAGTTTTGAATAAAATAATCAGCCAGGTACGAGCCAACGAATCGGACCAAATGTGACACAGGCATCAGTGTCCATCAAGATTTTCAGTCTTTAAAAATCTCATTGGTCAGTGGATCTCATCCTTCTTCAAAGACTTCATTTATGCTTAAATTCAGCCCTTCAGTTAAAGTCAGTTACTTTCATTTTCAAAAATAGGCCATTTTCTATTGGTAAAACACAAATCTGTGTTGACCAATTACATGTCTCATTTCCTGGAACTTATGAATAATCTTACCATTTGTATCCCTCCAAACCACCTTATTTCTGCAGTATTCTTTTTCGTGAAACAGTTAAATATTCCAATTTTGGACATACTTAAGAATATTCTATGGATGATGTTTTATTCAGCTAATATTTGTATAAATGCTATGATTTTTTGATACAGATTACAAACTTTTAAGTCATAAAATCTGTAAGGGCATACTGCTATAGTATAATAAATACAGCTTTGTGGACCATTCAACAGTCAACAGGATTTTAATTATCCTTGTCCACTGTGTCACTGGTGATCCACTAGTTTACGCTGGTTACCAAAACGGTTCGTTTTGTTAACAAAATGTCGGAACATCCGGAAGGTACGATTTTTTCGTTTCCTTATTTTACACGTTGTAGGCAGAATTCCCACGACATTTTTTAACACAAACGTGTATCAGTATCATATGTTTAAGAAAGTGTATATATTTGCGAACAAATAGTTCAGAAGACAACAGAATCGTTGATTTAATTCCTCACTTAAGTTACATAAACGGTTTGGGTTAAAAGTGCAGATCGTAACTGTTTTTCGAAAAACCGTTTATGTAACTTAAGTGAGGAAGTAAATCGACGATTCTGTTGTCCTCTGGGCTATTTTTTCGCAAACATGTACATTTTCTAAAACATATGATACTGATGCACGTTGTGAGAAAAAACGTTGTGGTGATTCTGCCTACAATGCGTGAAATAAGGAAAAAAGAAAAATCGTGCCTTCGACGTTCCGACATTTTGTTACCAAAACAGTTCGTTTTGGTAACCAGCGTAATCGAGTGGATCACCAGGGTGCGTGTACAGTTCTCCAAGCTTAGGGTATGTGGTGTAGGCGAATATTGTTTAATGTCAAGTTTTTGCTCAAGCCCAAAAATTGAATAGAGAGAAACTTGTAAAATACTCTTGCAGCAAGGATGAGTGATCTCTGTAATCGATTGGATTTTCAAAAACTGTACAGTGGCCAGATATAAAGTGAACTCAAACTCTCATGGTCTAGAACATAGCTAATATAAAAGGCCATTATTTCTCACGAGGCCTCCCTATTAAGTTACTGTAATAAATTTTTTTTGGTTTCATTGCCTAGGATACAAAGGACCAAAAAATTAATTTTGAAATTTTCTCCCAAAATTATCTGTCAATGACTCAACACTATTTAGTCTAAATATTCAGAGATCAATACTCAACTCCACCATACTATTTGTTCACAAGAATTCAACATAAGACAAAATTGTATTGTTTTAATCATATTTTCACACTGTCGGGTGTACACAATCCTACTTTACAATCAAACATTGTATAATGTTATAAACATTCAAAATCTGTTTGAGAACAGCAACCATAAATTACAGTCTATTTAAACAAAACTAGTGGATGATGATCCGTCTAAAATGTCCATGATTGATAATTATTGATACCGATGCATGATTGGAAATTGCCTACCATTTTTATGCTAAATAACTTACAGTCTCTAGCTTGTTTTAATATAACATATACATATATAACAATGGTAGAATCTCCAAATAGTCCAGACATGCCAAAAGCTTTCAATTGAACTATTTAGATTTCCCACACATTCAATTTCCTAATGTTCACAGTTATCACTGCCCAGCACGGAAGCTAATGTAGATTTCCTTGAACTTGTCAAATCCAGACAGTACACCAGCTCCAGCTACACCTCTCAGAATATTGGCGCCTGGAACAAGGAAACATTATATTATTAGAGAACTTATGAAGGGAGCAAACAATGTAACTGGGAGTTCCCATACAATGGGCCTGTTTGGTCGCTAGGCACAATTTGGTTATCTTAAATGATATTCATAGCCACCTTTGATATTGGACTTATTTTTCAGAACACATTTCATTAGTTAAGGTACTTTCTCAAGTTACTATAAAGTTGTATAGAGACTACTGAAGAAGCAATGTACACTAACCTGCACCCTTCATTAGGGACATGAATCCTTCAGCCTTGACAATCTTGAGAAAGCAATCGATGGATCCATTGTATTTAACAGCCTGTCCTGATGTCATCATCATACGACGTCTAATGGTGTCAATGGGGTAGGATACAAGTCCAGCACTGATAGTTACGACTGAAAACAAAATTATCAAACACCATTACGTTACACTGCTTTTCACGAATAATCAAAATTACCTCAAAAATGCTCTTGCAAATGTGATAAAGAATATGAACTTTCCATCTGATTTTAGTTTCATAACTTACCGTATCCTAGAACAAATGATGCAAGCAGACCAGCATCTTCTCCAAGAGCAATAGGTTTGATTGTGTCGTAGAATCCGAAGTAGCAACCTCTGTATACAACAATTCCTACGCAAGAGATGACGAAACCACGATAGAGACCACCAATACCATCAGATTTCAAGGTCTTACGGTAGACATCAATAAGACCATTGAATTCTCTAGTAGCTCCTTTGGTTCCAGATTTAGCATCATTGGCTAACCTGGTTCTTGCATAGTCCAAGGAATACACAAAGCAAAGGGACATAGCCCCAGCAGCTCCTCCTGATGCTACATTCTTGCTGAACTTCACGGCATATCCATCGGTTTTTTTGAAAGCAAATGCCTTTTTGATCTGATCTTTAAATGCAAAGTTCAGAGCTTGTGTGGGGAAATATCTGATGCAGTTTGCCAAGTTACCTCTCCAGAAGGGAAGAAGACCTGAAAGCACAAAAAGGAAAAGGTGTATAATGTAAGTGTCATATTTGAAATCTACAATCAAAATTACAAAATTTTATTCAAAATTCATAAAATGTGGTTTTAAATTGGTTATCAACTTTGAATATTTTAATTTTCAATTTGAATTGTGTACTAGAATATAGGTATCACACTCAAACAGGTTATATGAAAATTGATTTTCTTTGGATTTATGATCAAAATTTAATTAGTCACCTACTGGTGAAACTGGTAACTATCCACAAGAAACTAGGTTACTGAATACAGGAACCTGAATTTGTGCTTCAAAATCCTGATGTGAACCTTACCTAACCTGGTGGGATTGATGCCGCTAAGAAAGCTAAGTCTGAAAGCTATCAATACTTACCCTCAGTTCTAAATGTTCTAGTTGTGCAATCAATGACACCCTTGTATGGCTCAGAAAGACGACCCTGTTTGATCATCTCATCCTGATTCTGGACGAGAAGTTTCACACGCTCGATGGGGGCAGCGGCAGTCTTTGAGATGACAGCTGCAGCACCACTGAGAGCAAAGTTCTCAGCAAAACTCAACTTAACCTTCTTTTTGTCACCCATCTGAAAATAGTTATTGAAATTGGTAAGGAGAAAGTCAGATGAACAACTGATTTAGATATGTTAAGACTGCAAATAACACAATACATACTTTTATGTACTTCTGAATGCCTGTCAATCCAAATTCAATGTTTTACTCAACTACACAAACGATGATTTCAAAATCTTGAATATAATTTTGCAACCTTGATCTATTAATTTCGCAATCTTTATTTCACATGACTGCACTGAGTAATGCACATAAAATTTTACATATGAGACAACAAGTTTTATCTCTCTTTAAAGACTCTTTAAAGAAAAATTATATTCTTTCTGTTTGAATAAAGATTATATACTTGTTTGACCTCTCAGGGGTTGCTAAATATTTTTACTTTCAACCAGTACAAATGAATATCCTTAATTAGGAGCCTTCTCAGTTCATAACACATGAGGGCATTTATGACCACTAAATTTAAACCATTATCTATAAATACCTCCAACAACCTTTGAATAACCTTGACAACATGAGTAAAGATTTATATTTCCTATATACAAGAACATTTTATTTTTTTTAATATTTACTTGACATTTTCTTTTTTTTGCTGCACCAAAAAGCTTCTTACAACCAGGTTCATTGAATGAACTTGTTATAAGTCAATGATCAACCAGAAGTAGAGCAAAGTCTAAATATAACTACTAACTACGCTAGCTGAAATATTTCTCAACCTCTAGATAACTCCACTGACGTAAAGTGGTTAAGATGATACCAAATGCCCTTACCATTCAGCTAAGTTGCATGTAGAATTTATATATAAACGCCATGATATTATAACATATAGCGTCTCAAATGTAACAGGATCAGAGGTTTAGCTTACAATAGATATATTGATCCACTTATAACCTATATTGATTTTCAAAATGAGGTCTAAAGTTCAACTTTCATGTAAATCAACGACATGTATTGTGATTAGGAGCAATGAATATATTAGAGAATACCCCAGTGGCCTTTTATCTTCATTTTTAATTCTGAACTTGTTGAAGAAGCTATCACATTATTGACAGGATGTGTATATTTCATAATCTGTTTCGAATCCGTTCAACTGTATGTCCAAACCTCTAAAAACAGTATGGCTATTTCTTAAGTAAATTACTATGATTATGCCTCTGAATTAAATGGATGTGTGACCTTGTACATGTATAAGCAATCCTTAATTATCAATGATAACTGATAAGTCTTTACGAAATATGTACCTATAAATAGTAAACCATTCAGCATATTATGAGATCAAAGTCTGCCAATGTTCAGAAATTTGAGATTCAAGAAGTAGTATTATTTAAAGCAAAGCTGATTTAAAAATACAGAAAAGTATAACATACCTTATATTCCGTTCTGATAGACTTACATGTATTTTTAATGTATTATTCTTTCTATTCTATCATGGTTCAAAATATTGAAACTGCATGGTTTATAATGTGCACCATTCAAATCTAGCACTTACTTCACACCTAGTGACCCACTCCTTATCGCATCTATTGTAACATTCATTTTCTAAATTCTTCCTGAGTTCCTACATCAAAATAGGTTTTGGCAATTTCTAACTGCAATTAATTCAGCTAATTTTGCACATGACAACTTATACTCCCCAGAAAAAATATGAGAATAAAAATTACTTAACATGATTAAACTAGTCTGTTGACAGATGACACTTCTTAGTGTTTGGAAATTTCCAAAGCCGCAGCTTCGCTTAGCAGATTTTTTAGGATAACGCTGCTCTACCTAACTTAATCATTGAAAACATGTAAATGACTCTTGTGTCACTACCAATAACCAATTTGTAACAGTATGAAACTCACACAGGTTAAAGCAAACTACAGCCTATTTAACTGTTTTATTTCGTCAGTAGAACCCCAAATATAAGAAATTTGGAGACCATTGTGCAATAATATATGGAAAGTATATTCATTGTACATGAATGACATTTGTATATTTCAGATTATTTAGTTTTTTGTGCAATAAGCCTACGCCCTCTTGTAATTTAAAGAATTTCAGCCATGTTAATCTTTTTGAAAAATACTATGGCAGAGAAGCATCAAAATATAAGAGCCCACATACTTTATTAGGCAAACTAGAACCAAGCCAAGATATACAAATATCATTTATGTACAATCGGAATATACTTTTCCATATATTATTGCACACTGATCTTTCGATTTATTGGTTTTTTAGGTTTTACTGAGGAAATTAAACAATGAAATGGGCTGTTACTGCCCCGTCATGTGTTCCAGTTTGATCATCCAACTCCTCATTTTATAAAATGTAGAGCCAATGGTAAGAAATGTTTTGATCAGCCCTTGTAGACGTGCACAAAAGTGAATGGACTTCAACTTGAACTTCCCTTCTGATTTAGAGAGATGATATCAAAAAATGAACACCTCTAAAATTTGAAATCATTGAAACTTTTTTGACCTTTGAAAAACGTATAAAATGAAATAGGTGGAGATACCCAATCAGCTTTTGAAAAATGACAGGGTAACTTGTTGACCATCTCTTCATTACTTGTTCTGGACAAGCAATAATATTGAAGCTTTTATGATATTTCAAAAGGCGATAATTCTTGGGACTAGGCCTACAGTACACATGTGAACACCTCTGTAGTTTGCGATAGCTGTCACTAACTTAGGGAGAATGTATTGAGAAGAGAGCAGATTCTTACTACCTATGATATGAGCTGGATGTCTGGACTATGAGACTTCTGGGAATATAATAGATTTTAGGTATTTGTCATTGAACACAATAAAATCAGCAATCTAACAGTTGTCCTTGAACTAAACTAGAACTTGTACTAAAAACATCATGCTCAATGTCAAACTGACGTCGACGTCCACCATTTTATTGTACCTATCTCTCAAGTGGAGTGAATGGGGAGTACAACCGACCTAATTAAATATGCAGCAGGTACACTCCAATGCTGCCAAATAGTATCATAACATATTGCTGTGTTGATACTTATACAAACATCGTCAATTAATCGTTCCATTGATCTACTTCCGAAATTGGTCGCCATTTTGAGAACTTCAGAATGAAGCGGCGTGTTTCATGAAACACTTCGTTCTGTTGCAAAAATAAAGAATAACATATCATGTATTTAAGTGAACATTCAGGCTAGATATCCATACTTCATTTGATATATATTAATTTTATAAAGGTCTACTGATTTAATCAGAAAATAAGGAGAAATAATACTCACTTTTTCAAAGTACAGCCGGTTTCTGAAGCCTAGACGTAAAGGAGTGAATCAGGTCTTTACTTTTAGAACTCTTATATTTTTGTGCTTTACTTGACAGATCTATTGATGGGTAGGATGGGGATCTAAAATTTGATATTTCATTTTCATATACCAACCGATGTACAAAATAAACTTTTAGAATATTCTTTCTATTTTAATCTATTTGAACTTGAAAATAAAATAGCAAATATATATCTATTTATTGACTATATAGACCTGACTAAAAAAGTTCAAATGGCTGTTTACACTGTCAAAGGTACTCCCCATAAAAGTAGATTACGATTAGCATTTTGCTGTTGTTTAAACATCTGAATTGCAAAAAATCAAAATTATTAATTCAATTCAAATATTTTTATTAATTTATAAATATTTTCATGATATATTATTTCATACTGACATGTCTTCACATGCTATTAATTTTGTTAAATTAAGAAATGGTTGATTAATGGAAGCAAATACTGCACTGAACTGAACGAAATGATAGAGTAAATCTTATTACCCCGGGTTCTAAAACAAGACCAGAATCCACAAATAATATTTTGATACAATAAGTTTCAGTTTTAAGATGACAGAAAAGACTACCATTCTTCTTGGGTAGCTGTTTTGATCTGCCTTTTAGTGAAAGTGGAACAGTGCCTTATTGTTTTGCAAAAACATTTTGCTATAGATCAACTGGCAAGAGTAGGGGTATATGCTCAAAAAACAGAGCATAAATTGTGGGTTATTGCGACTCATATTTTTTAAGAATAAGATCAATAGGGAGTGACAAAATTGCAAGCAACATGTACAGTTGATCTACCGATTGAATATATTCCTTACAATTACAATCTCAACTATAATATCTCCCCGAAAGATCCACAATATGTTATAAATTGGTGAAGTTTTTAAGGATTCAAAGTGCCAAAATGGTGAAAAAATAAAAATGGTAACCATAAAAATGAATGAATTATCGTGTAAAATCTTTAGTTTTCCTCAAATACAGTGAATAATTTTTTTTAAGAAAATAGACATGACAAGGAATGATATGAGCCCAAAAGATTCTAAAATTGAAACAATTTTTGTTAAGAGTTGTCATCAGTATCTTGCTAGATCTGAATCTGCCTTTATTCATTCATGTATAATTTATTTTTTTATTCAATTGTTGTTCTAATTTTGGCATGGTAAAATTGCGACCCTCTAGATATGACTTCAATTTTGACTTACAAAAAATGTTTCCCATCAATTTGAACCTCAGTACTGAGAGACAGGTGGGGGCAACAAAATTGGTGGCACTATGCATCTTTGACTTCCAAGGTGTTATAACACAACTTGGATGCAAATGCTTATGTTTCTGTCCTGTTAATGTGTGTTGTGTCACTATGACAATTATATAATAAATATAAACAAACATAGACAATTAACATGAACATATAGCATTTATTCAGATAGCAACATTTGCATCAAAAATATACTAGTATATATAAATACATGCACATTGTTTGAACAATTTAAAACAAAAAATGACATACTAATTATACTACATGTACAGTGAACATAGGTAGCCCTCCAAGGCTAAGAAAATATAGATATAATATTTTGTGAATAAAGTTACTATAGTTAGGAATTAACTATAGGAAAAAATGGCAAAAGATGTTTTAACCACCTAATTACAATACATTATTGATATAGAGTCAAAAATGGAGTCATAAAGTATTTTGAAATTTTATGTTTTCTTGAGTATAACTACTGTTTTACAGATTATCACAATCCTACTTGATTTCTATAGGAATACATTTTACTTTTAAAAGTAAATGACACTGACATTCAAGTATGAGATATGCTAATAATAGAATAGTTTGCAGTAGAGTTGTCAAAGAACAAGACAAGATTACTGTCCAGTCCATCCTATTTTTGAAAAATGGATTTTCAGATCAGCCTCATCATGTTGCAGCATGGGATATATAGAACCCCAATGTTTGTCAGAATAGCATGCAACTTCAACCGGGTCAAAACAAAACAATTTAAATGATAATTTATATAACACCTCTGGCGCCTAAAGAATATTTGGCCTTTTGGCCTTATATTTAAAAAAAGGTCTATTTTGTCAGAAAAGAGTACTATTTTTGAGAAATGAACCTTCATTTTAATGGCCCAGGATCCCTTGTCGATTTCCAGGTCCACTCCAAATATGTTCCCACAGGAAAAGATATAACAACTAAATTAATAGTAGAACTGTGCAGATTATATACATAATATTTGCTCAAATAAATACTTTGGCAATATTTATATCTAGATCTATTCTTTAAGATATTATGCTACAAGTTGATTACACTATCTATAACCTACTCAAAATCACTGAGTCACTGTTTCCAATATAGAAACTCAAAATACATGTACATGTATATACACAAAGCACTGAAAATGGTGCCTTTATTTCTTTCAAAGTATTCAACACCAAGTGATGATTGTACTGTACTAGATACAAACACATACATTCATAAAACATTTATACTGTCTTATTTGCATTTGAATTTCTGCATATCATTATAGCCTATATAATGTACTTATCAAATGCCATTGAGAGCATTCAGTAGAGCCATAGCATTTACCATTACAAAAATGATCAAAACATTTTGTAATGTATACCAAATCAAATGCTTAGTCTTAAACTAACACAGTGAACTGGGGAAAGTACAACAAATAAATAAAATGTATAATAAATAGATATTGTACAAAAATTCAAGTTTTTGGCATTACCATAAATGTATTCTTTTAAATTAGTTTCAAAATGCAATATTCAATTTTGAGCATATAATTACTGGCCAAATACACACGCAGAGTCACGCACACACACACACACTTATACAAAATGGAATGAATTAAAAAATCCTGGTAAAAGCACCAGTCAGATTTTATCTTAAACAATTTAATTGCTTTGGTTTTGCATTTCATTTTTGATATGTGAACTGACATGTACATAAGCAGAAGAATCATTTTGTTCAATGAACTGGTTTAACTGTACATTTGAATTTTTGCATAGCATATATACTACAGCATAGAAAAATATACAATCATGTGTTTGATATAAATATGGATGGACAATTATTTTTATGGGCTGGAATCAAATAGATTATTATAAAGCCATTGCTAATGGTACTTTTACTGTTTTGTAGCACCCAGTCCCTTAAACTTTGACCAAAAAGGTCATACCTCCATCATAGTCTAGTAAATCCATTGATGCATGGAAGGAGGATACTAAATTCAGTCAATACTTCACAGAGTCAAATGGATTTACAAATTCTTATTGTCTTTCAGCAATCAAAAATTCATGTATGAACAGACTGTGTCTTGTTGTAATAAGTGTTTTTGAACTAAGTCACACCTGTTATTTTAGAACTTAGAAGACAATGTGTAATTCAAAAAGTGTTCAATCAAAAATTGAACAATTATTTGGCCTTATATATCTCTACTTATTTCATGCGGTAACACGTAACACTGTTAATTAACAATAATCTGGGAACTCTCTCTAGTCTACTCCTTTGATTTTGTTCATAAGAAATCTTTTCTCCTTTTGATTCCTTATTTGTAATTTTAGAGGGATCATTATTCTAATCCATCTCTTTCTGATTTGGAATTTTCTAGTGGCTTCAGATAATACAAGGTACCTCTTTATATATTATACAGCTTAACCTGAGCTATTGCTGCTCATGTCTAGAGCTACCGTCCCTACTAGATGTTTCACACGCAGATCCTGACTGTTGAAACAGCGCTTGCTTCACATGTTCCATGTGCTCCTGGACACGACTTGAGGGTGAAATGTTTCTGCAACCACTACTACTGTGGCTAGATGTGACAGAACTTTTACGGCTGGATTTATTTGAAGCACTGTTACTCTGCGCTGGTTTATTACTGCTGGTTTTACTGCTGGTTGTTGACCCATGGAATGAGCCTAGATAAGGGGAAGATTTCACACTGGATTGGGAACCACTGGAATGGAGATGAGAATAAATGGGACAAAGTTAATGTATGAGGGTTTGCATGTAAAATGTAACAACATTTCTTTCAAGCTATAGAGTGCATCTAATTAAAGTGGGTTTAATTCACATGAAATATGTAGCATGAATGGATGTTAGGTAATGGTTGGTGTAAGACCATATATTTGGTTTGAACCAAGCAATGTTATGTCACCTCAAAACATGTTTGGGGGCTATAATATATTATTAGTAGGGGCACAAAGATGATGACCACAACTTGGAGAAGTTACTTCCCATTTTGCAGACAGCAAAATATGACTTAAAATCCCCCTTAGTAAATTCAAATTATTAGGTACATCATTTGTATTACTATTTCTTTATACTTCACATAAAAAAAAAGACAACACAAAATCAATGATTGGTATTAATTTCATTTCAATATTTAACATATATTGGGAATTTTTAGGGAATTTCAAATTTGTAGCCACAATATTTCAACAAACGGAAAATGAGCAAAATTAATAGCCACGAAACTTCAAAATCGCAAAGAACATGAAATATAATTGCATCAAATATCAGTTGAAGTACAGTATCTATTTATCCCTTAAGTTGGGTTATAATCTCAACTCTACTCACCCAGAAATTTTTAGTCCCATAGATCTGTATAGGTCTACTGTGGATGGTGTCTTTATAGCAGAGTGTGTGGGGCTGGGGGTCAAGTTGGCATTAGCTGATACCAGTCTAGCCCCTCCTTCAATTCCTGTAGATGCAAGGATTGTAATATAGACAAGTTTAATTGAATAATGACTAAAGAATAATGAGCTTATACGGTATTATCACTTGTTTTAAATAGGCATGTGCATATACCAGATATAATACTGATTTTAATACTTTTAATGCTAGTTTATTTCAGTCATATAAAAAAACAGATAACAATCAGACAAAAAATAAGGCATAAACTAGACAAAATATCGACCTATTGCTATAGCAGAAATCGGGTCTACCTTCTCAAAGGTGACATTAAAATCATTGTTCTATACAACTTTTTTTGTTTGGCAATTTTAAAGCATGTGTTAATTACCCAATAAGATTTATTGCACTATTCGTAATATGGGGACTTACCTGTGAATTTGTGCATTGCTGATCTTGGCTTGTGTACAGAAGACTGTGTTGCCTGTTTGAACTGATGTTGCAGGAACCCAGACTTCTCATCCTCAAACATCTTCCTCTGTATAAAACATTGTAACTTCATTTAAACTAATATCTATTACACTGTAAGAATTACAGAGAAAAAACATTGTCTGGACATGATAACTGGGTGATAAATGAAAATTAAAGGAACTGGAACTGGAAGAATCATTCCATCCCATGCTGATTTTTTTTCTAAAAAAGTCACACGTGGCAGAGTGAAATTCTTTAGTTTTATGCATTTAGTTTCTCTGCCATTACAGAATATCACAGCATCACCTCTCTCATGTACAGTAATTCCTAGGTATCTTTCCAAATACTGATAGTTTGCTAATAATCTACTAATTTTTTGACAATAAAGACTTTCCAAAGGTAGATGACATATATATGCTGTATAAGTTTTACTCATGATTTTGATATTTTTCTCAATGGAGACTCCATTTTGACCATAGCAGTAGACTACCAGTGTAAGTAGATTAGACTATGGGCCACCAGTCTCTATTTAATGTGGGAGGGGAACCCTTTGAATATAGGATTTACCCACCTCTCTGCCAAGTCTTATAGCAGCCTCTGTAAATGTTTGCCGTTCCTTCTCAAAGTTGCATTTCTGCTGGTAGAACAATGCCTTCTCCTTTGAGAGATTCTCAGCCTCCTCCAGGAGCTCTGAGTTGTGCAGGAATGATTGTTCTATTGTATCATCATTATCAGGAGTTTGTAGGGAATGCTGGAGATGAAGTCACATGTGTAAATTAAATTTACAGGGAAACCTGTGAAGTGGAACACCTCAAGAAGTGGAACACCTCTGTTAGTGGAACACTTCAGAATCCCAAAGTCAACTGACTTAATGTTAAATGAACCACTAAAAGTGGAAAACCTCCCACAAGTGGAACACATTTTGGAGGTACCAAAGGTGTTCTACTTCGACAGGTTTTTGAGAATTTAACTTCATGTATCTACAGCAAACAATACAGAGAGTTAAGTTGGATCATCCTGGAAGTCAGATATAAACACAATTTAAAATGAGGCACAAAGTGAAAGATATTGCACCCAAAAAAGACTGCATTTTTATACCTAGAAACATCCCAATCAGAATCAGGCAAGTCCTTAAATAATTCTATATTACCTGAATGAGGTCTTCTTGCTGCTCAATGATGTCCCTGTATCTACTGACTTGTTCACTGAGGGTCTCTATCTGCTCTTTGTAGTTGGCCTCATCTACATCAGACCTAGGGGTCTCTGGAGAGTCACCTAGAATATAGTATTAGTTGCTTAACTTAATCAATTTTGCATGTTTAGCACAAAGAGAGTACATCATTTCGAGGGGTATATTATGTGCAACTTGATATGTAACTTTGTAGCACAAAAGGCTTTTCAGCTACTGACCAGATATCATTTTGAGATTTTTTCATTAAATTATGATATTGTATTACTTAATTTAAGGCCCTATTTAACTTGATGAAATTCAAAATTTTTCACATTAAATTCTCATCAAGATCAAACTCATGCGGTCCTAACTTCGACCGTTAATTTGAATTTTTGACCTACCTGATGTTTGAAAATCAAGGATTAAGAGTCTCATACTGCACCATTTTTCTTCAAACTTGTTCCATTCAAAGCATAACACAAATCCCTTTCTGATGGTACATTATTCTCTTCAACAGAGTCCCTACTTCCAGCGGCATTTTGGTCCCCAGCTGTAAGAAGGCCTTCTAATAGCTGGGGACCAAAACGCTGCTAGAACGAGGGACTCTTTACAATAAAATAATGCACCAACAGAAAGGCAATTTTGTTCTGCTTTTAATGGTATAAGTTTGAAGAAAAATTGTGCAGTATGAGACTCGCAATCCTTGATTTTCAAGCACCTGGTAGGTCAAAAATTCAAATTAACGGTTGAAGTTAGGACCGAGTGAAACTGTAAGTTAGATAATAAATACTCCATTTAGTTGGTAATAAACATTAAGCTGGTTCTAAATCATACAGCATAATTGTGTTCTTTGTGTTCTTTGTGTCAATTAAACACAATTGATACAGATTGTCTGATACTTAAAGCCTATTTATGTGTGTTTTATATACAGGGTGGGCCAAAAAAACGCCACTTTTTTTCAAGACACTATAACTTTTTTATTTTCCAACCTACATACCCCAAATTTTGCAGTTATATAGTGCCAAGGGTTCTTAGTAATAATATAATGTAACAAGTCCTTCAACTGGGATTATATTTGATCTAAAAAGAGGAGTTCAATTGGTCCGCCACCCCATTTGATGATAGATTTTAGTTTTAGTCACCTTGCTGATATAGCAGTATCAATGACATGTTAGCAATATTTTTTTCAACGTGTCTTAATTGCCAGCTTTAGTTAAGCAATTTTCTAGATCGGGTGCATTCATACCATCTCCTGGAGACCTCCCATACACTATACTCACTTGGGTTTGATTAGGGCTATTAGCTTGCGGTCATCAAGGCGTATCAGTTTAGGAACATTATGCAAATTATGCTTATTTCTCATGGCACACCACATGTTTAAGTGAGACGCTGGTGACATATTTTATTCAAGTAAAAGTGTATAATTCATGATCAATGGCTAGATAACAACCTCAAGTTTCATTTGGTATGTAAATTAGGATTTTGTATCAAAAATTAAAAAAGTTATAGCATTTTGAAAAAAGTGGCGTTTTTTGGCCCACCCTGTATAAAATGAATACTTAATCCACCAAATTAAATGTGTACAAATAATGTGAAAATAGTAAAAATGGTAGATGAATTTAAAAAAACAACATTAAATCAAATCTAATTTCAAATCTCAAGTCAGATTTGAACTGCTGAGAACTTGCAGGTGATTTTGGATTTTGGAAAAAATTGGTCAATTTGAAACAAGTTGAAATAAAAAGACCCCTTTGACTTTGTCCTTTTTTACCTTGAGAAGGTCATTGAAGGTCAAATCTCAAATCTAAAGCCAGATTTGAACTTCTGAGAACTTGAAGATGATTATATTAGATAGTGTATATTCGATTTATTAATAATAAGAAGTGCAAAACATTTTCATATTGTTACCCACCTTCTGATGTTGGATTGCTTTTCTCAGTTTGATTTATTCTTCTCTTTAGCAGCTGATATTTTTCTTTGAGACTCTTTTGAATGCCATCTCGCACCATTTCATAGGGCATCTGGAAGTAGCCTGTAAGACAGAAATTTAAAAACAATGCAGGATGTAGTCCAGTAAAAAGTTAAATCATTTAAACAGTCCATACACAGAGTTCAAGAAAAATGACAAATAAGATAAAGCAAGCATAAATGCATGGGCAGATAGACTCAGAATGCTAGTTGCATTCATGTAACAATTTCAAATTACATTATTTTTAAGTACTATGTGCTTTTTGCTTTACTCACCATCAGCCAGTTCCTCAACATCTGTTGATGTGACAGACTTAATGTCATCTTCACTCTCTTCCAGACTGTCTTCTAAGTTCTACAAACATAGGTCAATTTAATTAAGGATTTAAGCCCTGGACTCAGTGCAATGTGGACTGAATCATTCCTCAATGATGTTATTTCAACCTTCGCACAGAATGCGCAGAATCAAGTGTGAAGTTCAGGAAATTAACGCCTGAGTGGAATGAATCAGCCACAATGCATCAAGTCTACAAAATCACCTAAAAGATAGGAAATCACTAAAAGAACATATTTTCAATGAAACTTTTTGCAAGGGGCAAATTGGCAAAACATCAATTTTAATATGTAGTCAAATTGTCACCTTAACAACTATTCAACAAATGATCTTGGGTGAGTTATTGGTTATATAATGCAGTGCAGTTAAATGAAATACTGTGTTCAGATAGGCTGGAATCAGATACACCTTGCCTAGCTATGTCTGAATCACTAATTAATTGAAAAAATAAATCAAATAATTAGTTCATGCCCAATAACTGTATGTGAAAGCCTCAAGTAAAAGAACACCTCAATATAAGAACACTTTTATTATCCTGCTTTTATAAAATCCCCATGTGCATAATATACAAGAATATAATGTTTAAAACTTACAGATGATTTAGAAGGTGAAGGCTGTTGGTTTAATAATGAGATCAACTCTTTCTGCATGGTGACCAGGCATTCTCTCAGTTCCTTGTTCTCTAACATCAGCTCCTTCTGGCGGTCTTCATAGTTGGTTATGATCAGTCTGTACATGTCTTCTTCTTGTCTACAAATATCATATCCCAGTAGTTTAAAGCTGGTTCAAACATAAATGAGTCATATATCATGAAAAGAATTTATGTAAGGTGGAGTGGTATGAAACTACTCTTGTTAAACTACATAATATCAAAATTCAAAACAGGTGATGATTTGATGAAAAAAGAATCAAGGCCATCATATCTTGTTAGTTTATCAGGATGTTTCATTTTATCTTACTCCTGTTTTCTTCAGTTTTGAAAATAATTAGAGAAAATAAAGGAAATGGAAGGAATACTGTGATTACAATAATTACTTACTTATTGTTGGTCTTCCAGGTGCCCCTCTTGCCATCTGGTCTCTGGAGGGCATTAAGAATATCCATACCTAGAAATAGCAGATTTGGTCAATCTAAAATTACTAAAAGATGGCAGTGCAAGCATACCCCGCTAAAGGAATTTCAATGTTGGAAGCAATTTTTAGCAGCAAATCTGAAATAATGAAATAATACCAGAAGGATTTAAGCCCTGGACTCATTCCTTGAAGGTGTTGTTTTCAAATCTTTGCATGACTGCGCAGTGAGAATGCAAAGTTTAGGAAACAACACCTGAGTGGAATGAATCAGCCACAATGCATCAATTCTGGCTTAAATTCTTATAACACATTGTAAAAATATTTCCTACAACATCATCTACAAGATACAAAATCACCAAAAGAACAGATTTTCAATGAAACTTTTTGCAAGGATCAAGTTGGCAAAGCATCAATTTCAATCTGTAGAGTCCATTTGTCACCTTGACAACCATCCAATGAATGACCTTTGGTGCAATGATTGATTATATAATGCACTTTATATATGAAATAATGTGTGGATTGGCTGGAATTGGACAAACCTTGCCATGTGAAAGGACATTTTGAGGACAACTATGTAGCAATAGCAGTAGTGTGAGATCATGATTTCTGTACACTGCACAAACAAGAATAATTACCTAATCTACGTTCTTGGTTTTTATCAGTGAGTAGTTGGTGCATCCTTTCTTTCAGTTTATTTATTTCTTTTTCTCTCTTCTTCATTTCATGTTTGTATTGAGAATCTCGGGATAGTATCACAGATTGTAGGCGCTTCACCTGCATAAAACAATAAAATAAAATAATTTGGATTATGACTTAAATGAAGTTCAAGACACTCAAGACAACCGCAACACAAGGGTGAAGAAAATCTCATTGAAAATCTTAAATCAAAGCAAATTATTCCTGAGTTATAGCTCAGAAAGTGATTTTCCATGACATAAATTGTGGCTTTTGAACCAGGGATCAGACGGATGGCAGAGAGACAGACAGATGGACAAGTGAGTGAATGTAATAGTGTACCATATGAGCTAATAATAATAATAAAATAATAAAAAAAATGGCAAACAATTTTCAAAATGGGGTCATATCATGTGATTTGTAACACAAATTCTTGAACATGTTTACATTTGAAATGAAATATCAATAAAACTATTACTATTTGAGTTATAACATAATCAAATAAATAAGCTTTTAAAAATGGCTTTAAAAATGGCGGCCTCTATACTTTTAAATTTTGAGTTACAAAAAAAATAAATAAAATAAGTGTTTAAAAAGGCTTCCAGATTTTTGAATTTTGAGTTATAACAAGATTTTTGAAGGATTAGATATTGAATTCAATCTAATTTAAAGAATACTGTAAATCAAAACTAAAATTGAGATCACTATTAATATGAAATCAGTGGCCATTTTGAAAATCTGCTTTGAAGCAGCACTTCTATCATGCAAATAAAATATAAATTATCAGACAGGTTTTTATTAAAAATATTAGTGAATTACTGCATTAAAACCTTAATTGTATTTGTATATGATAGGAGGCATTAGCCTTAACATTATAATGCATTGATTAATTTGATGAGACAGTAGACATGTTAGTGGCTTGACTTAACAAAGATAATCTTCCGAGGCAATGTATCATATTGTTGTATCATTGATTCTCAGATCAATCTCTTATTAAGCATCTAATGGTAACTAATGCCAAGTAAAAGCCTATTTGTATATCAGAAAAACAGTCTACCTGATTAGTATTATATTTTATACAAGTAATTTGCGTTCCTGTCATGACCATACAATGAAAGTCATCTAAGATTCATGATATCTACTTTTCTTTCTTTGACGTACCTCATCTTTTTCTGCTTTCAGTTTACTGGTGAGCAGTTTATTTTTATTCACAAGTTGTCTCTCCTTCTCCTGTAGTCCAGCAATGTCTCTCTGACAGAGTTTCAGACTGTCCTTGAGTCGACCCTGAGTCACCTGAAGGTGGTTGATGTCAGTCTCTGTGCGACATTGCCTGCAAAAATAAGGCACGGTGTATAACAATGTTGCACCATTTTGGCAATACAATTATCTCAAGTCAGTACATGACAAAACAAGGTATTAACACGCAAAATCTCACCACCTGCCATTTGTTACAAATGCCAACTGCTGAATACCAGCCACCGAACACAAATTTACATCACATAAGTTATTGCAAATGGAAAAAAAGTCTTACAATTGTCACAGATCCCTGAACTACTAACTGCCAAAGGCCAGTCACAAAGCAATACCTACACTGAATGAAAATTTCCACCCTTGCCAAAATAATCAGTTCTCAATTCATACCAAGAAACATCCCAGAAAATTTCAAATCAAGCAATTACTGAAGCGAATGTTTTTTATACAGTGACATTAATAAAAGTACATGTATGACATGCCCAACTGTTACTTTTCATTTCTCTTACATACTAAGTGAGAGTCTGGTCATTTAGAACTTGAGAATTGATTATATCCCTACTTCAGCTTGTTTCTAAGTGACAAGTGTCACAATGCAGTGATGATAACCAAGTGCTTTCAAGTAGGCAATTGCCAACATAGTCTACACATCATCTTCAAACTAAGATAATATTTATCAATGTAATTGGATTTGAATAATAAACGAAACCAAGCAATAGATAGGACAGCACTGAAGGTTCAAAGCATTGATTCTGCCCCAAAGTTACAAGTTCAATCATTTTTATATATTTTCAAAGATTTGTAATACAATAACTAGTTGATAAAGGCCTTGTCAACCTGATTGTGATGTTTCTCCTTTGGTAAACAATGACAGATGATTTTGAGAATATTATTCCTCATCTATCAGAAAATGAAGGTCACTTGCCCCAACCCCTAAATCCCAAAGGGCTAGCTAGTGCCTACAATAACCTAAATCCCCATGGGGTAGCTAGTGCCTACAATAACCTAAATCCCCATGGGCTAGCTAGTGGCTACAATACCCTTTGACTATTACAGAACTATGCAATTACAGTTTTAATATCCATAGGATGCTAACAAAGAGTGCAGATGAGGTCAATCTCTAGTAAAGAGTAATTCAAAATGTACCTGTTTTCCAAATCTTCTTTGATCCTCATACTTCTCTGATGCATATGCAGCAGTTGTTGTGTACTGCTGACCAGCTGGGAAAGTTTGAATGTAGCAGCACCATCATACATGGACGGAAACCCTAGCACCAATAGGTCCTAGAAGAAATGAGCAAACATTATAAGTAATCACATGGGTAGCATAGAAATATGTGGACATTGCAGTTGAAGTTGAAAAATTCAATATTAACTTGTAAACAATTGAAAATCTATTTGAAGGCAACATGAAAATTAGGATGTTTCACAAATTCTGCTAATTTATTTTGCATCCAGTTGAGAAATCATGCTGAGAGAAGATTTCTCATTTTCCATTCAGATTTTGCGACAATAATTGAGGAACTACTTGGATTTATTGGGAGTTTGCAATTCGATTTTTCCATTTATAGCTTCTGTACCTGATTCAGCAGTTTAATTGAATCTTCTACAGTCTCATCAGCTCCATACACAGAAGATGCAGAAGCCCCCTCTGGACCTGGTTTCTGGGGGGACGGTGTGAATAGGAGCTCAGACTTCTCTGCACGGTGGGTTGGAGTGCGACTCTTAGCAGTCAGCATGGCTAAGAAGTCATTGCCTCCATTTATGTGTTCCATAGCGCCCCAATCTCCCATTGTCCTAAAAAAGTAAATACTTAGATTGTGGACAAGGCTCTATACTAAGGATCTGAGAGTAACTGATCAAAATAGATTCATAGATTCATAGATTCAATATACTATATACCATCTTGCTTCATCAAGCTTCGGACCTATCCTAGAACGTAGTGATTGAGCGTGGGAACCGACGATGCTATAAACTGGGATACCTAATATCATGATACTCAACCTAAAACACATATATACCCCAGGAGAATGACATAAATAAAGCTTCTACTAAGCATACTTATTCAATAAAACTTGAGTCAATAAAAATTTCATCTTTCTTTTTAAATTGACAGCAAGCAAACTTATTACTTGCCCGATTTAATTACCAGTACAATGCTGTATCTATAAGGTAATTCATACATGCAAAATCCTATGTTTTCTATAGCTCTATATTTTCTATATTCCTCAAGCTGGTCTTGTTAGTGTTACTCATTTCTATATGATTTTTGAGAATGGTAGTCCAGCCAATAAACTTCATTCACCTGTATGCTTAATTAGTTTAATTATCATATTCTTTACTTGTTCTTTGTACATGTATATACAAGCATGAATATAATCTAATGATATTGTAAGTGCATATGAATTGATTTCTCTAATAAACCTAAGTGTATTTCCAAGACAGTGAAACCTGTCTCCTACAAACAAAGGATGCTAAGTTTTTTATTCAGAAATTCATTTTGGCAAGGTAGGCTAAAGAAGCTGGTTTAAAAATTCCCATGTCCGTGTAACAAATACACAATTTCAAAATAATTTTTACCAATTATCAATAATTATTAAATAACATAAAAATATATCATAGAGTCAAGGGAAGGGGGCACAAGGGAAGTTGAGTTGTTTGGCCTCCTCTTGATCTTTTCAAACATATTTTGGATGAAATTGTGCAAAATAGTGTTTTTTACATAGCCCAGACATAATTCTTTAAAATCCAGTAGTGATGCAGCCTTTGCCTATGCAATCATTTGCTCTGGCATCTATATATTATACAGTAATAGGGAAACATAACCCTAATACAAATACATTCAGATGGGCTTGATATCATCCTAAGGTAAAAATAAGGCAGTGAATCTTGAAATACTAACTACCATTTCCTAAAATACACTCTTCCCTTACTGAATAAATTACCAAAACTATCATGATACATCTGTTCTATACTGGAATGATTGTCACAATAGAATGCAAACTGTTTTGCAGAATTTCCTATTTCGGTTGCAGAATACATTTACTGGATTTGTAGTGCTGTATCAAAAAATGCAAGTTTAGTATTTGATATAACTTTGCTTAAATTGCAACCCTAATTCTCTGTCAAGTATCAATTCTCTTTGATTTTTGAGTGTCGTTGGTAATTATTAAATTCCATGTTTATCATAAAACATTGCTGACGACCCCACGCCTGTTCTTCCTTATTTCCCTCTTCCCATTTATGAGATCCACAGCCTGTAATATATCCCTCAGAATACTCCCTCTCAAGCAATAGATAAAACGGAACTTTGATAAATCAGAATGTCTCTTCCCTGCTGTTAATGTAAAAACATTAATGCTTTTGGCTAAGTTTGCAGGTATCTCTTGTTGGCGGACCCTGTAGCTTTAATCAATCTACCTGAACACAGGTAGATATAAATTATGGATTACTTACTGACAGTTAGTCATTACCTATCAGGCAGAAAAATATTCATCATTTTTATCATGTGATACCAATACATGTGCTATGCCATGATATAGGAATATTGCTATATGAGGTCAGAATGTTCTTACTTTCTTTGTACAGAATGATTCAATTTTATAGTGCTGTGAATATACTTGTGAATATAATTCTTTGAAATATAACCTATTGATAATGTCCTTTTCAACCCATGAATATATTGTTCAATTCAGCACTGCTTAGAAAATGCATGATATAAAAAATATCACTTTTTTAAATACATACAAGAAACCTCATTTAACCAACAATTATAATACTTGTTGACTCCTTACCATCAACAGTTCAGCTTCATTTCCAAGCAAATGTACAGAGTTTGCTCTACCCAGAGATAAAGTATCTGATTTGTAGCATTACTGTAGTAGTTATCTAAATGTGGTAAATTTCAGACTAAGAGTATTGCAGATGTTTAAGCCATCTTTGGCCCAGATTAAGATACAACTTGCTAGGAACATCTATGTAGACTATCAGGTATTAAACATGACTAAATGGAATACTCTGGTAGAAAAGAATCATGCTATAGAAGTGTAAGATGATGTTAGTACTTAAATTTATTCATATGATTCTTTCTCCAGCCACCCTTTGCATTCATTCGACTTCATTTCTTAAAAGAGAGCTTCGTCTTCACTCTTTCAGATAACAATGAATCTCTGATCTCCTTGAGCCAATCAGAGTTCATCGTCGAAATACAGACAAGTTTCTACAACCTATGACATCACCACATACAGTAAAATCTGTCTAATCCGAACACCCATGGGACCAGCCAAAAGCGTTCAAATTGGCAGGTGTTCAAATTTCGAGGGTATTGTTGGTCGGGGGGGATTTTCATTGTTCAGTCCACTATATTGAACACTTAATACTTAGTCAGAAAACAATACATGTTGTTGATGAGTTTATTCTACAATAGGCCTATAGCCTACATGTATATGCTATGTTTTATTTACATTTTGAACAATTTCATTTTTTTGGAAAAATAACTCTTTAATTTTGGCAAAAACTTTGTAATACACTGAATAAGTATATGATAGTCTTGTACGAAATCTTATGCTTATTAAATGACTTATCTCATATTATGGTTACATAGCACTGCCTTACTTTAGCTTGAAAAAGTCGTTCATTGTTGTTTGTTTGTTGGCACTTTTGGCATTAGCAATATTTGAGTAGATACCCTCTTCAATTAATTTTTCACGAGTGCTCATTCGAGATGATGCATAATCTTTCAAAATATCAAGGGCATTCAGGATGTCAGATGTGCCTTTTTAGGAGGCATTTTAGTGATAGGATATTACGAAGTTGAATTTTTTCTCTTTCTCGTGATATAATCTTGTCTGCAAATGTGTCTGTGTTGTCTTTGTGATTATAAAACATTTACTGATTGAATCCTAGCTATCATAACAGACCCATGGAATATAAAACAGTTAAGACTTGTTCATAATCCAAATCAAAAACACCCAGTTAATTTAAAATAAGGATAAACCAATTATCTCCCAGATTCTCACCTTTCTCTTAATCCAAATCAAAAACATCCAGGTAATTTCTAATAATGATAAAACAATTATAATATTGTCTGCAAATGTGTCTGTGTTGTCTCTGTGATTATAAAACATTTACTGATTGAATCCTAGCTATCATAACAGACCCATGGGATATAAAACAGTTAAGACTTGTTCATAATCCAAATCAAAAACATCCAATTAATTTAAAATAAGGATAAACCAATTAGCTTCTTGATTCACACCTTTCTCTTAATCCAAATCAAAAACATCCAGGCAATTTCTAATAATGATAAAACAATTATAATCTTGTCTGCAAATGTGTCTGTGTTGTCTCTGTGATTATAAAACATTTACTGATTGAATCCTAGCTATCATAACAGACCCATGGGATATAAAACAGTTAAGACTTGTTCATAATCCAAATCAAAAACATCCAGTTAATTTAAAATAAGGATAAACCAATTATCTCCCAGATTCTCACCTTTCTCTTAATCCAAACATAAAACATTCAGTTCTTTTCTAATAGGATAAACCAATTAACTCCTGTATTCACACCTTTCCAAATCATCCTGTTGTTCTCTACAATTAGGGATGTCATTGAGACTTAAATAAGTTAATTAGGACAATATCGGTTCTATGATTACATTGCATATGTAAAGATAAATAACAACTATAACATTGACTCAATATGTGGCTTTAATTGAAATGTCCAGACATTTGATTTCTGATAAAATGTTCAGATTAGACAGGTCAGTTTTTCAAATCTGGTTGTTCACTGTTCAGATTAGGAGGTGTTCAGATTTCAAGGTTTTTTTAACATGGGAGTCAATGAGAGGAAAAAATGGGACTGAAAAAAAGTGTTCAAATTGGAAGGTGTTCGGATTAGCCAGGTGTTCAGATATACAGGTTTTACTGTAGTTAATAAGCTCGTATCTGTAATATAGTCTATACTAGGCACTGGGTAGTTTATAACAAGATACAGCACAGGGTATTGTTCAGTCCATCTACTGAAGGATGAAAAATAATGATACATCTCGCTCAGCAAGGTTGCTGTAACATTTTCGAATGAAAATTTCACTGAGTGTGTGAATTTTTCTTATTAGACAATAACGTGAAATTGCAAGTTCACTGACTTCATGTTTATAAATTTAGTAATTTTTATTTAGTATTTTCTAATTTCAGGTATCTTTTCAGTGCAAGTATGTACATGTAGTTCAAATTATTTCTTTCACTTAAAATTCCCAAACTTCTTTTTGGAATTTCAAATATCTGACCCTGACTACGTATTTTAGCCAGTTTTGAGAAAATTCTGAAATTCACTGATTTTGAAGCATTTTTAACATCTTGCAAATGTTAGTTCAAAACCTGGTTACTGCAGCTTCCAGAGATGCATCCTGTGATTGTCACAAGAACATTTGCATATTGAATAAATGAAGTAATCTGTCAGTGTTTCAATTCAGAGCAAATTCTGATATTAAAATTTATAAAATATCTAAGCAACAAATATACGAATCAAAATGGATTGGTGGATATATGCAGGGCTCTCGCCAGGCTTTTAGACTGTGGCGCGGCACCACACTCTATTTAGCTCCCTCCACACCCCATTGGCAAATCATGACTGTTTCCACAGTCTAAACTTGACTGAATATACAATAATAGCATGTAAAAAGGATAAAACATAACATAAATATGATTTATCACAATTGAACGGTCATTCTGAAGATGTTAGCACCACACCCTAAATATTTCCTGGTGAGAGCCCTGATATGTAATATTCAAGCATAACCTAGAATGCTTCTTTTTAGAAACACTTTTTTAGAAATTACCAGTACATGTATTTACATTTTATGGGATAGGATAGATGCTGCTGACTGTGGGTTATTTACATATATTATTTTGGCAGAATAAATAATTAAAATATTTCAATTAAAATGTTGATGACATTACCAATAACTATGTGGCATTTTGGGACATGTCAATGTAGTTGTTTTTATTCATTGTTAGTATGATCTTGTATCCTATAGCTATTTGATAAGACAAAATACACAATCACAATACCAACTAGAAAAAGCAACTCCTTGGAGTACTCCAATAAACAAAATATGTTAGATCATCAGACAATATCATGTTTCTAAATAAACTGCTACTCATATTTGAGTTAATACCCCAACTTAACTATACCTCTACAAAACAATTGTTCATTGGGATGGAGAATAAAAATCATAATTTGTCTCGCAAAAACGACCACTTTGAGATCGTATAGAGCCAAAGGTGATCAGAGTCTTACCTAAATAGATTCAACAAGGCATTAACATGCAAATTGTCACAATCTGCCATTTGTTACAGATGCCATATCATTTGTCACAGAAAACAAATGCCGATCACCATGCACAAAAAAAGTTGGAGACTCTAACAATTAGTGTTGTCACAATTAATCGATACATCGCGATATACATGGCCAAAATGATTCTGGTGATGCATCGATGTCTGAAATAAAACATCGATGTTTTTAAAAAAATAAAATCTTTTCTTATCTCATTTTGACATATTAAATGTTTTACTTTTCTTATTGCTTAGTTCATTTTCTAATAATGTTCTCCGATATTTTTTCACTATAAAATTGTTTTAGTTTGCCAAAATGAACAAATGACCTCCAACTTTTACTTTTTACTTTTTCCCTACACTGTTCCCAGAAATACGAAGTACTTTTATTTGTTACGTTCAGTATTTTAATGCATTTGCAATTTTGCGTTCGATATTTTAGAGCACTTTTTCTCCATCCTTTCCCCGATGCACATTGCGATGTGCATCAATGTTTTCTCCAGAAAATTGCCAATGCATCGATGTACGATTATGGCACATCGCGACAATACTAATAACAATATGTCACATAATAATATAGCTGCATTGTTGTTTTCAAGTTATCTTTCCACCAAATATGACGAAAATATGTCTACTCGGGTAATTGGTATTCAAGTTATCTTCCGAACTTGAACAGACAGACAGAAGCTTCACTATCTCTCTACCAAACTTCGTTCATTGGGATAATAAGGTCGGTCCAGACTAGGTTTAACTTGTTGAAGTAGACTTCCTCGTGCTATCTCGTGCCATTTCTATCTGGTGACAAAAAAATCACACCTGGCTCAGGACCTACATCCGTGTGCTAGCTTTATTGAATATATACATATGATATACAGTATTTTGAATAAACCGTAGGGCCCTGACTTATTCTTATGACAAATTATAAGTAACAAAGTTGATTCAAGTAATTTGCAGATCACAGGTAAAATTCCAGGTGAAGCTGAAAGTGAGATTTCATTGAAAAATTGTGCGAATTTACAGTCTGATTTCCGAGAGATATTCAAGCACATCGTATTGAAAAAATACATTAATACATACCTGTGTCATTCCTTAAGGGAGAGTCGTCAGAATAATATGTATAGTACCGGTAATAGGAGGCGAATTTTCTACTTTCTGTTGCATATTTCAGAGAAAAAACTTTTTCATGTTTTTAAACCATTCAAAACGAGGTTACACTGAACGAAATGTTTATGATGGGACAGTATTCCCCGGGAATAACTTGAGTAATGAGAACTCAACTAATCTGATCTTAGTGATATGTGAATCGAATAGACAGATATACTTATCAAATGCATGTTATCCGAACATGTGTTTGGTCAGTGTGATAATGTACTTTAAATCATAAACTGCTTAGCATAACAACCCCTATATTGTAACCACAAGACCCTCAGTGTCCTCAATTCAGTAACCAACTCAGCTGCATGTAAAACTTGACAGGTATTCTAATATCCATATGATATGTTCTCATACCGTCCAGTCAATTGTGTGATATGCCAGAACACATTAAAAATGACCCACTCATCATATCTCATCTAAAACATAGAATAAAAGCCATATCATTGCTTGAAATGGCCTCAATAAGAAAACTAATTTCGCAAAAAATAATCATAATCCAGTGATAGTTTGTTATGAAAATTCACTGACATACCAAATTACAAAATATATGCCCATGCTATCATCTATGAATGGAGATCCCTTTTAAACAATAATTACAAGATTTGAGTTTATTGATTGATCAAATGTACAGGGTGATAAAAAATGGCAACACTGCATTTTCCCCATATCTTTGTCATTTTAAGAAAATTACTCCTTGATATTTCAGATGTTTGAACATCATTAAACCTACCATCCTACCAGATTTCATTACCATTGAAAGTCACAATACTACAGCACTTCCAACAACATGCTCCAGGTGTGGCCATCATAGCACGAGTTGTTGGCACTCTATATTTTGGATGATGTATGCAGGTTTGCCTACAGCGCAATATTGGTCACTGGGGCATGTTGTTAAAAAGTGCTTTAACATTGTGACTATCAGTTTGATTGTCATGAAATATGGTAGGATGGTGCACAAAAATGCTAAATATCTGGGATTATATCCCAAGACATGTAAAATGATAAAGATATGAGGAAGACAGTGGCAGGTTGGTGCTGTCTTTTTGCCAAGTCAAGTTATTATTATAATCTGAACAGTCTGACAGGATCTTAATGACCCCAAAAGCTGTTGTCATTGAAGTTTAAAAGTTAAATTAGGGCCAGCTATTATGATGCCATATCGACAATTTTGAGTGGCTTTCCGATGAACCTACATGTATTTTGAAACATAAAAGGATAACCAATTAGAGAAGCAGCATGAAGATATTAAAAAGGGTAAAGGTTACCGATGGGGGTTTATAAAATGTGATATATAATAGCTGTAAAAAATAAAGGCTTTAGTAGGTGAAGATTCAAACAAATTCAGTATAGCCAGAATAAACCCCATACAGAGATGACCCAAAGATCTAGAATCCAACAAAAGATTCATACATATATTTGTATCAATGTTTTATTTACATTTTTACACATACAATCATACATAAATTGTATTAGCTCTTCTGAATATATTATGATGCCTATACAGGACATATACAAGAAATATGTTATACAAAAATTCATACATAATTACATACATTTATTTACATATCATAATTTTATACATGTATATATAAAAGGACTTATAAGACTAGAGCAGATTTACAACAGAGCACAGCTGCTTGTAGAAGATGTACATTCATAAAAAGCAAGAATTCAAGTGATGCAAACTATGTTAAATCAATGACTACAAAAGCATAAGTTTACAAAATTAAATTGCAATTTGGAACGATTTAAAGTACAGACTACAGCATATGTGCATGATCATGAGAATTCTGACATTTGAGAAAATCGAAATACAAGTATCGTTATGTACATCTTATAGTATACTTTGTATCATTGTATTTCTATAGAGAACTACTCATACAAGCATTTGTATTTGTACTCAACAAAGGAACATATGAACCTATGGTGAGTTAGGATTGTGCCAAATATTTTTGTACACCACCTTTAAAGAACAGCTATGGGATTGACAATGGGATAGGGTTAATGTTAATGGATAGAGTTACTGTTAATGGGATAATGGTATCTGTTAATGGGATAAAGGTTACTGTTCTTGGATAAAAATACTGATTTGGGAACTATTAACCGCATTCATATATGTAGTAATTGTCACCTATTGAATAAATATGATATTCCTCAAAAGTCTAGAATATCTTATCATAACCAATGGTATTCACGACAACACCAGCTTATTAGATAACGGTTCCAATTACATTGTTTTAAGTTTAATAAAAGGGCGACAGAAAAATACCAAAACTGGAATAGCCATCAGATAAAAGAGACAGGGAGCAAATTTTCTGAAAATTGTGTCAATTTCAGAATTACATTTTTTATCTCAAATAAACTGATAAAAACACAAAAGCACATTCTTATCTATTCTTTCTTATCATTACCTATTTTCTAAAATAAACTGGAATAACATTTTTTCAACTGTGAAGAAGCTGTTTACGTGTGTATTTACAAACAATAACAACACAGCAAATATGTGTTTCTGTTGTTCAGAAAAGATAATAAAACATCAACCCTATCGAACAAATCAACTTGAATCTCCTGGTGATAAGGTTATCACATCTCATTCAATGACCATGTGTATCTAGATTAGACTTTTACTGAGGGGCATCCCTATTAAAAACAGCAAGAGAAATAGACAATCATTCATTGTCATTTAGTCTATAGAACTGGTAGATTGTAAAAAATCTTTAGCCTTTGCATGGTGAACCTCTAGTTTGTATCCATTTTACAGCTCATAAGGTTTTGCACTTATGTACTTATTGAGAGTTGTAGGTGATTCTTCACCCTTTTATACTATTCCCTCTTGTCTGACTAGTTGAACATTGACAGCGCTGCATGCAACTGTTAAAATATACTTATGATGACTCCACATGGGTCCTGATGGCAATGGTCAATAATTATAAAATTAGGTCGCTTTGTGAATTATCCATTGCATGATATCAAGAACTGATCATTTGAAAAATATTTATAATCGAATCACTGCAACATAATTGAATCTCATAATAAGACACCTCCATATCTTGATTATCTCATATTGCTTTAACTTTACATTCTAGGTTCCATCTTAGCACCAAACATTGACTACGTCGTCACAGATTCACTTTTTATTTTACGAATTCTCCCAGTATCAACAACATCCAATAGATTTTTAGCGTCCATCGCTAGTATATGGGCAGCCTTAAGCATACCACGTCTATAGTCTGCATCTAGGGTTGTTGTACTATATTGCTGGGCTAGTTTCATTGCATTTACCAGCTCACTCATGTCCGAACTAAGCACTTTATGAGCCATCTCAATCTGAAAAATGAGTAGTTGGAATTTGAAATTTTTTTCTCTCCTATCCACATTCATAATCTAACAAAGACTTGGGAAATGGATATACATTATTTACTTAAGTTTATTGCTCCATTGATAATTTCATACATACAGGGTATAAATACTCACATCAAGATCAAAACAAACTAGAAAAGATGAACTGACCTCTCTATGTGAGTCTTGGCTAACATGGGGCATTGCACTGTCGACAGCTGTCAGTAAGTTACGCAGGTCCAGGCCAACTTTCTGGAATCACAACAAAACGACAATGTTAAATTCCAATTTATGTCCATGTATATTTCTATACATACAAAACCAGGATACATTCTTGTTATTTCATATGAACACGATGAACAAATTCAATCTTGTTTATATGAAGTCCCATATAGTATTTGTATCTGTTTTAGTGGTGATTTATGCTGAACGTAATTGCAAAGTCTACCTAAAAGCTAACACATTATTGAAGTAAGAATTGTCCTTTCATCTAAACATCAAAAGCTAGCATGCTTTAGTTTTCATATGTTACAAAATGGGTGTTCAATGATAACACCAACCTTAACTAAATCTAGATATTGGTCTGCCTTTGCTAGCTGCACACTCTTAGTCATGTCCATCACAGCACGGACAACTGTTGTGGTTGCGTCATAAACATGGTCATCAGTTCTATCAAGCTCAATGGAGGCAGCTGCTTTTTCAGGGTTGCCATTTGTGTTTGGCTCACTTGGAATATTTGGCTGGAATACAATCAAAGAATGTAATATTTGAAATTACAATACAGTTACATGTATATTACATATCACCTGTAAAGAAATATTTACCCTTTACTGCCAATTTTTTTTTTGACAATTTCAAAAGAAAAAACACATGTGTGTTTATTATCACTTTTTAAGTGTATTTTTCACTTCCAGCAAAATGTAAATGATAAAATGTAAATGATAAAACGAAATTAGTCAATTTTAGTGTAATATTTTTAAGTGGATGGCAATATAATACATTTTAGGTACCAGAAATAACTGTAGGTTAAGTGATAATACACAGTTCAGTTACTCCTATACTGGGCTTACAAAATTCCATCTTTCCAAAACAATATATTCTTCATTTCTTGAAAACACTTCAAAATATTAAAAGAAATCTGAAGTGAATTTAGACTTACCACTGATTGGTTAGCTGGAGGGGATACAGGAGGGAGACTGTCAACAGAATCTTCAACACTTATAGGACTACTTGGCCCTGCAGCTACAACAGATAATAAAACATCCAAATCAATTGAAATAACACCAACTTATGTAACATGTAAGTTGTTAAGGTGTGTTACTTTGAGATTGCAAAATCTACCCTGAATTCCTATTTGCAAACCATTTTACCCTCTAACTATCACATATGATTTTACAGCTTTGATGCTGATAGGGTTTTACTTATCATGTCAAATGTGTCTTTCATGATCAAAAAATATTATATCTTTTATAAATATTGTTGGCATTTAAAGTTGAGCTCTTACAAGTGGAGAGATAAATTTCAAAAAGGGAAAAAATCTTCAAAGGCAAAGGTGCTCATTATGAGGGCAATCTTTAGAGAATTGATCAATTCATATCTAAAAGGAATGAGCTAATAACAAAATAAACATACAGGAGTTCTGACTGACTTTTCCTGTTGATGAGAGACTGAGGGAGGGGGACTTTTCTTTCTGTTCGTTAGGGCTGTTTTGACCTTCTTTGACTTCTGGAATCTGAAATCATAAAAGGTACATTCTAGAAACTTTATCATTTAGATATCACGACGTTACAGATTTTTGCTTAATTAAACCAATGTAATCCCCTATATATGTCAAAAGACAATATTGTGTCAATATATACATGTATGTAAAATGTCACCTTTAACTTTCAATAAAACACAAACATTAAATTAATAGTCACAAGGATAGGCATTATATAGGCATAGGCATTATACTCACAAAATTAGTTTCTTCTCGCTGCAACCATTTAGCATCTTCAGCTGATGCCTTCTGTTGCTTAGCAATGCGCTCATGAAGCAGTTTCTTCTCCATTTCATGCTCGACTACAGGATCCTGCAGATTAAGAAATACATTTTATTTCCCTCCAGGGTAGTCTTACATATTTAATAATAATAGTTGTTAGTGGTCTTTTATGGATGAAATCAAATTCATGAATAAGGGATTTATTTTGGCTTTTATCAAATTAAAATTTTGTACGACTAATCATTTCATTACATTAACAATTATTTTCATTACATCAACTTTTACGAAACACTGAAAATTAACTGGAGCCAATCACTAGTTTGTCTAATTGTTATATTCATTTTTAGTTATAAAATTGCATCCTTATTCTAACTATAAATATGTGCAAAATGCAGGATACTACATAGAGTAAATGCTAATGAGGTGCTGAATAGCATTCAAAGATCACAAATCATGCTGGTGCAGAGGCACATAACAAAAATAAAGAAGAGAAGACAATATTTTGTTACTCATGTTAAAAACTAATCATTAGAGTATAAGGCAGTACATTCAAGAAAATCAAAGAACAACAACAAATGAAGTCAGTCCTGTTTTCAGAATTCATTGTTTTTGCAAAATATCACAAATGCAAGATCACTATAATAAATTAAGGAAATCAACTAAATGCGCAGTGGGTAGTTTAAGAGCAGATATAAACTTGCAGACTTTACAACTATTGATCAATCAGGGAATGCTTAATAAGGAAAAACTATGAATTATATCACTATTGATAAGCCAAGTAATTAATAATGCATCTCAAAGTGTTGTTAAATGCCTAGGAGTTGTCCCCCAGACACTTCTCTTGCAAATTTCTGGTTGAATATTAATTCTTTTATTACTCCTAAATATTGTTTTGCTATTTGTGAGAATTTAAGCGACAGATTCAATGCATTGTTGGTGATTTGCTGAGCTCCACTCTTGTATGTTGTACTTAAAACTCTGGCTAAAGCCTTTGTTTTTGCAATCAAGAATCTCCTCCATTGTATATAGTCAGACAGGTAAGCTTAGATACATTGTATCACCAACAACACATTTGAGTATTAGGCTTGAATTCTTTAGTTTTTATAAAAGTAATGTATCACGTTCACTACTGTAACTTAATCTTAAATGCGCATTAACAATATATGAAGACCAAAATGTACACAAACTTCAAATGTAATAAATATCTATTACAGAATGCTCGAAAAGATAAAACAGAAATATACAAAATAGGAATGTAAAATCAAGTCTACTACTACTGTAAAAATGAATCAAACATGCTACAACAATGCACTGAACAAACCAAAATGCATGAAACACGCTATCACAATGCATCAAACATGCTACCACAATGCATCAAACATGCTATGAAAATGCATCATGCATGCTACCACAATGCATCAACTATGCTATGACAATGCATCAAACATGCTATGAAAATGCATCATACATGCTACCACAATGCATCAACTATGCTATGACAATGCATCATACATGCTAACAGATTATCACCATCTACCTGTGAACAATTAGAGCCTCCACTGATACGATCCGGGGACTGACAAGAAAAATCAGAAACTGGGGGGTCATGCCTGTATTCCACAGGAGCACAGGGAGCAGGGGGCAAGCCAAAAATAGGAGGCTGAGTGCTATATTGGTCAGCCACTAAGTCAGCAATTTGCCGAGGGGTATAAGCCACTATATAACCAAGGGGAGGTTGGTTTTCATCATTAATTGGATTAGTTTTAGGTGTTTTATTAGTAATGTTAGGTTGCGCCAGGCTGAAGCCACTTTCGTTATAAGGCACCTGTTTAGTATGCTGGTTCGGTTGGTTGCCAGAAGGAGCAGGCACTGAGTAGCCACTGTGCGCCTTGCGGCCAGTTCCGCCAATAGTATTGTAGCCAGACAGGTTAGCTTGGGAAAAGTTACTGGAACCACCCCATGGTTGAGCTGCTGAACCGTCCATTAAGCTCAGGTTAGGAGTGGAACCTGTAGGGGAGATAGCGAATCTCTCCATCCCAGGGTAATGAGGCCGGGCAGGCTGAAAACAAATAGAATCATTAAGGATTCAATAGAAAATCACTGTTGGCGTATATGAAGCCATTTTGCAAATCTATTAAAAAGAAAGGCAAAATATCCCCTTTAGCGAGTAAAATAAAAAATATCCTCAAAATGTTTGTTTTGTAATTCTCATGCACTTCATAATAAAAAAATTTGTTCAGAGAAAAATAATGTTTTATTCAAATAAAACAAACTTAACCACAGACATTCACAAAATGAAAGTAGATCATTCATGAATATGGCTCATGCTCTATTGTTAGCAAAAATAAAAATCATGATTAAAGCACTTCTGTCAGTGTAAGATTCTCAACAAACAATGAATTAAGGTAGATCAAACATAATGAAAAATCTGAAACATGCATTTGATTTCTCTTTTTTGTTACAGTGCTTTAGTATGACTGCTGTTACATTTTAGTTAAATGGTTTGATTTTGAAATATTGACATACCTTGGGAGGGGGTTCATCTTCATCTGCAGCAGCTAAAGAAATAAATAGAAAATTTTTTTCTAAAAAATGCAAGAATATTTTATTTTAAATTGGATAAAGTGACACAACAAAGTGTAACAAATGAATCCTAGTTTGAGTGCTGTTTGTCCATTAAATGTTTATCAGAGTTGCCCCAGAAATGATGCCTACCTGCAACACCTCATCATGTTGTATATTCATTTAAAGTTTAATACCCAAATCCCAAACTATGTAGTGTAAAATGACTTGTATTCTGATTCTAACAATGCCAGAAATTTTTTCATACAGTTTCATCAAAAAAATAATAGTCCACTAAGTATTGAATACTGTGTATATGTACATATACATGTACTAGAGATACTGTGTATATGTAAATATACATGTACTAGAAAAACTCTCACAATCCACTTTACATTACATGTACTTACCATGTTTTAAATCCATAAAAATGATGCAAGTGGATAAAATGAACACAATATTAAATAAGATATCAAACAAAATAAATACATGTTTGTCATCAATACCATGAACTAATTCAAATCTTAAGACCATATTAGGAAATATAAAGATTATTTATTATTAGAGAGGATTAAGAGTATTCTCACCCCAAGACATTGCCTGAAGCCTTCTGTTCTGCCTCTGTGATTGTTCCTCCGTTCTCTGCCTCTCCTCTAGAAGGATCTCACTAGGAAAGAAGATGAAAGAAGGTTTAGTGATAGACTTTGCAGGTTCCCAGAACTTTATAAACACCCACCCTGCTTCACAAATATTAAGGAACATGCAAGAATGATCAATGTTGCAAAAAGTAAATACTTCAGCACTTAACCATTCAACACAAATATTATGCAGTCCATGTATATGTATTTTGGTGATAGAAAGACGTTTTTTGATGAGAGTGGGATGATTTTGGTAACCGTGGGATTTAATGGAATATTACGTTGTAATGGCTATGTCTGTAAAAAATGTACCCCAAAGTGAAGACTTTTAAGACATGGTAATTTTGGGTAGTAAATTGCAATACATTATAATTCAATCATATCCTCTTACCTAAGAACTTGTTTGAGAAGGGAGAAGTTAGGACGTCCTGATGGTTCATATGACCAGCACGCACACATGAGATTATACAACGAGGGGGGACAGCCTCGGGGTAAGGCCAGCCGCTCCCCATTCTCAATCTTTCCTATCACATCATTGTTCTTGACACCCTGAAATGGCTTCACGCCATACATGAGTATTTCCCAGATGCAAACCCCTGGAAATGAATAAATGTGCAATATTACAACAGAATATTGACTTTTTCCCTAAGAGGACACAATGATCTCATATTAACAATTGTAATATTTATATCATAATTAACAAATAGACTGAATATGTTTCTCAGATCGACCTGGATAAAGTTAACGAATTTTATATATTTGATCAAGAAACCTACATATTAAACCCTGGGTAAAATAACTACAGAACAAAGCCTATAGTGTACAACCAAACCCCCATAAACAAGAGAAAATATATTTCATACCAAACATCCAGACATCACTTGCAGTTGTAAACCTGCGGAAGTTAATAGACTCAGGGGCCATCCATTTGATTGGTAGTTTCCCTTTAGATGCTTTGTAATAGCTCTGTTCCTCCACCCATCGAGAGAGACCAAAATCGGCAAGTTTGACACAATCATCGGCAGAAACTAAAATGTTCCTTGCCGCAATGTCCCTGAAAATTTTATATTATTATTTTTCAAGATATCAATCATTTAACGTAATACAAATTACATATTAAAATACATACATGTATACTGAACATATAAATATTAGATTAATATTATTATTAAATATGTATTCAAGTTTGTGACAAAATCCAAGTGTCACTAGCCAAGCTTCAGAACACTATTAATCTAGTTAATCTAGTATTATTAAACATCTTGTACATTGCCATTTTTGTTTTCAAATTGTTTTGTGACTATTAAGGCAAAGACAAGTGAAGGAAGGAATCATAATTCACAATATTTTCTAGCAACTGGCTCCTGTTGCAATGTAGCAGTACTGCATATATCTGCTTCAAATGGGCCCTTTTTGTAGATTGCGGACATGGATAAAGACCTACCTATGGACAAACTTTTTACTCTCTAGGTAAGATAAGGCTGTACTGAGCTGGTATGCATATAGGATCAGAATAGGAAGCTTTGGCCTATTGTTCTGGAGATATGCCCGCATTTCTCCATGTTTAGCTAGCTCCATGACGATCATGATAGGACTATCGCTGCAGATCCCTATTAGCTTGATGATATGCTGGTGATCAAACTTCTGCATTATCACTACAACAAATATAATATCTATAACATCTCCATGATGATTATACAAAATATACAAGTATTCAATATTCCAAAATTATGCAATATTTTGCTTCATGATTAACACTATTTCAAAATTTGATATTAGTAAAACACTATTAATTCAGAATGCATTAAGCACTGTTACAGTACATGTAAAGTGTAATATGTAGGAACTACTAACTTTACATTAAATGAAAACTTACATGCTTCTTCTAGGAATTTGTCTGCAGCTGACTCTTCATTGTCAACCTTGCATGTCTTGATTGCCACTGATGTCTCATTACCATTGCTCTGAAATTCACAAACACACATAACTACATGTTCTTCTGAACTGTCTCATCGTAACATATTTTCAGTATTTAGTTACCATTATTACAAAATCTTAGTAATCTTTGAAGAGTACATCTGGATACATTTCTAGGTACTTATTTACCAAAAGTTAAATAATACATATTCTGTACAATAAAAAAAGTCACTTCACATTATATGAAAGTATATAAAATAAATGTTATTGCATATTATACTAATTCATTTTATTACCTCTCTGTAAATGCCCCTATGTACATCTCCAAACTGTCCCTCACCCAAGATTTCACCAAGTTTCACCTGTTTGCGTGATATCTCATAATCATTAGCTGCAAGTACATAATATTAATATGTACAAAGTATAGTTACAGTATGTATTTAGAAACCAAGAAAGTAACAGGAACAAGGCACAGACGTGAGCAATATCATACCTAAATCACAGCATTGTGGTCTTGTTGACCAAGAAAGCAAGATGGCCGCAGAAAAGTTAATCAGCTCTAGAACTTATCACTGTGTAACATATGTAAAAAGTTGAACGGTTTGGCTGGAAACCTGTAGACAAGCCTCGATAGACAAGATTTTAGGACGGAAAATCTAAAATGGCAGCCTTAACATTTACCCAGAATGCTCAAAAACTAATCAGTTCTTGACATTGATATGTAGAAACATCCCTGAAAATTTCAGATGAATCCCTCAAATGGTTTGGCTGGAAACCTGATGACAAGTCTTGAAAGTGAAGATTTCAGGACGGAAAATCCAAAATGGCCACCTTTAAATTTACCCAGAATGCCCAAAAACTAATCAGTTCTTGACATTGATATGTAGAAACATCCCTGAAAATTTCAGATGAATCCCTCAAATGGTTTGGCTGGAAACCTGTAGACAAGTCTTGAAAGTGAAGATTTTAGGATGGAAAATCCAAAATGGCCACCTTAAAACTTACCCAGAATGCCCAAAAACCAATCAGTTCTTGACGTTGATATGTAGAAACATCCCTGAAAATTTCAGATGAATCCCTCAAATGGTTTGGCTGAAAATCTGTAGACAAGTCTTGAAAGTGAAGATTTTAGGACAGAAAATCCAAAATGGCCACCTTAAAATTTAACCAGAATGCCCAAAAACTAATCAGTTCTTGACGTTGATATGTAGCAACATCCCTGAAAATTTCAGATGAATCCCTCAAAAGGTTTGGCTGGAAACCTGTAGACAAGTCTTGAAAGTAAAGATTTTAGGACGGAAAATCCAAAATGGCCACCTTAAAATTTACCCAGAATGCCCAAAAACTAATCAGTTCTTGACGTTGATATGTAGAAACATCCCTGAAAATTTCAGATGAATCCCTCAAATGGTTTGGCTGGAAACCTGTAGACAAGCTGAAAAGTGAGACGCCGCCGCCGCCCGCCCGCCCGCCGCCCGTCAAGCTGACTAGAATATCGTACCTCTTGTTAGGTACGATAAAAAGACTTAGTAATTATTACAAAGTTCCCATGCATAGCATAAGTTAACAAGGCATTAACATGTAAAATGTTGAAGACTGTAACACTTTTGATGGGGACATAAAAATAGTAGATTACACTTACAACCAGGGGTGGAGTAATCTCCTTCATCTTCAACTATCTCTGCATAGTCTGTGACCGACTCACGCCCTTGGCTACTGGAACTACTTAACCTTGGTTTGGGACTACTTGACGTAACTCGATTGTTAGACTTTTGACTTGGAATTCTGGGTAAACTGTCACCTGAAAAAATGTTACTGTAAAATGACTAAATAATATTTGAATAGCTTGAAAGAAAGAAAACAACAAATATTAGTAGGCTAATAACTTAATAAGAATATACTGATTTCTTTATCATTTCAGTTTGCCTTTCCTGAAACAAATATAGAGTACTAAGATTTCATATCCCAGGCTTAGAAAGATTTGAGAAAAAAAATAAAAACTTCATTAGTACGTAACAGATTTGACATATTCTTGTTCATAATAATATATTCTTGTTTTTGTACATATACTAGTAATATATGTATGTTCCTTTACATGATATTCTATTATGAACAAACAATTTATTTCATCCTTTATGTATTTTGAATGGTTTCAGCTCAAATATTGAAGTAATCAGAATTCTTACATCCAACCAAATTAATGTATTCTCAAATACACATTTTGTAATCCAACTTGAAGGAAGGTTATGAGTTTTTCTTACAGATATCTCCAAGGCAAAATGTTTAAGTAATGAAAAGCTTAATTGTAGAACTTGTTGTGGAAATATTCATTTATAGAATGTGTGAAATTAATGTGCAAACACAACATCAATTAAAGCACTGTGTGACAAAATCACTGCTACACTAAATAGCATGAGAGAAAATGGCCATATCTAAGTATAAAGCAGCAAAATATTCCCCAAAAGAATAAATACCCCTCCCTCACTCTCAAATATATTCTTTACTTAATCCTCCTTAAAATCATTAATAACAGTCCGCAATGTTAAAAATATTGAGACAATATTGACTAAATCTTGATCATATTTGGTATTTCACTTCAGATGTGCAATGTTATTTATTTAATAAACAGCACTACATAACATGGAGGTGAACCTTCATCGTGGGGTGTACTCTTCAACAAAGACGTGAATAAGAATAAAACATGTGCTGATGTGACTTATGCTAGATATCTAAAACACATATGAATAAGCTAGTTAACGCAGAAGTGCCAAGTGTCACAGGAGTCACATATGCAAGGCAAGATACTCTTTGAACTGATAGAAGCTGTTCTTTCTTAATCATATTAAGAATGGATTTTAATTTCCAATGTTAGTTCATATCTTAGTATTCAAGAACACAAGCGGTAACCCTGAATCCCCGTCATTATGTCATTCTACCCACTGACTTTTACAGATGATTTACAGTTTTGACGATGGTAAAATCATAACAGGGCTCCCAAATAATGCTTTCCTGAGCTGCATGTTAGCTACTTCTAGAAACAAACTCATGATTTTCTTAAGTTTCCTCTTATCAAGAGTGTATATAAGGTTTTGTGAAGGGTAACATATTGTTGCTTATGTACAAAACAAAATGTTGAGATTTACATTTTGTTTTGTTTTTTTAACACTTATTAACATATTACATTGTTTATGTTGGTGTGATACATTGGTTCAATGTGAACCTATCATATTGCATGTATTTCTATATATCACATTCCTGGTCATGATGGGCAATGCTTACTAGACTAATATATAAGTAATTCCAGTTTCTTTTTCCATCATCATCATCTCGGTGAATACAAACCAAAATGAGCCAAAAGTAAAACAGAGGCCACCATGACCATTTTACGTGTGAGTTTCCCATTGCTTTTTCTTCATGATTTTCTTCGTAAAGACAATAGCTCAGTATATGGCTTGTACATTTTCCCCAATTTTTGTAAAGATAAGAGAAGCATGCTTTTCCCAATTACATATTGTAGAGGTATTTGGGAGAACATAGCAATAGGAAACTGGTGACCTGTTTATTTCCATGGACTTAAATTTCAGTAAATAAAGTGCTTTTCACACAATACAACAATAACTAAAGTAGTATTAAGCAAAAAACAAAAAATGTGAACCAAAATTACAACGGGAACACAAATGACAGACATTTAAACAAACCTTCACTATTATGAATTGACCCTGTTTCCTCCATTGTACTTTCATTTTTGCATGCTTTGGAAATAAATATCAAATTAAATCATGGGAATTACACAATAAAATATCAAAGAAAATGGGTACTACGGGTTCATGTAAATGTGGACAGCATTGGGATTATCAAAATAGGAAAATAGATATGCACAGAAGATATAAAAGCGCATGACACTTGGATGAAGAAAAGTGAACACACAAAAGCGATTCAATTTAGCTTGTTCATTTTGATTTTAACAAGAAGAACTTTGATCACATAAATAAGGTCAATTCAAATGATTCAATTTTAAAAGCATCCTGATTATTAAGTTTACAAACCTTGTCTATACCAGCTAGACTTTTTGTCATTGACATTATGTAGACGTAAATATCCATCTATTAAATCTGCGATATCTTCCGCTACAGCTAATGATGGACATGTGATTGTTAGTGGTTCAACGGCACCAGCTATTTTTAATTGCAATACTCCTTTTAGGTCATTATCACTAGCTACAGTCTGTATTGATTGAACATGTTGGAAATCTGCCATATGAGTGGGCTGAAAAAAGCAAGACATTAATACAACAAAATGCAACAACTGGTAATGTATTGCAATTGGTTACAAACTCTGATATCACCAGTTTTTCTCACAAGTATCATGTCAGAAAAATCTGAAATGTCAGTAACATTCATTGACCTTTACATAATTGATCAGAATTCAAACCCATCAGGCAGACATTGTTAAACTTATTCTTAATCCTAATAGGTGACTTAGGCCATTTTTGTTACAATGTTGTTTTCTGTTTATATTAATAATCAAAGTGTAAGAACTAACCGATGAGGCTTTCTCTGTGAGGTAACTAATCCCAACATCAGGTCCTATTACAAGGTTCACTGATATACTCCAGCCAACCTGCAATCATTTTTTACAATATAAATTGAAACATATGATTTTATATTTATATCATCATCAACTTCATTGATATTCTACTGTTATACTGCCATTTCAAAAAAGCAATATATGGAGCATACTAATGTACAATGATTCAAACAAGAAAAGACAATTTCGTTTTTATTGGTTTCACGAATATAGTACTTCACACAAAAATACAGAAAGTCAGAAACGTAAATGTCTAGGATACAACTCTTGCTCACCCCTAAGGCACACTTAAAGTTTTCTTGTCTATACTTCCATTGGGTGAGTAATATTTCCAAGAATTTGAGCACACATTCGTCCTGGTTTAGAGGAGCATATTGTTTGAAAGACTGTTGTACTTGTTTTCGTAAGGTTTTACTCTGAAAACAGAAAATCAATAAATATTAATATTTCGGGTACCATAAATAAGTTACGGTATCTTTCACCTTATTTATTGGACATCCTATACATATGACTCAACAAAACTAATAGTCGATTCAATAAATAAAAAATACATTTAACTCAACATAACAGCCTTTTAATATCTGAGTCTTTAAAACATTTACCTCAATAATACTGTCTAAAATGTATAATTCACCAAAAGTCTTCACAAACCTCATTGCCCAATTTTTCAATGAGTAAAGTCCCTCATTTTTACAACATGGTTCAAATTAACAAAATCAAAGTGTTAGTGAAAATAAAAGGAGACAATATTGAACTTTTCTGTGGACTTACTTTAAAATTGTCTATAACTGATTTGGGGAAGAATCGCTTGAAACCAATTTCTTTTTCCAAGTATTCCATATTTGATTTCTTCTCCAAGGCCTCATAGGACATATCCTTGAAGAAGCGCCTGAAAGAAAACACAGATTAATAATTGATTAGTCAATTTACTTTCATTACACATGATCAGCCGTCAGCAATAATTTTATGGAAATCCTGGTGGAAACCATGTCTAAAATAATACAGAAGATGAATAGTAAAGCATCCAACCTAAGATTAGGCTCATTTATTTATGGATGTCTGAGATCAAAACAAATTTTGATATATAAACAGGAGGAAAGAGTCATGCTTTTAAATAAAGATTTATCATGTGTAAGATGTGGTTAATCTCAAAACAGAAATGAAATAGCATTTGAGAAAACTCATGCATATTTCCAAGAAATATTGGGATTGGTCCCTATATTAAAGTGACTGAACCTTTATAATTAAATATTCCCAAAATGTGAAGTCCTAGACCAGTGACTTGCAATATTTTTGGTCTATACCAGAAAGCTTCTTGAAAATATCAAATTATGAAAAATGCTGACCTAGTAACTGAAACAAATCCAACTACCTTAGATCAGTATGTGTATGGGTATTTAAAAAGCCTATAGATGGTGCAGGTTACAGGTTATTCTGATTTTTGGTAATTTTGGTGTTTTGATGTTTACAAATGTGATGTCGTCATTTTCAAAATAACAACATTGGGTTAAGAAATTTCTTATTAGAGAAAGTTTTGAGATATTAATCTGATACAATTTCACTGCAATGACTACAATCTTAGAATTAATGCTCCACATAATGGGCCACATCAAATTAATTGAGTTAAATTCAGGGAGAAGTGAGATTTCTGTGTAGGAATTGTTTTCTGTCAAACTGGACAGTTATTCAAGATTTATTTAATAGCATCATCTGGGAAATATTGATTCTCCAATAAGATCTATAAATAAGACTAATACGATTCAATGAATTACAGAACATATTGCAAGGATGTCACTGCAATTATATCTCCTGTAATTTGTCATATCTGGCATCTTTCATGCAGTATTAATAGAGTAAAGCATGCTTCAGGAAACAAGTTGGTATTATTATCTATGATCCGTCAATATGGGTAGCATGTGTTTGGTCAATATGATTATGAAGCAAGTTAAATGATGCATAGTCTAGCTACACACCCTTGTGAGCCCCCTAAACTACACACCTCAAAATAAGGGGGTCCACAGTTTTGAAGCAAGACTAAATGATGCAGTCAGTAAAGCAAGATATGTATCAAACTATTGTATAATTGTTTTAATGCTTCATTTTTGGGTCACTCTCATAAAAACTCTCTTATTCATTGAAATAATTTATATTCTGTGTACTTAACTTTGGATTTAACATTTAGAATTCTTGAATGCAATGCCACAATGTTACTAACAGCATAATACAATTTAACACTGTATTTAGATTTTTCACTTATTATTCTAATAAATAAATAACTAGAGAAAGGGGCAAGGACGAGCCATTCTTTCATGAACTAGTGAACAAAAGCTTAATAAAAAGAATGTAAATAGAATACATGCAGACTGAAGTTTAAAACTGAATGGTGACAAAATATAATTCATTTTTTAGGAATACTTTTCATATCAAATTTGATTGAATTCAACTGAAAATAGTATAGACCTATTAAAGAATTTTATTTATATGATACCAGGAGAAGATGTCTGGATCGGTTCTCTTTCAACATATACACAGAATGTTGTTTGTGTTCTCAATCCTGCTAACTACTACCCTTTTCAATAGTCTGACTTTATAGTTACAACTAGACTCTGGGGTTCATCGTAGGTAACAACCAAGATGACTGAAACAGAGCGCAATACGCCAAAAAGCCACATCGTAAAATTTGCTCTCAATTATGAATCATCCCACCTGGTTTATAACATTTTGATAATAGTGACGCGTGTAATGTTAATGACCTGAACATACATACACATTCATTCTTGGGTATGTTACCTGATTTCTATGGAACCCAGTCTAATGGCAACTTCTGGGTCTATGTGGTCTGCCTTGTACTTCAGGTACTCGTTCCACATCTACAACACAGAATTTAGAATTTTACCCTTTGAGTGATTAACTTACACTATTACCAAACTATGATATAATGCACAAAGAAACAATGATGTAACACCCACCCCATTCTCTCTCTCCATCATTCAGGAATCACATTCCAAAAACAAAAGACCAAGAATCAGAGATATGTCAAGTGTACATACTATTATGTGGTGTTCTCTGATTGCTTCTGCTAACTGATGAGCTCTAGGTAATATAATTCCAGTAATAGGGCATAGGATACGACTGGTTTTGTGAATTTACTGGGGACTAGCAGATAATTTAAGCATGATGTCACAGCACTTGGGATTAAATTTTAATTAGAAAATATGATTTATGACAATGTGCATAACCAATTACTCAGATGCGAGTAGGTAGTTACCAGTTTCGCCACCAGGTGGCTGATTCAGGGGGAATTAAGATGGCAGGGTATTACAAAATTCCCTTAAACTTGAATATGCATCAGTTTTAGTGGTTCACTTTTCATATTACCCCTGTGTATCTGATAGTTATACAAATTAAAATATGTCCAGTAAAGGAAAATATTATCTGCCCAACACAAGAAAAAATATTTCACTTTTTGTGGTTTTACAACATGGGGTCTATGGGGAATCTCCCCGACCTAGAAGTCACATTTTCAAAGAAAATTAAATTTTCAGAGTTGATTAACTCTTTTCAAAACCTCATTTCTAAATGTAATTTTACATGTAGATTCCAAATATGACATCAGTTTGACTGAATTTTGAATTTTGAATGACGTAAATCAAGATTATTTCTACTCGCATCTGGGATATTGATCACATAGAATGGTACAATCAATGATGATACAGTTCAAACTCTCATTCAGATTTAATGAGCAGTTTTCTGATAGACTCATACAAGTGTTGGTCTAACTTAAGTTTGGCTACAGTAAAACAAGTCAATTGTCTCATAAAGCCAAGTCAACATGAACATGTAAAATTAGATACTTAAGCACTAACATTGTATTGCTGGAAATGATAAATAAACCACAAACTTTGTGCAATCTTCAACTTGTTGATAACAGTTTGTGTGTTTATATTACAAGTGTTGCTAATTTAGCCATGTATTTCCTCTGGTATAAGCCGATGAACTGCATGGGAGAAGGGGGGGGGGGATAAATGGAACACAACATTCTTCTAAAAAATCATCAGTTAATTTGTATACAGTGAGTTTGCTTGGCACTAGCGAACATTATGATAAGCTCAACATGAAATCGAAAATGATCACATTATGATGAAGTATGGGTAGTATTTATACAGCAATTTTTCAAAGGGTGGCTAAATACTAAGTTTATCTTCTGACAAATATAAGTATATTAGGGTTATCAAGCTTTATTCTTAGATAACAAAAACAACACTGGTATCTTTATTAAAAAGCAATAAATCATTTTACAGGTGTTTTGTACTTCGCAATTTTTGACAATAACAAAATGAATGCTTTATGAGGAAAGTATTTCAGTAAAAGTAAAAATAAAAAAAACATATTTATTATGTGAACAACATACACATACTGATAATAGAATTCAAATGCTTCATGAACTCAAGGTATATAGTGGATATTATTTCAACTCAACATGATTGATGGCTCCCTTTTTCTAATACTGTTTATCCTGGGAAGAAAAAAATGTACTGCATTCATACTTGGCTAATAATGCTCTCTGAGCCTGGCAAAATGACATTGTATTGATTATTGATTTTTGTGGAAATAAATAAAAGAAAATAAATCAATAAAAAAATAGAGGTTATGGACAAGGCATTAACATGAAAAATGTCACCACCTGCCATTTGTTACAGACACTGAACTTCGAACCACAGAACAACATCCACAAAAAGTTGGCGACTATATCAATATATCACCTACAGAAATCTTTAAGCAGTATCACTAGCATGTATGGGAAAGAACACGATGTCGGTGTCGATTCATTTATTCTCATAATCAAAGTATAGGAATATCCAGGTATATTGAGCTTACCAAATAGAGGTGTACTGTAAAAGTAACAACAATTTGACGATTGTTAACTTTCTTACCTGGTCATAAAAATAATAGAATGTGACTTTATCTTTCGAGAGCAAGGTGGAGAAGTTCATAGGCAAGTAGCGTACACGTAGCTCATATCTAGAAAAATAAAGATAAATATATATGTAACATGAGAGGAATTATAGTTGTGACATATACAGGGTGGGCCAAAAAACAATACTCAAGTTTAAAGATTAATATCATGAGATATATGTTAACTCATGTCATGTATTATATATCATTTTAAAGATAAATCGTTTCCTAGCAATATGAGACCATCTGATTGAAAAACACTTGCTTTATTGAAGAGTTGGAGGCTAGAAATGACACCAAGGGTATCATGAGAGGCCACAAAATTATTCACTGCAGAGTTTAAAATTGTGAAAAATGGAGGGAAATTTGAAATTTGGCACATTCAAAAAATGTACATTTATACAAGTTTAGTCCAAAATTCACGAATAAAACTTATATCTTTGTAATAAATATAGATCGTGTATTACTTTTAAATAAGTTTATAAGGATTCGGTCTGGCATATTGAGTCCAACTGTGACTGCAATATGGGTGTACATTTTCTGAAATATCATATTCTGATTTTTGGTCACTCATGACACCCCTAGTGTTAATTTTACCTCTATCTTCACAAGGAAACAAAAGTTTTTCAATCAAATGGTGCCATATTGTTAAGAAATTATTTATCTTTAAAGTGATATATAATACATGGCAAGTTAAGATATACTATATGAATCATTCATCTTTAAATTTAGGTGTTGGTATTTTGGCCCACCTTGTACGTTGTACTTAAAACTTAAATTGCAATCTGAGCTATGTATAAAAAAGAACAATCAAATGTTTTTATATTCAAAACAATTTTCAAATACAATACTATGCAGGCCCATAGCCAGGGGAACCCTTCTTGGCAAAACCTGACTACGGGCCTGCTTTGACTTAAAGGGGCAACATTGGACTTAGAGAGAAAATTCGAAATTTGTACTTTTTATGAGCTATCAGGTCAATATTTGGCTTAACATCTTCTTTGACGTACCTATTTTCTGTATGGATAAACTATCAATTTCAGCATTTAGAAGTGTAAATTCAGTTCAAAGCTTCTATTAAGGGAGTCCCACTTATAAATTTTTAAGATCCAGCACGTTTCAAAAGGAATATCAGCTAAAGGAGTTTCTTTAGAGGTAATAAAAATATATGATAGTCTTGATGAAGTATCCAAACTTAAAAATATTTTGACACTGGTTCAAGAATGTTGAATGGCCCCTCTGCACTAACTGTTGCACCTTATGTCAAATATGCTTATTTATCTCTTTTTCTCATTCATGTTCATGATCTGTACTATTTTTTATAATCTAGAGGTTGATTTATACTGTAGTTTGTGACAACAATTTATTATCTTTTTGAATACAGGCAATTTTCTGAATCTGTCCTAAACTATATATTTTGCTAACCTCCAATCATCAGCATTGTCAGAGGTATGAAGCGCCTCATACTTCTGTCTAACCTGGTACATGCTCAAATCACCATGGAGCCAGTAGCGCTCCTTAGATGGCGTATGAGTCAACAAGAGTGCGTAACATGCCTCATACTCTCGTAACCCCGCTGCTAACCTTCGGACAACCAGCTGGATGATGTCCTAAAACATAAAAAAATTCTTATGAAAGACTTCAAAAAAGAACCATCTTGATCCAGAAGTATTCATACCTCATACAAAAAGACCCAGATGAAAATCAGGATGCAAAACTGACTTATGTCATACTTTGACTTTGGATGTACTTTATTCATATACAAAATGGGACAAAAATGTACCTTTGTAATAATATGTATATAATCAGAATGGGTAACATTTTTGGCCCACCTTGTATATGAGAGTGTCAGCATGACAATAATAAAGAATGATTTAACTCAGAAATTATGGCTGATGTTTATTATTCATTTTAATGATGTTCCCATTGAATGTAATAATCAAAATAAATGTTGCAACTCTGAAAACTGCACTCTGAATACTGTATTCTAATTTCAAGCAGGAATATCTAGAAACAATTAAATGTCATCCAGAAAAACAGCTGTAAAATGCAAGTGCCTTTAAGAGACCAAGTGGGCTCGCATAATATTTAGTAAGAGTGTAAGGATGCCATTTCAAGAGGCCACTTGGTCACTTGAAGTCACTTGTATTTTATAGTTAACACATAAAACATATATCGCAAGAATATGTTTTTAACTTAACTGAGTTACTTGTGATATCCTGCTATCTTAGCTTGTATATTCGGGAATGCAAATAGTGGCTACCAGCTAACGGATTAACCGATTAATTTTCATAGATTATTCATTATTATATCATTTTGAAGTTGTAATTACGAACAACTTGTCAGTCAACGAACAGTGATCATATGACTTTTTATGCCAATGAAAGGATCGATTATAAAAAAAACGCTCGGTCGAATTGGCAAACAGAACATAGGTCATTGTTACATGCTGCTTGATAGGCAGATTAACCCGTCATTTAGGCCTGTGACTGGGTGTGAAGTGAGAGATGGTAGCTAACGGGAAGCACGGCGGGTACTATTCATAGTTACATTAGTTTTCCCCCAAATTGCAATCAAACCAATAGCCGGTAGCCCTTATTTGCAATTGTGAATACAAGCTTAGGCTTTCATTTGTAATTCACTGACAGATCCAAGGCTGAATCCAACAGACATTGGTATACTTGGGTATAAAATACACCTATTAGCTTTGCATTATATATTTGTTATGTGTCCTCGATTCAGAGGCAAGGTGAGAATGTATCTTTTTTAAAACAATCTGGCAAAGTTTATGACCACTTTCTACTGAAAAAATGTAATAAATGATAGGTTTTTACAAAATGAATGGTATATCATTGAGAGAAAAAACTAAAAAAAAAAAACTAAAAAAACAGATAAAGGTAAGATAAATGCCAGGTCGTAAAAAGCAAGTTCAAATGTGACATTGAATCAAAAAATATTCTAGTAAATAAGTTCATGCACGTACTTAACATCCCCCTTGTAAATTAGTTAACCATTTTCTCCATTAACTGTCCATACACTGTCACGTTTAACAAATTTTCTATTTCACTTCATTAAGATGTGCTATTTCTTCATTACACATATTAAGACAGATAAAGTCATCTGAACAATACTAATTTACTCTTGTAATTGGATATCGAGTCCTCAATACATTCATTGGAAGTGAATATATCTTTCATGAGTCAAGATACCCATTTTCCAATTGCTATATATTAATACTATATTCATACCCCATTTAAATTAAATTCACCATTTCGAGAAACAGTAAACATGTTACAAAAATGGTGGTTAAATAGCATCCAAATATAAATATTTTTGTCAAATGCACTTCAAACATGATAAAATATAACCACTGTAAATGGTTACAAATGTGTGACAGTTTGTTACAGAAACCAATGCCAAATACCAATCACAATAAAGACTGTAACAATATGTCACTACTTCTTGGTGATAACAACAAAATAATAATTACAGATCCCTCTCTAAACTGGGAAAAATATAAAAATAGACTCAAATAGCGTCATTCATACTCCAGACCTTAATCTTTGCCTCCTTGTTATAGAATATTTATTGAGTACATTCACACCCCTGAGGGTCAGGTACAAGAAAGTGCAGTACACAAAAGAATATATATGATTTAACACTAGACTACTATATACTACAAATAATATATGCTTAATACTGTAAAATATGTATTACTACAAAATGCTTTTTTGCGCAGCAGGAATTAGCCTTTCTAAATTAAGTATTGCTTTCTAAAATTCGGAAGGCATCACTAATATATTTTGCAACCTTGATGCAATCTTGATTTATACAAGTTAAGAGGTATATAAATTGATTTGTTTGTGCTTTTGCCGTATCAGACAATTCAGTTTGAAGTAATAATCTTTCATTTTGATATTTTTTACACTTCATCATAAAATGTTCTTCATCATCAATAATATTGCAATAGACACACAGTCTTTCTTCAATTGGGGTTTTCTTTGGTTTTGTATATCTCCCTTGCTCAATTTGGAGGTTGTGAGCACTTATTCTCAAACGTGTAAAGTTTCTTCGCATATCAAGTCTGTCGATTATATTTAAATAATGTTCATATTTAAAATCTTTCTTGAGGGTTCTGTAGGTTCGTAGTTTATTGCCGTTATCATTTTTCCTAGTGTCAGTGTTTAATTTATTCTTCCAGTACCTGTCAAATTTTAGTTTAAGTAATGATGTACATCTTAAGGTATCAATTGTAGAATCCACAGATTCAGAGCAATTTTCATTAATAGAGCAAATTATTTTGTTTACGTTTGAAACCCATGAGTTTTCTTGTAGTTCTTTGGAGCAGTCAAAAGCTGCCTTGATTAGAACATTTTTTGTATCTTTAATGTGATGTAAAAAGTTGAGAATTTGGCCAAATATACCTATAAATAGTGGATATCTTCCAAGTTCCCCATAAACAGCCATATTAGTGGCCTTTCTACCAACTCCAAGTAGGAATTTGGAAAAGGATATGTTTAATTTTTCTGAGGGGAATTTGTTTTGGTTTAAGTATGCTTCTTCTAGGTTTGAACTGGATACTTTGTTAAGACTGAAAGGGGCCCATATTTCAGCCCCATATAGACAAATTGGTTTTATCATTTGATCAAACAGTTTAAGCCCAAGCTGTGGTTTTATATCACTCTGTTGAAGGCCAATTACTCCAGCAATATATCAGGAGTTAATGGCCCCTAAGTCCCTAATGTAATTACAGCAGGTATTTCCTAAGACAAAGGAACATTATCTCTTGCTAAGTCAAGCAAACGATTAAGGAGGATTCCGGTGCATATATAAAGCTTCCTATAATAGCACTGATTGATCGACCTAGACATCAAAATTCGAGTTCAAAATTTAATTGTCCCCGATGATTTTGATAACAAAGTCCCTGGATTTTTTTAGTAATTTACAAGTCAATATATCCCCTCATGTGCATTTTCTTTTTGATTTCTTTTCACTTTATTTGACGAGTATTGAAAAAACATGGTAATGTATGATACAATGTCTTGTGAGAGTAGTTCATCTTTTTGGCTTATGGGCCATGTAAACCAGCACAGAATATGCAAATTAGATAGATACATATATGCATATATCTATATATGCCAGCACAGAATATGCAAATTAGATAGACACATACATTATTATTATATGTATTTATATATGTATGATATATATACAAGCATGGAATATGTTAATTAGATAGACTAGATACATATATAGAACTACAGTAGATATATAACAATTAATTTATTAGTTGGCAGAGAATATGTTAATTAAATTACAATAATTCATGAATATCCTACATTGAGATATCTATGAATATGCTTTAATTTATGAGATATGTGTGTATTGTATACATGTTATATATGTATGTATTTGTATATATCTTCTTAGCTGGTCCCCAGTCCCCAGTTCCCAGTTTGAGATATCTATATGCTATATATAATATGTATGTATTTGTATGTATCTTTTAAGAAGGTCCCCAGTCCCCAGTTCCCAGTTTGAGATATCTTTATGCTATATATAATATGTATGTATGTATTTGTATGTATCTTCTAAGATGGTCCCCAGTCCCCAGGTCCCAGTTTGAGATATTGCTATATATAATATGTATGTATTTGTATGTATCTTTTAAGAAGGTCCCCAGTCCCCAATTCCCAGTTTGAGATATCTATATTGTTATATATAATATGTATGTATTTGTATGTATTTTCTAAGCTGGTCCCCAGTCCCCGGTTCCCAGTTTGAGATATCTATATGCTATATATAATATGTATGTATGTATCTGTATGTATCTTTTAAGAAGGTCCCCAGTCCCCAGTTCCCAGTTTGAGATATCTATGTTTGTGTATATTTGTATTTGTATGTATCTTCTAAGCTGGTCCCCAGTCCCCAGTTCCCATTTCGAGATCTTTATGTTAAAGTACATAAACTATTTTAAAGTTTTTGATCATTCAAGATTCATCTTGATCCATTCTCTTTTGAGTTGATAGCAATATACACTGAGGATGAATCCTATATAAAACCTCATTTAGCTGTGATTTCTTCAAAATTTAAGACAGAGAATAAATTATGGCATCTACCAAAGTTTTAGACCTTTTTCTACAACATGTGATAATATGAGTCTATTCATGCAAGTACAAGGAAAGTATAGCCTGTTGCAGGGGTTCACTTTTTTGGACCACCCTGTATATTAACTTCTCTTATTACATGTTTAATGGTATAGACTGGACTGGTGTAGGTGGAAGAGTCATCTAATAGTCATTAAGTTATCATCTTTACATAACACTTTAAAATCCAAGAACAGCCAGATTTTATTTAGGCAGAACTTCTATGTCTATCTGATATATAACAAAATATGTGAAAATAGAAAGATTGACCTTTTTGTTATCCTAGTCACAAGTTTAACCTTTCCATATAGACTGAAGAGTTGACATCCTGGAGTCCGTTTTTGTACCGTTCGTAGTAACGAACGTTCGCAATTCGTAAATTAAACAATGGACTTACGAACGTTCGTTATTACGAACGGTACAAAAACGGGGCCCTGGATATTTAGGAGAACCTGTAAAGTATT